GGGTATGGGGTTCAACCCCACATGGGTGCTTAGGTGCAACAATAGCAAGCACTAAAGCACAACGATTACATACAAAGCATGTAGAATAGGCAGTAAACTGATATATGACATGTTAAAAACCATATCAGCTGGCATCCTGTTAACAGAAAAGTACCCAAAAGTTTAGGAAGAATACGAAGTACTTTCATAATGAATTTGGTAAAAATTTTCTTTTTAAATTATGAAATAGAAGTAACATTATGTACTTAAGGTTATTTGAATTTTGATAATTGTATTCTGCACTCATTAGGATGATAAATGTAGTACAGTTGTCCCTTGATAATCCGACAGGTATGGGACCAAAGGTGTGTCAGATTACCAAAAGTGTCCGGATTACCGAAAATAATTACATATTTCGCATTGTTTTGCTAGCAGTAACTTACAATATTCTCTACTCCAACTGTTCGAACAGAACTGCTCACATAAAACACACGAAATGTGTGTCATTGAGTAAGAATTGGATGGGGAGATTCACATCGCGACATGCTTCTGTGCAAGCAGACACGTAACGGGGACGGGTACCTTGACGGGAGGTGCGTTGGACTACTGAGTGTGTCGGATTAAAAAACGTCGGACTATAGAGGGACAACTGTATTTGAGTATCTATACTCATATATCTGAAAGAAACTAGCATTTGTAGTCCAGAAATGATCTGGCCTACAGATGTTTGGCTATTAGAAAATTGGACTTAGTTTGTTGTTTATAGTTATATACACTGGTGGAAATTGGAACTGTTACACCCAGATAGAATTGGTGGAAATTCACGAAACTTGGCAAACATGTACAGGGGCATACTCAGAAGAAATGAACACAATATGAAATGAATTAAACAAGGTTTTATTGCTGTTTGGTACATGTTTCAGTAAGTGGTATGCCCACCTTGAGCATGGATACACTCTTGGATCCTTGTAGGCATTGAATCAATAAGTGCTTGAATATCTTGTTGGGGTATGTCTCTCCATGCCTGCACAACTTGTGCAGTCAGTTGTTGTACAGTGTGTGCTAGATGGCTATGAGATGTAATCCATCTACCTATGACATTCCAGACATGCTCTATAGGGAATAAATCTGGAGACCAGTCCATGATTGCGACACTTTGCAAGGCCTGTCTTGTGATGGCAGCAGCATGAGGACAGGCATTATCTTGTCGGAAGATACCATTTTGGATGGTGTTCATTAAAGGTATGACTACTGGATGGATCACCCTGTCAACATACTGGCAGACGGTCATTGTGCCTTCAACAACCACCAACTCGGTCCTGCTCTTGTAACTGATTGCCTCCCAAACCATGACACCAGGAGTTGGACCTGAGTAACACTGAAATTACAGCAGGGTGGGCTCTTTCTCCAACATGCTGGCAGACATGTTGCTGACTATCACATTGGCCTAAACAGAATTGGGATTCATCACTAAACACAACTGTACACCATTCATGTGTCCAGTTATGTCTAGCAGCACACCACGTTAGCTGTTGTTGGCAATGAAATCTGGTTAAGGGAACACATTGCATGGGGGTCCGAGATCTCAGCCCAGCATCAAGCAGTCAGTTTACAATTGTCTGCGGGGTGACTCTGGCAGTAACTACCGCTCGGATCTGTGCTGCCATCACCCATCTGTCAGCAACTGTCATCTGCACAATATGGCAGTTTTCATGTGGCGTCGTCCTTCTGTGTGGACCTGTGCCAGGTCTGCAATTACTGGACCCTTCCTGCATCCACCTTGTGACCACTCTTTGTACTGACATTGCAGTATGGTCAGTCCTTTGGGCGATTTCACGATATGATGCTCCCATTTCTGAAATGCTAATTATCTGACCTCTTTCAAAGTCAGACATTTGGATGTACAGAGTTCTCACTCGTCAGTATGGCATAGCTGATCACCAACAGCCTGTGGACCAAAAAAAGTCATGCTCCCTAACACAGTTCACAACTTATAAACTAAACACTATAGCAATTTTGCATAACAAATGTCTCCATAATTTCCATACCACTGTATGTACTTCATTTAATTTTTGATCATTCAATACCCTTCAAAAAAAAGATTCTTTTGCCCCAATTTCATATGTCTTCGACTATACTGAGTGGGTGTAACACTTTCAATTTCCGCCAGTGTAGAATAAGAATACAGTCAAACTCTCTTATTTATAAAATAACGACCTTTAGTATTAGCAGCAATAAACAGTTAATTATGGCTATGAGCATAGTTTGTTTGCTTTAACTGCCTTTTACCTAAGTAAAAAAATTTAGATAATTAGTGAAAATCATGAACTCTTCTTTTCATAACTGATTTACACAATATTACTTGGTATACAGTACATTCACTGTTCTCAGACTGTGAGTGTATACCATGTGAAGTTCATCAGTTCAATTGATAGACCTATCAACTAGGTAAAAATATTTTTCTTTATTAAATATAGTTTAAGGTGTGACTTTTTATCTGTAAGTTGTTGTTTTATGTTATTTTTTCATCTTTGACTTACTCATGCGTGAATATTAGCTATTTTTGAATATAATTATGAATAGTTCAAAAGTAGTACTGCCTAATTCAGGATGTCTAGTCACTTTATTATAGCTCTAAATTATGCCAGTTTTAAATCCTTGTTTTTATAATCTTATGTTTATAATATCTGCTTTTATAATATCTTAGAATTTTTATTCCATGAAATAATAGCATTGTGAATAAAATCCTAAAAATCATTTATTTTCATTGTGAAAAAAACTAGATATATCTGAATAAAAAATATTAACCACTGAAATTCTGTAATATAAAATGGAGATAGCAATAATGAAATGTATGAGTGCTGTTTCATACATCACATACAAAACCAACACTAGCACTATGAAAAGAAAAATTTACTAATGTTTTTGTCTATATGAAATAGACATCATCAGAATGAAAGTTATCACATACAGCAAAACACTTTCTAATTAATATATATAGATAAATTGCCAGGACCACTAAGGTGCATTTAGCATATCGATGCTCTCCAACAATCTTCTTTCTCATCAGAAGTGATAAAAACTATATACATGACTACACTACATACAATTCCGGACGCTTATCATTGGCGAATACAAATCACGTGATACAAAATCATCCATTTCATGTAATTATTATATTCAAAAAATAACCAATCATGCANATTAAATTAAATTATAAATAAGATATTAAATTTCTTTAGAAAGAGCAAATGCTTTTGATATCAAAAAGTGCTAGGTTACTTCCAAAAACTTAACTAAAAAAATATTGATTAGCAACATTTATAAATTTATTCTTTAATTTTACAACTAATAATGCTCTAATGAACATAATCACCATGCCCCCAAACAAATATCCGATTTATCCCTATTAGATAATTACTAATTTTTGAAATTATCAGACATTGAGATCTGCACTGTCAAAAACAAAACAATCTAATAATTTATTTATATAAAATTTGCTAAATAATAAATCTCTCTTGCATATGCTTTTGTAAGAGAGACTTCTGTTTTATATTATGCTATGCTATCAATTGCATGAGATGAACAGAAGTTGAAGCAATGCATATTTCAATTTGTGGAATTTTCATTATAGGAATATGATTCAAAGTTGTTTTTGTAATTAATCTGCATCTCTAAATGGACAAATTTGGTTTCCTATGTACATAATGGGTAATAAAATTGATTACTCATAAGCTGGCATAAATATTCTGCTCAACTATTTCCATTTAGCATATGTGTAACTCCTATTATTTTAATATATTCTCTGTGTCATCATCATCATAATTTTCCATCTGTTTGAGATAATGGCTTATAGTTTATCTGAAGTTCATTGTTCTTATTTCATATTTGCAGACTAATATTATAAATAGTTTATATTTTTAATCAATGTTTTCCAAACTTTTTCTTGCATGGTGCCAGAAGATTAAGATGGAGAGAAATTAAGAGAGAGATGTAGGTTAACATGCAAATAAAGATTTGTCTTGAAAAGAAGATAAGTGTACAATATTAGTATTACTTTGTCATCCATTATTCATTGTTTTCTAGGATAAGTCAAAATTTTGTAATACTCCTTAACTTTATTTTTCAGTATATTGATGCATTTTTATTACAATTATGTTAATTACTCTATTTATAGTTTATTATTCTATTATTATAAATTAAAATTTAAATATATATTATACTAGCTGCAAGGACCCGCTTTGCTGGGGTTTTATTTGTTCGTATATTTGTATGTAATATAGTTTTTTTTTATATATATATATAAAAGACTGTTTTTCTAAGTAATGTAGAATTTAGCTGCAAGGACCCGCTTCACTGGGTTTTTATTTGTGGGCAAAAAGTAACGATAGTGAAGATTAAGATAATTACATTATAGCCAATCTTACCCGTTTTCACAGAATGCAAGAATTAGGTCCCCCGTTTCCAGACTAATTAGAGACCTGTTTCCGATTCTATTTCTGAACGTCTCCTGTTCACGTCCAGTCAAATGAACTATTTCCAACGTTTCTGGAATGTTTATAATCATTCTATAATTGAACCAATATTCGAATTTTATGTTTGAATTCAAATTTGAATATTGTTCGAATTAAATTCGAACAAATTCGAACATAAAATTTGAAATAGAAAACCACTTTCAACCACTTTCAGCCCCATATCTCCCGCACCCTTATAGCTATCGAGACGCAACCAACATAGTGCATGAATGGAGACTTGGGGTACTACCACATACAAACACTATTCATGTGCGATGTGTAGTTTTGGCTGAAAAGTGAAATATAGGGACACATACGTCCATTTTTATATATATATATATATATATAGATTTTAATGTAATATAAAAAAGAAAGATAGGAAATGATATTCAGGGAAACAAATTTACATATGTCTATTGAATATATATAAATTAATAAACACAAACTGAAGTTAGCAGATTTATAACCTAACTTTATGGAGATAAGAAATATATAATCATAAACTGGAAAAAGTACTTTATTTTGATTTTATTTCCTGTTACAAATTCAGAATATAGTTTTATTTATATTTTTTGTAAAAAGCATTGACTACTAGAGAGTTTTAGAATCATAACTATTCAAGGCACTTAATATTTAGATTAATCTTGTTTTTATGCCAACAATTACATTTTTAGGTCTGAATTCAATCAAATTCAATGCTTGAAGAAACACAATACTCAGAACAATTAAGAAATATTTATTTTTATTTTGTAGCAAAATTAACAATTTTTGATGTTTAAGGTGATGTTATTCACAAAGAATTTCTGAATATTCTCAAAGTTACACATTATTTCTATTTTAATAGTTCTAGGATACAATATGCCTTGGATCCTTTAGAGTTATTTTATCACAAGACCAAGTTTAATAATTTATTTACAATAATCATATATTGTTAGTTGACTAACCATTAGTTTTATGTAAAATAAAACCACCAATTCCATCTAAACTGACATAATATTCCTTAATTGTTTGAGCAATGTATTAAATAGAAAATCTCCAGAGTATTGTTTTCATGAAGCACTGCTGTCATAATCATTAGCTGCCATAGATGTCAAGAAGTTTAAAATATTTCTGTCTATTGATTTTTCATCACTTGGATCAGATCTGGAAAAAAAATTATAATTAAGCAACGGCTAGTTCTCTATTTGTATAAAATCTTTTAACTTTGGAAGATAAAGTGTCCATTTATTCTCAAATATAGGGGTTTAGTATTCATAACAGCATGTTTAAATTCTTAAAAAGTTAAATTATTGTTCCAAACAAAATTTTAATAGAAAATAATTGAATTATTTAAAAAGTAAATTTGAATGAAAATGTGTTTATATTGATAACTACAAGTACACATTAATAAAATTCAGGACTATAAATATGAATAATTGACAAATTTATATGTATCCACAGTTCAGTTTTATCATCAATGCAACAATATAAATCAGTGGTTCCCGATTTTTTTTTTTTTTTTGACTCGTGGCACGTTTGAACAGTCTTGCAAAGATTGTGGCACACTTTAAGCTGTTATTAAAATTGTGTCACACTATCTGTTTAAAAAATCCAGAAACGAGTTGCTTAACTTTCCCGGCAACATTTGAAACTGCATTTGGTGTTATATTTCTATTTTTGTTGTTATTATTTTTTTTAATTTTAGTAATTCACAAACCTACTGTACTTTCAGCTTTTTACAAACAAACATTACTTTTATTCGAGCAAGTGTTTTACATTTTTTTACAAATCACAGGTAAGTAATATTGAAAGCAAAACATGTGAAGCAAGTTTATTAACTTTGATGACAGCAATTTCTTTATCAAAATTTGAAAAGATAAAGGCAACATTCCTTCAGACCTAAAATGACATTTGAATTCGAGCATAATACTTGTGTTTCTATAGTATGTTCCATATCTAATTAACAGTAATTAATAAATTTTATTATACAGGATCAGTTTTACACAAATTCTTTATAATTCATCATGTTAGTAAAGTTATTTAATGGTTAAATAGATACCTTTTATTTTTGGAGATCTGAGGAGCTGGTTTAGTTAAGATTAAATAAATATCTACTTAATCTTTACTAAGGTATGGTACCTAAAAAGCAAATGAAGACTTTAGATTAATAAGAGACCACAAATGAAAATTGATAAACGACGACAGTTTTCATTGCCAGAATAGGTAAAAAGTAAAAATTGTTATATCCATTTGTGACTAATTATCTAAGCATTCAAATGTGTTATCTAGGAGATGTGTCATTCAATTCTCTATTGTAATTTTAGTAAATGAAAGACTAACAAACTTACGGATTACTGGATTACTACAATAGCTGCCCGGAAAGATTCACTGGCATTGGGCAGCCATTGATAACTCATGACAAGTAAAAATTATTATGAATGTCATTTATCCAACAGCAATATGCAAAATATGGCCAAACTAGGAGCACCAGCCACAACAGGTGGCTTTACTTTGCAGAGAATTATGGTGTGCATAATTTTCTACAAAAAATTCTGCTTTCTGTCGAAAATTTCTGAAATTTTCGACAAAAAGCACAGAAGTAATTAAGCTTCAAGGTGGATGAATAAAATCGTGCTCCACCCACACATATACACTAACATCCATACATACAGGAGAAAAACTCGAATATTGCATTTCTCGACGTTTAAACGCATCTCAGTCCAAAAATTAAAAACTTTGAAAGGTTAATTTTTGACTAATCGCCATACTTTCTTTCTATTATTTATAACAGAGCCGGAAAAATAATAAATTTTATATCGTTATTTATTATAAAAGGCAAAAAAGCTAAATTTTGAGGTTAGAAATGAATTTCTAAAAATACTGTAAATACCAATATGGAATTAAATTTTCATTAAGTCTGACCCCACTCGTATATATGGCACGACTCCCCTCTATTTTCCCGTTCCCTCGATCTTTAACCACCAAAATTTAATAGCACCAATGCCCCTTACATGCAAGTTACCATGCCAAATTTCGTTTCTTAATCTACCTCACCCTGATACTAAACTAAATAGACGTTAACACATATACATACTTATCCCAGGTATTTATTTTATTTTTTAATTTATCTCGTGTCTCACTTAAAATAATTTCACCCCATATCGGTGGGAACCACTGATGTTTATAGTGTATATCCTTTAATGATGAATAACAAATTATAGAAGCGATTGTTAATGTACGCTCGAGAAATCTAATAATAATAAATTTTCAATNTGTTGTTATATATTAATAGATTATATTTAAAATTAAGATAAAGAAATATTAAATATTTGTCATTAATTTATTTTTCTACAGTGATTGTCGCATTGGTATTTGGAGGCTGAGAAGCAGTGCAGATATTTCTCCAGATTGCAGTGAATGTGGAGATGAAAAATTTTAGATGTCAGATCATTAATATTTAACAAAGACATTCCTCAGTATGAGTTTAAGATATCTGTTAGCGCAAATGTGTCTTCTACTACTATTTATCACTTATTTTCATCCATACGTTACTCTAGTTTATAGAATATAATTTAAAAATGACTGAGTTGTTAGTGTGGAAAGAATGTGTACATATTTGAGAGATGTTTGTATCACTGTGTACATTGTAATCATCATATTGTTTTGTTTGATAGACATTTGCTTCCAGCACATAAATATATAAACCTTCTTCCTGCTGAGATGTTTATATATGAAAGAAGCACACATTTGATTTCATGTTAATTAATACAAAATAAAACATATATTACAAAATATAAATTCATATCAAACAGTTAAAAAGTTATTAAAGTTTAGCTGAGCTGATAACAAAAGATTTATATACAAAATAGCTTGTTAGATTTCTGCATTGTTATATTTACAGGTTATAAATCTTATTTGTTTTAAAATTTACATATATATATATATATACACATATATAAACACATCTAAACTCATCTTTATTGTTTTCATTATCAAAACGAATATTTAAATGTGTAATTGAGGGCCAGCAATAATTGTAACAAGACATAGCAATTGAAATTCAATAATTATTTATAAATTGAAAATAAACTACATAAAACAATGCTGTTTTTTAAGATATTAATTGATATAAAGCTTCTCAGGGATATGTTGCTAAATAACAGCTGAGAATTGAGTTACAATGTATACATTTATCTTATTATTAAAACCTTATCCGTATAGACAATTATAACACACGTTTTTTCATTGCCGAGATAGACTATCTCGGCAACGAAAAAACGTGTGTTATAATTGTCTAATTGTTTACTGAGCACATTCTGTTAAATCTTATTTGTATAGTTTGATTTTTAATTTTTTAGCTTCTTACATAAAATATCTAAAGACAACTTTAAAAAAAAATAATAATTTTATTTGTTAATGATTAATTAATTTACAGATTAGTTTAGTCATTGAATAGTGTTTTTACATTTGAAAACACTATCATATAGTGTTATATATATATATCAATATATTTTATATTTTTTTATACAAGATGATGATTTTTGTAATTATTGTTGTCAGTAATGCACTATCTTTTATTTGTTAAGATATTTATTAATACACAAAATTGGAAAAAATATGGCTTTCACGAATAAAAGCACAAAATATTTATCTTACATTTGTACAATTTAATTATAGTTCATCATTTATATAACTATTGATAAAACTAGAACGAAGATTTTTTGTAGACTAACGAAAATATCAGTCAGAAAATACAGATATTTTCCCTTTATCGTTTATAAGTTGTACTGTAATGGGTCTTCCAGATTTGGAAATCTCTATTAAAATAGGAAATTTATAAGGAAGTAAATGATATATATCTATATGTTTTCTGCTGTGAAAAAATGGCAGAGTGATTTGCTACCTAGGGACTTTACTATCATCCAATGTGTGTCAGGGATAAAATGTTTTTTCACAGAATGTACTGGTAACAATGATTGTGATAGAATTATTGTAAATGTTTTTTAATAAATAACATTCCACTTAGCACTAATGTGCAGCTTCTGTGTGTTATGGATCTTTCTTTGTAGAAGCTGTTGTATTCCAAGCAATGTATTTTGATTAAAACTGTACATAGTTGTATAAGAGAGGTTTTTCTGATTAAAATCTTTTTTGGTCATTCTATTTAAGTTTTTATTTTTTATTTATAACTGATTAATTATGATCTTTAAATAATAATAATAATAATAATACTGTTTTGCTTATAGATTTAAACAGAAAAGAAGCAATAAAAACATTTGTCAGAAAATGAATCATCTAATCAGACAACATTCTAAACTAAACAATATTGAAGACACTACTTAGGCATAAAAAGTAATTAATGTTAATTGAAACGGCCAGAAAAATAACAATTGCTAATAAAAGTTTATATAGTTTAATTGCTAATGTTAGTGAGACAATACATTCATTGTGATGTTTTATATTATCAATCTTATTAAAAAATATCAGGGAAACTATTCTGACAATCTCATCCTATATAGCACTACACAGTTTCAGAGGCCATATTTAATCATTAATACAGTTGAATTTATTATGCAACAAATAGCATCTAGATCAAAGAATTCTCAGGTTTTAGAAGTTTCTTTGAGCATCTGAAAAGTGTTCAAGGAGATTTGAGTAGTATTGAAATCTTATTCTGTATTCACAATTTCTCTATATCCAATTTGATGATATATCCATAATAAAATATATTATAGAGAGTAAATATATACTATTTACTCTCTAAACTGCCCATTTCCAACAGATTGAGAATTTCATGTAAGGACATCAAGTCTCCTCCTCTCTGCAAGGAATTAATATTTCTGAAAATATTACGTTACTTTTTTTTAATCATAAAAGCAGCCATCGAAGGAACAACTGCTAAATCATTTCAGCCATAATATATTTTAACTTACCTTTTGTCCGAAAAGGAATCCATTACACCCACTATGCTATTAAAGTTTTCTAATTGTTTACTGAAATCTTCCAAAAATTTCTTTACATCTTTCAGAGAATATTCTTCTGTCATATCTAAAACCGTTCTTCCTAAGGCATCTTCTTTGGTCAAACTCGCACCCCAAGCTAACAGAACTTTGCAACATTCTACGTGATTGCTAAAGAAAAAAAAAAGACAAAATCGTAATAGTATTTTGACATAATATAATGGGATCAATTTTTAATTTCTAAATTCTACGTCAGTCTAAAATTTTGAATGACATATTCACTTTAGAGCGGATAGATGCAAAGGAGTGAATCCATCAGATGTTACACAATCGACGTTTGCTTCCGCTTCTAAAAGAACCTGAAATTACGTGTAATAAATTAATGTTAATTGTACATTTTAATATATTTTTGTGTGAGAATGGAAAAAATATGTAGATATACTTCTATGCAATCTTTGTGACCTTGCATGGCTGCGGTGTGAAGAGCAGTGTATCCACTAGGATCCAAAGCTGATACGTGTGCTCCTTCCTGAGCTAAAAACTGTAATATAATTAGTTTTTTTGTAATATTTTTAAAAAAATACATATGCTGTCTTATTTAAGTAAAGATTGAACAAGAATGCAGTTTTAATACGTAGATATATATTATTATGAGATCTCATAGAAACTGTCAACAAGTATCAAAATGACAACTGAAAATATCTCTGTTGATACAAAAATCTGCACAATTACTATACTAACCTTTACAATTTCGACATGATTATTGGCTGCTGCCAAATGGGTTGGGGTCCATCCTCTCTCGTCCACTGTCCTTAAGAATAAAATAATTAGAAATTAAATACAGTATTATGTTTCATCTGTTTATTATAAACAAGCAAATGAGCCCGGCGTTGCTCGGTCAAACGATTTGGATGATTTGGTAAATATTGTACGTTTGGAAATTAAGTTATTACTATCAAAAACAAAAAATCGCATCTAAAATAGTACAGTAGAAGCAGTTCCTCAGGTTAAGCCTTAATCCTCTCCCTCTCCTCCCTCGGAGGAATTTCGAAAAATCCCTTCTTAGTGTACATTTTCATGAAGTACCCTAAATTTCACCTCTAGGTTCAGCGATTTGCTCTGGGCGATGATGAATTAGTCAGGAGATGTAATTTTATATATATAGATACTGTAATAATAAATTTACAAATCATTTCTTTAACAATATCTAATCATTATATTGTATAACTCTACCATCTGGCTGAAAAATTGACATTTTTATAACTGATGCTATATAACTATATAAAATTAATATTTTCTGACATTTTTAAACAGTTTATTTTAAAAAATATAATAATCTAACGAGTTTTTTCGCAGTAAAAGAAATTGAAGTTCTCTTCTGTCTCTGTTATTTTGACTTTTTCCGTTCTGAAGGCACTAAGAAGGCTTTTATCCATGCCCATTGTAGGTTTTGCCAACTTCACAAGTGGGGCAACCGACCTGTAAAGGACGGGACTACACTTATCTGGAATAAAATATCCGGAAAAAATTACTGGTTCTCGACCGAGCTTGGTCACCCAAAGCCGTAGATCTTCACTATCCGGAATGGGAAAGGAGCATGAAAATAACTTACTCAATAAATTTCCGATTAGCTTTTGATAACAGTTTGACTATGTCAAGATCGCCGTTTCTGGCAGCATCGTGAATGCTCATATTTCGAGTTTCCTCATCTAACAGAAAGGAGTCACAGCTTTCGACGGTTAGTTGGTTTACGACTGCGTGCTGAAAAGAAATGTATTTGTTATTATAAAACATAATATACATAATTATTAATTGATTCTTAAAGTAAAACTCGTATCATAAACAAACTATAGCTATCATTTTTAGTAAATCAAGTTACTCACCAATGACGTATGTTTCTGTTTATCTGTTTCTGCTATTTCTTCATTTTGTTTATTCACTTCTTCGGTGAATGGCTCGGAAGATACAGTGTCTTCGATTTTCGTCGTGTTTTCTTCCGTATTCTCCACATTTCTAGAATTTTCAATTGATTCGTTACTTTTTTCAACGTTTGATTCGTGATCGACATTCTCTTCTTTTGGTTCGGTATCCGAATTTGTTTCTTCGTCGTTCTTCTCGCATTCGTCTTCCGGCACGGTACTAGTACAACTACAAGTGCTGCATTCGGATACTTCTTCCCATTCGTAACTACTTTGATTACAGGAGTGAGAGTTGCTAGACGATTGACAATCTTTGCACGAACAGCAACAACTACAAGTATCCGATTCGGTACACGTGCAGGGATTATCGTCAATAATTTCAACATAATTTCTACCATCTTCAGATGTACAACAGCTGCATGCGCTACTGCAAGTTTCCGAAGTTTCTTCTCTTTCTGGTTGCGAAATGGATATCTGAATAAAATTTTCTGAGAGTTTTCCAGATTCTTGCTGACTAGTATTGTGAATTTGACTTAAATCGGTGGTGCTACTAGTTAAACACGAAGAAGAATAGCTATCGTCACAATAGTTGCTGTCTTCGCTGGTATCTGTGCTTATAGATCTTCTACTACAGTTATATTCCGGTGCACGAAAGGCAATTGATTCTTCTTCCGAATAATTTTTATTATACACAGAATTATAGCTGATTAGATGTACACCCGATTCCAAATCGGACGCTTCTCCCGATTCATTACCTAAAAGTAAGATACTTCACTTCATAAAGCAGGATTATATAAATATTTCAAACATTTAAACACAGTTTTATGTCGATTGTTAATGAATATTCCAGTGATAAAGTGATGGTCAAGAATCGGTAGCATTTTAACTCGTTACTTGCAACGTATTGACAAATATATGAATAATTCACAATCACATATATTTTGATTTTATTTGGAAAAGGAGGAGAAATGAAATAGCAATTTTCAACCGAAAATTCAATAAACGATAACTTATATTTTTGAAAATTAGTAAATAAATTTGATTTTGCTACATTTAGGAAATGTAATTGTATTAGTGAAAATTAATTTAAAAAATACAAGAGAAGAAAAAAGAAAGAAAGAACATGGGCCTACTCGTTTCTTTTCTTTCGGTGGTTGTTTCTAGATTTGGTGAATTTTGGCTGGAGGAAATCGACGATTCTTCTTTTCTTTCTATCAGTTCTGAAAGATAAGGGAGAACGATTCAAACGAGAGATTTTAATGACAATCTGTGCTAAATATAAAATATTTATAACTTATTCAATATTATGCTGACCATGCCTTTAAAAATATCTAAGTAATAAAATATAAAAGTAATAAAGTTAGTTACACGATTCAATGGCATTTATCGATATAATGGTTAACAATTTTTGTAAACTTATATGTTATTTGCAATATGGTGATTACTGTAAATTTATATCTTACAGAAACTATAATTTATCATTTACAAATTAGAGAAATAAAACAAAAGAATGTCCCATCTTATGACAAAGGGCCGAAATTACGAGTGGCATACCTTAGTCCAATGGCAATGCATTTTAATGATGTTAAAACATCATTATGATCCCTAATCCCTAACATCCCTAACCCAATAAACATAACCAAATGTTGAATTTAATCATACACGTGTACTGTACGTGTGTAAATGTACTGTAAGTTAGTAATGTATATGATGATAGTGTACGCGATAGGACGGTGAGGTGGGGCAACTCCATCCTCGATAGAACAAACCGATAGAAGCGTTTTTTAAAATTTTTAGAATACAGTACATTAAAATTTTATATATAAAGAAAGAAGTTTGTTGGTTTGTTATTTATACATTTCGACACAGTTTATGCAAATGCAATTAAATTTTTCGGGCACATCCTATCATCCCGTGGGTAGTCGACGATTACTTTTGGTGGAATTAATTTCAACCACCGCCCGTCAGAGTGGTGGCGTTCGAATAGGAAAATTATACAAAGATACCGGCAAGATTTTTAGGTGTTTTCGAAAGTGCCTAGTTTAAATATTTCGTCAATTTTTTTGCAAAATGTGACTGATTACCATTTCCGACTTAAAATGGAGTCGATCAGCATGTACTGTATAGTACAAAGGATGAAAACCCCGAGTGATATATAATAGAGATACAAAGCTAGTTCGAACCCTATTCGAACCTCCAAAATTATTCTGTGATAATCATACAAAAACGATTAAAATTCTGTATGGAATTATTAGTTGAATTTCTTTATCATCATTAATTTCGTAGTGTAATATTTTAATTAAAAAATAGTTATATTTCTTAATAATAAATTATTAGAAATTAAAGATAATTAAGGATATTCATTGATATTCTATGTTATTTACCAGAATTTGGCGAAAAATTCTGATAATCGTCCGTTTGACACCAATTATCTACCAAGAACTTTGTAGGAAGACATTCGATCTCTACTTCGATGTCTTTAATTATTTTTGCTTCTTCTATTTCTTTTATAACTTCTTTATCTGGTGTTTTGACTTCTTTTATTCTTTCAATTTCATTTTCTTTTGTTCTAATTTCTTCTTTTGGTTCAAATTCTTCTTTTCTCTGGAATAAACGCTCTTCTGATATTTTACTCGATATTAATTATTGATTTAATCTGTATAAAAAGAATTATTCTTTACGTAGATATACAGAAATTACCGTGTCCTAATGGCAAAAAGTCTATTCCTTATCTATCAATAATAATGTTTGTCGAAGTCGAGTTTTATTTTAAAAGAAGTATCAAAACGTAACTAAAAACCAAAGCTTCCCGGAGATGGAGAAAGACTGATGCCACTTAGATTTAGAAATCATCTAATATAATAATAATAAAAAAGAAAAACCTTTTTAAATAATAAAATTTGACAAAAATGAAGGGATTTTTCCCAATACTCAACATAATGTGTGGCAAATATTTCTGAAGCTCCTATAAAATTATTATAAGGTTTTTATACTTTTAAAACGTTTTAGAACAATTTTATTTTGTGATTCAACAATTAAATATTCTGTTTAATAAATATATATATTATTTTATTTTTAGATGGGAAGCTTATAAAATCTGTAACCAATCAAGTTTTGTTTGATGATTCACAATCAAGATTTATTTTAAACTAATGACGTAAAAAGATCAAAGAGCAACTTTACCGTTGGCCGCACTTTGTTTACTTTCTTGTTAGTAGATTGTCGAATGTTTAATTCGTGTTTCTTTTCTTTTTCTACGTTTTCTTCGCCAGGAAAATTATTTTCAGATAATACCGACGATCTCGATAGACGATTTTCGATAACCGCTTGTTCATATAAACTGTAAGAGGTATTAATATTTAGATACAAATTATGTACGGGATGGGCCAAAAGTCAGATTACCGAGATATATTTTAAGAAGGATTAAAATGTATCTCGGTTAATTTACTCTTAGTCCATCTTGCATTTGTGTATCATTAATCATAGAGTTATAATTATTAAATAATTCACTAATTCAACACTTAACCGCTTGGGCCATCTGGCCGTACGAAAAATGAGACAATTGTTTTAACATAAGCTTCTTCTCCCTCATTCTTTTCAGAAATTTACACGAAATAAAGTATCAAAAATTCTAAGAAATATACTCACCAGTTTATTCCGTCGACTTCTTTTTCTCTCTGCCGGATTATCTGTTTTACAGACGCGATTTTATAAGAACGGGTTAATAAAACTCGTTATAATCGACATAAGAATGCACGAAGAAATCTCGCATTACCTGCCAGACAGACGAATCCAATTTGTTGTCGATCAGCATTTCCTAATAGAGAAAAACATCAATGTAGTAATAAAATATTCACAGTTTAAGTAAATACAATCTTCTTACCGTAGTAACGTATAGTCGAGTAGCCGTAGTAATCAATCTTTCCGCTTCGGCGCGTGTTACGCTCCCTACTAATTTGCGATTCTTCCTGTTTCTGTTCCAGCAAAACAAAAGAAACATAATAATAATTATTATTACGAAGCGCTAATGTAATGAAAATTTAATCTAAATCTACATTTTCGCAAATAAAAATTAGAATTAGTGTCGGTAAGGCATGAGTAGTGGAGTGGATAAAACCAGTAAACACATAGTCGCGGGTTCGGGCCCCGAATAACATTTTTATTTTAAAAAAAATCCATCGTTTAGCTTTGAAAAACTTTCGATAAAATATACAAACCTGATAGTATCACACCATTGAGTTACGTCTGCTTGAATAGATGGTGTCTTGGACGTTGCGGAAATCTAAAAAGCAACATAAATTAAAATGAATCTAACGAAAGAAATTATTGATAAAAGGGAATTTTTACTTACTCTCGTATCGCCTCCCATTACGTATTGAATTAATGACGATCTCACCTCTCTCTCTCTTTCCGATAAACGATTAGTCTATAAGTAAAATGTTTAATTCTCTCTCTTTATTTTATTTAAAGTAGGAATTCTTTAATTTTTTAACCTGTAAAAAGTGAACACGATATTTACATCTAACCTTTCTCGAATTAGAATTTCATTTAGCGAGGAATAAATTAAGAATATTTTTCTAAGATGAATCTACGAGAGATCGAAATATTGTACTGTTTTTGAATCACCAGAATATTAGAAAAAAAAGACGGTAAACATTGTATTATATTATATAAATAATATACGAAATATTACAAGGAAATAGAAACTTATAACAAAACGTTTTTGAGGCTTCTGTCAATGTAAGGCCCGGACCAAATAGGCTGGCTGGCCTCTCTATGCAAGGTTTGGTATCTATCCCCTTTGAATTGTCTCGGATAAGACGTATTCTATGAGCAGAATCCTTCATTTAAAATACGGAAATGGCCAGATTGAAATACTTACCTCTTCCAAATGAGACAAAATGCGATGAATCTGTCGAGAACGTTGCAGATGACTAATGCTTCTCTGATGTAAACCGGATTTCTTGCTACCCGATAGATCTTTATCCTATTCGAAGACGTATAAATTAATTTCGGAGAAGATTATTCTTTCAGTTTATAAAAATATTTATAAATATCCTATTATTTTATTTCTTAAAAATAGATAAAAACGAATAATTTCACCGACATTTTTTCATTAAAATTCAATACGAAACAATGGAAAATGCAATTTTATGTGTTTAATTATATATATTGCGTCGTGACTCGGTGACATAGAACCGCATACTTCGGATTTCCTATTGTTTTCTTCGGATAAACTATCGGTAAACACGATTTAGTGGTCGGAACCATCGGTCGTAAAATCAAGCTACAAACACAAACGTAATAAATATAACACAGATTTATGCTGTGATATTTATGGTTTGTACGTATTGTACATTAAATACGAACGACGAAAATAAAGAATGGCCTTTATTTTTCTCGTTATTTTGAATAAAATTAATATTTTTATACTTATACTAATTGATTATCATCATATTGTATGATAAAGATTTACGTACAGAATATGTATATAAAAGAATATCTGTAGGGAAATTGGGGCAGGGGGTCTCGACTGTGCTGAAACCGGGCGTGTTGGAAGAAAACGAAGGTAGAGGTGCGTGGAATACATAAAAATATTAGTAAAGGTAGATATTCTATATACATTTTAATAAGTAACAATGTATTTATTTATTAATTAAAAGAAAAATATACGACTCATGAATTTTAATAAATTTCTTATGGCAAAGCGTTAAATTCACGAAATTTATATCGAGCATCGAAAAACTCCGAATTTGTTTTAATGACCGAGCCCGTATTAAACACTTTTGAGGCCTGGGCGCAGTTTGCTAAGAGGCATTATACAGAAGAGGCACAAAAATTTTAATAACGAGTAATAAGATGAGACTTCTAAATAACCAAGTTTGATGAAGGCGAGACCCCCTATGTGGAAGAAGGTAGGTCCTCTTTTAAGGTGCCACAACGAGTCTAAATCTGGCTCCGAGAGCCACATCTGTCAGTGGTTCGGGACCACATCACTTCATTCGGGTCCTGTAATGGGCACGTAAAAGCAACTCTTTCTTTCTACATGGAGATTAAGAGGTCCTTTTTCCACGTTAATTTTGGATTTATTTTAAAACTTAATGTAATTATTTAATTTTTTTAACCTATTTTTTCAATAATTTAGCTAACTTATCGAATAAAGCCTTGTTTTTTAAATATTTATGAAGAACCGTTTACCTGCATCCTAACCTAATCCATCAGTGGCCAAAGCTTCAAAGGCGATTCTAAAGAACGTATAAAAAGATGGACTATTACTCGTCTTCGAGGATTGGTAGAAGAGACGACAAAAGTGTATTGAATTCTATGGGAAATACGTCAAAAAAGATCCCAGTCACTACAACTCGGTGTGATTATCACGTGAGAAAAAAATTAGTCTCGATTTATTTTGACTCGCTCTTGTATTGTAAGTTATATAAGGCTTAATTTATGAATTAGTAATTCATAAATGAAGATTGAGCCATTCTTTATATCTAAATTTCCATTTATTTACATTTATTCTAAATTTTAACTATATATTCTACAGTTAAGTTTTTTTTTTTATCTACGCGTTTATATTATTTATACTTGTATATAATATAATAATAAAAATAACTATCGATTATTGATTCGAGTCAATTATTTTCTCATCGAAGTTGTCAATTCGAACTTTTTCCAACTTCGAGAAAAACTTCAACGAGGAAATAATTGACTCTAAATTAGAATAGCCAATACGAGATAATATTTCGTAGGCACTCCGATTAAATAATTGAGTATATAGTGGGTCGTATTTATGTCCACTATATACTATAGTGGGCATAAATATTCCGCTTTCTTCGGTCTCTAAACAATAAATTTGTTTATAGACCGAAGAGGGATGGGCGAGAACTCCGATCATCGGAGAATAAAATAGTCTTCCGAGTAATTCTCCAACTGAGATGAACGTCGGACCAAGTCGTCTTCCTCTTTTGCATTTACAATTGCACAATAAAGTACAAATTTATACAAAGTATAAAGTACGGTTTTGTCGAACACTCGACAGACTCGATAAAAAGCTCTTCTTAGCGCCAACGGGGCAGAAAAAATATAAAGAAACCTAACCGATGCCGGAAAGATCCCTTTGGTTCTCGGGTAGATTTTTAAGTGGACACTCGGTATAAGTGAATTACTCGCGAAATTCGTCATTTTATCAATAGATTATTCTTGTTCCACACACCAGCCATATTTAAACAAAGACAATAAGAATATATATCACTTACTTTTTCCGACGATGTGGACGGAGTGCGCTTCTTTGCCGGCAGAACGAACCCCTCTTCGCGTCTCTGCACTTCGAGATAGTGACGTCTGAAAAATATTTCACTGGTTAATACCACGCGATTCTATTACGCAACGATTGTATTGTATTGTATTTTAAAATCTCACTAACAACTGGATTTTATAGAGTGCGAATTAGAATTACTTCGAGTTTCCAGTGTTTGAAGAAAATAGACAATAATCTTATGATTTTAAAAATAAATAAATACTCCTCGACAGTTAGCATAGCTCAAGGTATTGTCGATAAGTTTAACTTTTCGGTATAGTCACGCGATTGTAATGAAAATATCGACCCTCCGCGTAGCACTGACCTAATCGATAGTGTTATATTTTTTATTTATAAGGACGGTCCACTATATTCTCTTAATGACTGACCCGAATTTTAAACGATGACAAATCGAAGAAATAAAAAAAAAATCTGACAAATACAAACAAATCTCTTGTAAAGGATTTGTAGTTAGAATGTCTGTGTTTAGTCGATTTTTAAAGTGAAATATTTTGAGGAATCTGAAATTTATCACATTTAAAACCATCCCATCGCGTCACTATAAGGTCCTGATTATTATACCGGTGTTTTGACTTTAAATTTTTAAAATGATATTAAAGTTTAATATATTCTTGAAGCACGCGGTTAAGGTGTCGGCCTACCGTTCTGAGCAACCCGGAAACCGATCCACGTAGATCAAAAAGCCTCAGAAAATCTTTGGGGTGATCCGTTTTGGGCGCTGTCTCTCGTCGCTTGACTTGACTATTGCGGGCTCGACCCAACCCACCATGGGCTCGATAAAAAGTCCTCTTAGTGCCCACGATTAAAAACTAAATTTTAATTTAGTTTTTAATTTAATCGTGACACGAAGATTTTTAAAAAATTTTTACGTGCAAATTTCAAAGTTATTGTTTGTCTGTACAAAAGACCGAAATTCATTAAAATATTATGCTATTTACTTCACTACTTAACTTACAATTTAAATTTCAATAATAATAGCAACAGTGGCGTAGCGTAGTGGGGTCGACAAAATTTCACAATAAATAATAATATCTTGTAAAAATTTGAACCATTCTAATCTATATTTGCGTTGCGCCTACGACAGTGCTATCGTCCGGACAGTCCGGGAATTGACTCACCGTCCGGGTGAACTAGTAATTTCATCTTGCGCAACCTGTTGACCTTTTTTTTTTGCTTGTACGATTCATCCGTATTCATATTCACCTCCAATATCCAATAGAGCTATTTTAAACGGATCGCTGCACTAGCACGGAATTTTTCATTGCTTGTCCTGTGACAAAACTGAATTTTAGTCTTTTAAATTGAGATACCTAAATAAGAGGGGGCGAAATTTTCCTTCGCCCCGGGTGGCCGACACCCACGCTACGCCAATGAATAGCAATTAATTATCTAGATTAAATATTGTGCAAGTCGAATGTAAAAATTTACTTAAGTTAATGAATTCGTAATTAATTTTTCAAGAAAACCATTCGAGAAACACTTGGGAATTTTTGACACGACATAATGCGCATTCAGGTACATATAAATCACCGAATGTATGTATGAAAACAGAAATAAAACAATAAAATTAATAAAAAAAATTTTTCCTTTCGGACGACTTTCATTTAAACATATTAAAGGCGTAAAACAACGGGATTATTTTAAAAAACAATTTAACTGTGGATAAAAATCCTCTAAAACGATGTAACCTTTCCTTAGAAACTGCTCCCTACAGGACCTCTCTCTGCTCGATATTTTATCTATCGTCTCCCTAACAAAATTTAAAACAACATACTTCATAAGAAAAATCACGCTTATTTATACTACTATAAGTCCATTATCTTTCGCCCGGTAGCGTTATATATGTATGTACTTTACCGTACCTCTTTCTGTGTTGTGTTTGATGTGATTTCCAATATATTTTCTCGTCTAAAACTATTTCTTATCCCTCGATAAACCTATTTTTTGGCATCTGGGAATGATATTATTCCTGTCGAGTAACACTACTCTAAAGAAAGATTAAGACTATTTTAGTGTAGTTCAGAAATTTTAAAGATATGCAATATCGATTTCACTTTTAATACATAATACTGTAATTAATTTAAAAATATATATATTTTTCTGTCTATATTTTCATACCACAAACGATTTACTCATTATTGCTACATTGTCGATAACTTATTGTTTGTTCCTACAGACTAAGAAGTATTAAGGGTCTTGCGGGTCTAAAGTTCATAACATGTCAACACGAGCAAGATAAAGAATTATATAATAATATATATATATATATGCAAATGTTTATTCTTATTTTACAGATGGATCAGAATCCCAGAAATCTTTAAGAACGATTCGACCCAGATATATCGAGCCCTGTCCTCACCACGCGGCCGTCTCCATTATTGGTCTGTTAGCCTTTTCCCTAAGACAGGTACAGAAAAAAAAGCCCTTTTGTAACAGATTTTGACATTTCATCAATTTTTAAAAAGATAAATAATTATAATTAATTAGTCGCATTGCCATCGAAACACAGTATTATATCATATACGATTGTTCAAATTTTAGTTTAGATTTTTCTGGTTTAATTTCGGCAATAGAAGGGAAATGCAATAAACAACTTACAGCTTTTTGGAGATAGTACGGATGACGTCGTCGGACATCTTTTCACGGGATTTCAACTCGATTTAATATAAGCCACCACCGGTAAGTAAATATAACGAAGAACGCTTGTAGTCGACGAATCCCATACAACGCATGGCAGTTTCCATAGCTACTATCAATTCGAGGAATGTCACGTCGGAGCATTTTTCCAATCGAAAACGTGAATTAGTGCCACACAAGCGCGTATACAAACCTGGCGGAGCGTGGAGAAGTCCAAGGATTTCGCCTTCTATTTCTCAACATGGGTGGAATAATCCAACGAAAATTTCAAAGCCTTTATTATATTGTTCCACTATCTTTATGTACAGTACAAAAGCTCAATGATTTTGAAAGCTACTAAATATATTTGAAACTAAATTTAAATTTTCGAACTTTGTTTTCGCCATGATTTTGTCAAAAGAAATCATTCCTTACTTTGATTAATCAATATCTTCGGTAGAATAATAGTAAACCAATATATTACATACAAAACTTGTACCTTTTTTTCTATTTTTAATAATATAATATTGACGCTATATATATATATATATATAACTTAATATCATCATCGCGCAATTGTTTTTCGTGTTTCCACCTTAAATACTTGGAAATCTTTACAGTACTGTAATTTAAATTAAAGAATTCTTACATTTCTTTTATTGAATTCAAAAAATGACGACTTTTTATGAAATTACGATGGACTTTTCTTTAAGCTTAATAAAATCCCATAAATATATGGACTTTTTTGTATCTCCAACCCAATCGATCTGCATCGTTTATAATTGTTTCAATTTTTAGTAATTCAAACACAAATTATTATTGTATTTATTTTCAGGCACTTGGCAATTTTTATCATCAAATTTTATTTAGGTGATACGTGTTGATATTATTTACACACGTTTCGGGCATTTATTGCCCCTCCTCAGCCAACTTTTTATTTTACAGGCTATTGAGATATTAAAACCACAAATTTCCATCTCCTATGTTTACTTGTTATTATGGAATTACCAATCATCAAAAATCATCAAAAAATAGATAAGGGTCAACAAAACAACAACAATCACAGAAAAAAACTGCAAGAATAAAGTGTGTTAAGGGCCAAAAAAGTTTTGGTAATTCCATAATAACAAGTAAACATAGGAGATGGAAATTTGTGGTTTTAATATCTCAATAACCTGTAAAATAAAAAGTTGGCTGAGGAGGGGCAATAAATGCCCGAAACGTGTGTAAATAATATCAACACGTATCAACTAAATAAAATTTGATGATAAAAATTGCCAAGTGCCTGAAAATAAATACAATAATAATTTGTGTTTGAATTACTACTAATAACTACTAACACGGTTTCAAAGTACCAGAATATGTTTCAATTTTATTCATTACCAACGTTCTCGACCCACAAGAGTCCATTGCTTGTTACAGTGTTCCGCAAGCTTTTTCTATTTGCGGTACACCCATGACTCGACATGTCTCAACACGGCACACCAAAATGTTATTCCCCTCAAAAGCGTATGATATGATAGTCTACTATTAATAGAATTACGTAATGCCACTAACCTATTATTATTATTATTATTATTATTAAACAGACATCAACACCCGTGAGCAAATTTCTTTTACATTTAATTTCTTAAAATACATAAAAATGCATGGCTTGTAATAATGAATAAATGAGCATCACCTTATTTCATAAGTGCTGCGGCACTTATGAGATAATACTTGAAATACAAGCATAAGAAACACAGCAACTGTGATAAAAATATATAAATAAAGCTTGAAATTAATAGAATATGTAAAAGTTCGTCACACCTTACACCTTGTGACAGCACACCGGTTGCAAAACACTGGCTTATTAGACTCACCCCGTTCGTATCGGTCGTAGCATCCGAATGGGACGTAATAAATTAATTTACTAATAGTATAGATAGATAGGGACGTTGTTGGTCCCTGATTGTTATTAGATTGCCTTGTTTCGAACCCACCTCCCTTATAACGATAGAATGATGACAATTAAAAATGCATAATCTTTTGGTAATTTGAAAATAGAAGTATCATTGAAATGTTTAAACATTTTCTCCAATCTTTTAATTCTAACAATTTTACATTTTTTGATATACAAAATATAAAACAAATCAGCACCGAAAACCTACAAAATCTTATTGGTCATTTTCAGGATGATGCACAAAAACTCTACTGTATTATATAAAAAATAAATTAATTCTTAAGTGTCAAACTTTATTAAATTTGAATTTAAAATAATGTGATGATGAATGAATATAAACAAACACCTATTTTTTTTACATTAATGAAGATTAGCCTTTATCAGAATAAAAAAAAAACTATCAGTCACAGAAGGTAATTGAGTCAATTCACTTCAAACTATTTTTTAAAATATATTTATCTAAAAGGGTGTGTAAAAGAAATTTTAATTTTTGGAAAGAAAGTCTTAAAAATGTCCACTTTTAAAACTGATTCATATATACAATGAATGATTATGATAAATACAGTATATGAAATTTGCAAGGTTTTTGCTCTGCTGCTGTATTGTATTATGTCTAAATTAATTCTCTACTTTTAAATTCAAAATGTAATTTGCCTTGTTTGGCACACAAAAATACTTATCTCAAATTTTGGTTGTAATTTTTGCTAAAAATGAGAAAACATTCCTTCTGTATAGAAATGTTTTTATTATTTAAAATGCAAGTTGATTAGTTTGGCTAATTATGTAAACAACATGGAGATATTAAAGAATAAAATCAAGCTAATTGTGTAACTTAATTCCTTAATATTGCATTATATAATCAAACTAAATATATTCTGTGGAGATGTAAATGAAAGAATCATATATTTTCTTTACAAAAATGAATGAATTTAATGTTGAAATAATTTTTCATTATTATTATAATTCATCAGATATTAATGTAACAAATTTCAAACTTCTTGGTAACTTCCTTCTCTTATGGCGGCTTTGGCTAAATTTCTTCCTAACGCAAATCGTAGCAAGTTGAGTTTTTCCTTTAACTCTTCCAACTGTTTGAAAAAAAAAAAAAAAACTGAAATAAAACTTCAATTTTCTGAATAAATAAATATTGCAAAATAAAATTTATATAAATTTGACATTTTAAAACCTTTATGTTACGACTAATAGGTACGAAGAAAGATAAACTTTGCCTTGTTTTTATGGGAATCGTCAATTATGTAACACAGTCCTTTTGTTGCTTTAAAGTGATATAAAATTGTGCTAATGGTTGACAGCAAAATGACTATCGAGTATCTTAATATGAATAATAAATTTATAATTAAAAACAATCATTTGTACCTCTTGCGCATTTTTACTTGACTGGTGTCGTTTGAAAGTCGAACTTTCTATTAATTCTTCTAATGAATATAATAATTCGTACATTTGATGACTGCTGAAAGTTACTTCGGTAGATTCTAACAGAGGTAAGGCATCCAGTAGTAATGTTATACAGAAGCTGAAATTAAAAAGAAAATTTAGTACTGAAGAAACTATTCTGCATAATGTTAAATCTATTTCAACATAAAATACAGTATTTTTTTCTATATTTTTCAATAAATACTTTTTTTGAATGAAAAACACAGTTATATATGAAATAATTGAAGGATGTAGCTTGTGACCAAAGAGAATCAAAGTTATATTCCATCACTTTTTTGACTAGCTCTGTTAGTCATCTTCCATGTATAATATCTTCATGATGCTCAAAACAGAGCATTATGACAGTGGCACCTATATAATAAATTTGAGCAAGTTGATGGATTTTGTAAAGGTACAGTTCTAAACTCCAGACTTTTCAAAAAGTGTAACCCCATCTCTATCATTGCAAAGTATCTTACACAATGTGGGCCAAGGAGCCAGTGGCAGTATATATCCAAATTTCTTAAAGGCTTGGCATAATATGTAAAGGAAGACCTAGGTAAGGGATGGCTGGCAACACAAAGACTGCTTTCTTCTTACGAAATAAAGTGGATCATGGAAATAATGCATTTTTTACTCGACTGACTAAATAGTTAAACTTAACGATAGAATATCCAGCCCCGGACACTAATTTAATCTGGGCAATCTTTTCATACACAAGCAGTCAGGAGGAAGGTTATAAAAAGCCCTACGTATTATAAGTGCCTTAATGGCCAAATTTATTGTCCTGGCAAAGACAAATATGTTAAAAATGTACAAATTATTTATTAAAAGTATTTATTTTAGTGAATTTATCATCATCAAACTGAGTTTCCAAACTGATTAAAAATTATCAATGATGTGAATTAAATTAGAATACCTACAACATATCTTTTAACAATTTTTATAATAAAAAAGATTAGAATATTTCTTGGACATTATTTAAATCAAATTCTGATCTTATTATAAATAACTGTATTTAAGTCTAATATAGTACTTACTGTTTTGGTACTAATTTCGATGAAAGAAGAGAAACTAGAAGAGAAGTGGCCGATGCAAAATCTTTTTCTTCATAAAATTTATGGAATTCTCTGTATTTTCCTTTATTTTCAAATAAATAAAATAAAAATAAGTAAAAATATTTTTTACTTACATTACTGGCCATTAAAATTGCTACACCAGGAAGGTGGCACACTACACACATGAAATTTGCACGACAGATAGAACATGCTGTGATATGCAAATGATTAGCTTTTCAATGCATTCATGCAAGGCTGGTGGTGGTAGTGACATCTACAATGTGTATAAAAGAAGAGATTTTACAGCAGGTTTCTCATACAGAAATTGCATTTGAATGCTGTTTTCTGGTAAGAATGTTGTTGTTATGCCTTGTGTAAGAAGGAGAAATGCCTACCAGCAAATGTCTGACTTTGATCAAGGTCGAATTGTAGCCTATCAAAATTGTGGTTTATCATACCACAGTATTGCTGCTTGTGTTGATCGCGATCCCATGACTACCAGCAGAATATGAAATCAATGGGTTCAGGACAGTCATACAGAACGCTATGCAGGATCTTAGCGGCCCCATCACTAACAGTCGAGAAGACAAACATCTTATCCACATTGCCTTAATGGATCGTACAGTCATGCCACAAACCCTTAGTCAAGAAATGGGGTCATTTGAAAGACATCAAGTGTCTGCACGAACAGTTCAATGATGTTTACAGCAGCATGGACTGTCAGCACGGCGACCATGGTTTTGGCTACCCTTGATGCTGCATCACAGGCAGGAGTGCCTCCAATAGTGTGATCAACAACAAACCTGGACACAGGAATGGCATTACATCATCTTTCAGACGAATCCCAGTTCTGTTTAGAGCACCATGATAGCCGCATCCATGTTTGGCGGCATTGTGGAGAACGCACATTGCCAGCATGTATTTGACATCATCATACTGGCCCGTCACCTGGAATGATGGTATCGGGTGCCATTGGATACAAGTCTCGATCACCTCTTGTTTGCATTTCCAGCACTTTGAACAGCAGCTGTTACATTTGTGACCTTTCGGGTCGGCACCTCTTTGGTACTCTGTCAGGATTGACACCACCGTGTTTAGAGAAACACGGAAACCGAGACGGCGATTACGTCACGCCGTCGCGCGAGTGGTTCCGTACGTGGTCAGACGGATTCGTAATGTCGATTCAAGAGACAACATTGGAAATGACTCAGATACACTTAACAATTAACAAGGGTTTATTTACAAATCTATTGGAAAAGGATTGTCGCGGAGAGAGAGAGTTCACATACACTTCGCGGGATGATAAATACCTTTGGTTATAGGTCCCGTTCGGGTCTTGTTGAATCGGATTATAACAGCTTCCTATGGGTTTTTAAGGTTTCTGATTCGTTATCCAGGCGATGCACTAACACACACACACACACACACAGACAAGTTTATCCTATGGCAATTATTCGGATTCCTTAATGGATGATAATTGAAGGGAGGACGACTTCTTTCCTCTCTGAGGACTAAGGCAGCGACTAACTCTTTTCGGCCATCTCTGATGATATTCACGGACGATTTCGGCCGTGCAGAGGTTAATAGTTCATGAGAAAGCGTCATGTTGCTTTCGAGAAAATGTAACGGGAGACTTTCTCAGGTAGCTAAGAACAACAATTGTTGCGTAATTCGCGAAATGTTATTATTAAAGACTATTTCAAATATAAGAATTTCTGCTATCTCACACATTTCTGATGTGTTAAGGCCTGTGACTCTGCCCTATCTTTGAGGTCTCCATAACACTACATTTCAGCAGGACAATGCACAACCACATGTTGCCCGTATTGTCATGACCTTCCTTGATACAGAATATGTTTGATTGTTACCTGGCCAGCATGTTCTCCTGATCTCTCACCAATTGAAAATGTCTGGTCAATGGTTGCCAAGCAACTGGCACACCACCACTTGCTAGTTACTATGGTCGATAACCTGTGGCAGTGTGTTGAAGCTGCATGGACTGCTGTACCCATACATGCTATCCAATCTCTGTTCGACTCCATGTCCAGGCAGATAAATGCTGTTATTGCTGCCAAAGGTGCTGAGAAATCAATACCCAGAGTAGTCACTCTGGGTATTGATTTCTCAAGATCTATACCTCCAAATTTCCCAAAAATTTAATTATTTGTTCTTCACACTATAATGTATGTGTCTAATAAATATCATTATGTTTTTCGCATTCCTTCCTGGTGTAGCAATTTTAATGGTCAGTAGTGTATTTTTTTACTTATTATATTTTACTATAATACTATAATTATAAATTAATTTACCTAAAAAGGTTAGCTTATCACTAACCAACATGCTTGGACCTAAATTATCCAGAAGATCTAAACTGGTAAACTTTCCACAATTCACATAATCAATCAAAAATCTAATAATAAATATATATAAATTACAAATTTTAATGTTATAAATAATTAGATATGGATAAATTATAAAAGAATTATGTACCATCAAATAAATTTTGAATTACATATATTAATATAGAAAAATAATAACTTATGTATCATCACATTAAATTCTCCCTCTTTTGTGAGCATTTCTTTCATTGTATTTTCCAGTATTATATAATATATTTTTGTAAGAATTTACAAAAACAGTATATAATATCATATCACAGAAAAATATCATATAGATATTTTTCTATGAAAATCATATTGTGAATAAAGGAAAATTAAAAGAAACATTCTAAACTGTTCTTTGCTATGAACAGTTTTAGAATATGATAATACAAATCAAAGGAAATTTTATGTGATTACTCATACAACTGCAGTAGATTATATATTATCAAACTTGAATGTATTTCTGAAACAACTCAAATATTAGACATTCAGATATCAGGAAGTGTTTTCCATTACAAGTTAAACTAACCAACTACTTGTTTAAAGATCAATCTGAGAAACCATTCTTTCTCTGTAATGCCCAGGTACTTTCAAGCTGATCAGGCTCATCTTTAGGGCTTCCTCTTAGCTGCAACTCTTAGTTTTCAAACATGTGTTCAAGGAATTCTATTGCTGAGCTGCAATTTGAAAAAAATTGTAGACCTATAAATTTCCAGTCATCTGTCCATACATCTTTTCTTAATCTTGAGAATAGAGTTAGACAGATGAAAGACGAGACCAGATATGGAAACCATAGGGACAGGAAGCCCCTAAAGTTTCCATATCTTATATTAACTATATAAGAACTTCCAATGCAAACCAGAAGTCATGTTATTTCAATTCAAAAATTTTTCCTCGAAAGGTATTAGAAAGATGACCAGCAAGACTCTATAGATTAAGGAAAAGTATGATGTACAGGGGCAAGACACTACTAATTTGAAGTGGAGAGCATATATTTTAAATTAAATAAATTAAAAATTTCAGTCCAGCATTGTGACAATGTCACAATAAATAATTGCTCATATGCATTTTCCAGTTTTTTCCCATTCTATTATTAATTTATTTTTTTAAATTACAAACTGTTAAGCAGATGAATTCTCTCTTAATAACTTCTTAACCCTTGCCTTTATCCTCTTAGTGGGGTCTCCGTCTATCTCTCTACAAACTGTTTTTTTCTGTATAACTTCCAAGACCCCTAAGAGAAAACATCCAAGAGACAGTGCTTCATAAAATCCATCTGCTTAAGAGTTTGGATTTTTAAAAAAGAATAATAGAATGAAAACGAAGGAAAATGCATACAATAGAATTCTTCAAGCTCTTATTCAAAAACAAAGAATTTCAGCTAAAAAATGCCCTGAAGATGAGCCTGTTTGGACTGAACATTACTTGGGCATTAGTGAAAAAATGCTTTCTCAGGTTGGTTAGTTTAACTTTTAAAGTTCGTATGGAAATTTAAAATTTTCCATTACATATTACATTACAGAAAAAATTCTAAATTCATTCCTGTTCTATCTAAATAAACAAAATCTTCCCAAATGATATTAACAACTATAAAAAGCTAGTAATAAAGATTTCATGTCTAAACCCCAATAAATCCACCTTACTAATAAATACTTCATAAAGTCACTAAAAAGTATGTTTGTAAGCATTAATGTGAGGAATAAGTTTGTATAGTATCACATATTACATGAACTGCATTTTCTTTCATATGCAGTAGACAACAAAGAAAATATTGTATATTGTAATGATAGTAATATTTTAATTTAAAATATACACCAAGTAAAATCACTAAAAATAAACAAACAAAACAGCGAATCTAACTTATTGTAATGAACTACTAAGAATAAGCTCATAAGACTGGACTGAAATTTTATGATAAAATTGTTGAACCTCATGCCATAATATTAGTGAAACAAATGAAAACAGACATTAGGAATGAAGCCATTTTCTACTTCCTTTTTTTTTTACCAGCTTGACTTTGAAATTTTTACAAATGCACCTTGAAGAAATTTTTAATGCTGGGATTATTTCAAATATCATGATGGATACTAAATAACATCATTCATTGTAACAGAAATTTGGATACAAGGAGTTCTGATATTTAGGGATGGCTATATTTTTAATTTAATAATAATTAGAAAAAACTATTTAATGGATAGCGTATTTCTTTACTTTCTTTTGCTGTATTCACAATTTGATATTGAAAATCAAGTTAATCTAACATTAGAATTGCAATTCCAAAGATAGCTGTACTAAAAATTCTACAGAAATGACTGAAGTTGCAGGCATACAACATAGAAATTGTCCAAGCCAGATGATAAACCAAGATGAAATGAATTGGCACATTCATACTTTCACATATTGATGAAAAAATCAGTATCTTACTATCCTCAGAACTAATATGGTATGCCTGTTCCTTCTAATGAGTCATTGGCTATAGACTCTAGCTTCTTGAAAGACTATAGATTGCCTTTTTAGTTAATAACAACTCTTTGGTATGACATTTACAACAAAATAGTGCTTCAATTAAGTATAAAAATATGCAAAGTTTGTTTCTCTGATAAAGCAATCTTTCATCTAAGCAACGAAGTCAAATGACACAACATTTAAATATGGGAATCTAAAATCATACACACATTTGAGACAGCCCAAAGAAACTAAAAAAAAAAAAAGTTTTATTACATCAGTCCACAACATCAAAATTCTACATACCACACCCTGAAGAACATGTAGGATAGACTGTTTCAAAACAAAATCATTGGCCTCTTCATTTTCACAGAAAGTATAGTCAATGAAAAAAGTTTAAAGTAAATATTAACATGTAAATGACTGAAAGAAAGCAAAGATATTTGTGATGTTTTATATTTTTTTTAAAAGCATGTTTATTTGGATTTGTTGGCTGTCTTTCCACAACTATAGAAATTAAAATCTCATGTCATATTCCAGCATAATAGGTGCCCTTAAATTGGGATTTGAAGTTTGTGCCAAATAAAATTAAGCTTTCCCAACAATTTCCTATTCCATGGCCTCCTCAATTACTGAGTGTTACAACCCAGGACTTTTTCTTGTGAGAATTATGTCTAAACAACCCCAATTTATTTGTCCTGAAAAACAATATCACTGATGCTATTCAAACTATCACAGTAGACATGCTCAGTAATGTAGATCAGAATGCTCAGTAGACAAAATTGAATATAAATTGGATATGTTGTGAGCTACTACTAAATAGTGCTCATGTAGAGGTGTATTAAAACCTGAAAAAAAACTGTTTGAGTTGATGTTCTATTGCTGTAAACTGTATAATCTTAGGTCAATTATACCTTTTCTGTTATATTGTTTCAAAATGTGTGCAAGACATTTTGACTACCCTGTATCTATGCCTACCTATAGTGTATGTACACTACAGGTAGGCATAGATACATTTACATATTTATACAAAAATGCAAATAAAGTAATGTAAGATAATTTAACAAACGAGAGAATACGGAAACGCAAACAATATAACTACAATAATTATTACATTATACTGTTAAATATTTTGAAGTAGATTACTAATACATTTTAATAATCAAATTATGTTACATTTCAAATAATTTAAGATTAAACATAACATACTAAAACATAATTATTAAACTGTCTTAGTTATTCTTAAAATGCTAACTAAATTTTTAGTATAATATTTACAAAATTTGTACTTACTTATCAGCTAAATAAGACATAAAATTTATATCCTGAAAAATTAGAAATTATTTAAATTAGTTACATGTAAAAGCAAACATTCTTTACAATTGTCTTTAATTACAGTTATAAAAAAGAATGAAATAGAAGATGTATGTGTGTTTGTGTGTGTACACAAATTCAGCTTTTAACTGTTATTTAGTTTAATCTAACTTATATTGTATATTCCTGAATAGTTAATGTATAATTAATTTAATCAATTGTCTTTAATGAAAGAAATCTCATTAAAAACTTCAAATTGACAGAAAAATAAAACTTTCAAATAAATTTTGTTTTATCCCAATAGATTTTGTTTTGTTATTCTTCTGTTGATTGCATTCTACTTTTTCTTGGTCATCGAATCTGACGTAAGCACACAATATCCGATGTAGCTAATATCGCCTAATGGGTGGAAATAGATGGTATACTAAATATTTTTAGCAGTTTAATGAAGCACTCTATTGGGAAGTAAACAATTGAATCTTATAAATCATCTCAATTATGCTATTATGGAAATTAAGCAAAATTTGTCTTTCAAATACTTAAAATTGCATTTACTGTAATTCTCTTCTATTGTTATTTATACAATATTATCCTATTCTAAATATTTGTGAATTCCTTAGATTTAATGAGCCAAACATGAAGCAGTTAGTGCCTAGTACCTTGCACCAGCTGAAAAATGTAAATATGGTAAAAGCACAAATGCCATATCACATAAAATGTATATATATAAGAATGAATTTGAATACTGGTCTTCTAAAGGATAGTAAACATGAATGTGAATATTGATATCATGTTAGTATGTCATACAGTTTCAAACTATGGTTTCTACATACAAACAGAAATCCTAACTGTTAAATTATCTGAATTTTTATAATCTCCCAGACAAAATATTCTTTAACATAAAACTGCTTTTTCTTCCTTTTAGTGAAACATATTAGATAAAAGTAATGTTTAAAAAACATAATTTTATGATGCAGCAATTTAATAATATTTAGTTACTATTAAGTGTTATATGTGATTCCCAGAATTTATTTTAATATATATATCATGCTCTTATTGATGAATAATTAAGCTAAAAACAAAAATTATATAATCATTTACATTACAAATTACCTTTGATTGAACTGCCCAACAAAGTGCTGTTCCTAGTTGTTTATTTCTATTTGCTTGTACACCCATTACCTTATATATACTGTTTACTAAAAAAAACCAATTTGTTATTAATTTTTATGTATTAAAAATTCATACAGTTAAGTAATAAATCGAATTTTTATTAAAAGTTTTGAATATAAAAACTAATCTCACGTTATTTGGAATATTATATATTGCTTTTCAATTAAAGCTCTGTTAAGCAATTTATATTATTAAATATCTTATTAACTAAATTGTGTAAAAAATTCAAAATGATTATGAAGATATCATGTAGTCTATAAATATATAAAACAATCATTTAAAAGCAATTATTCTTATTATGTGTAGTATTGTATAGTTGTAACATTACATTAATATAGTTAACTTTATTAACAGAAAAATTTAATAAAATCAAAGACTAAAAATTTTGTCTTAAAATATAAAACTTTCTCTTCTTTTAATCTGCAATCACATGCAGTTTTTTTTTTACAGGATTGCATGCATAAGGTGGCAATTTTTCACTGATTTTTCATGCATAATTGCATTGCACATAATTGCCATTCCTCAAATTGATGATTCTGAGAAAAACCTGTAATGTGTCTTCTCTGTATATGCAAAATTTCAATTTCATGTGTTGTTTACTACATGATATATTTTTTTATTTCCAGAACAATGTCTTTGACCAGACTCCCACAGGCAACCCTTCAAACTTTGCAATAGCAAGGGCTAATGTAAAATGAGTTCAGCTGGAAATAAATGAAGTGTTTCTCAGATGGACAAGAAAATAATTTTTCTGTGTATTTTGAACATGAAATAAAGCTGTGAAAACATATGAATTGTTGAAAGTCATAGTACTCCAGGCTATCTTATGGAGACAAGTGTTCAGGGTCATACTGAGTTGCAAACCACCATATTATGTCATGTATAGCTGACAAACATCCATGAGGTCATGACTTACAGTAATTGCATAGACCTCCATGATGTCAGAGCGAAAAATCATCATATTACACAAGTGATCATGTAACAATAGAGAGGTTGAGGCCGAAGTTTTAAACGTGAAAACGTATACATCGGACGTTCAGCACCGCTTTCCTGTAAGCCTAGAAGTTTGACAATGGTGTTTGGATAGTCAGTGGAATCATGCTCGACATTCCAAACACCATTGTCAAACTTCTAGGCTTACAGGAAAGCGGTGCTGAACATCCAACGTATATGTTTTCGTGTTTAAAACTTCGGCCTCAACCTCGTTAATAAAGAAAAATTTTGTGTGATCACATGCTTACAGCAGAAATTTTCTGCAGCAGTTGTTTGAAAACTTGTGATAAGCAGAAAAAATTTTTTAATCAAAATTTTTACACGAATGGCACGTAATATGAGAATATCATGGAAGCACAGATAAGTAAGTATATGGCAACATATCTCTAAATCTGATTTATTAGTAAAACCAAACAAAGTGCCAAATTATTGGGCTATTATATAACTCAATTAATGATTAGGAACTAATTAATTTGTCCAGAGATAGACAATTATGCCACCATCTGATGTTAATTTTAATAATTATAATACATTAATTTTTAATTTGGAATTTTCTGGAAGAAAAGAATTGGACCAAAGTGAGACTCAAACCTGCAACTCCTGCTTACCATGCATACAAGTTATGCTACCTGGACCTCCATCCAATATTCACTTCCAGAACTATTAATTTAAATCTGCTGTGTCCAACCTGTAGCCCATGAGCTGCGTGCGGAGAAGTCAATATCTTTTTGTGGCCCTTTTAAAACCATAATTATCTTGTATAAATTTTTATTACAATGAAATATCACATATATAGATAAATACAGTAATATGATGTATAACACCTTATCATCTACACTCAGAAATTAAAACAGTTATTAAATATTTTTTAACAAAGCTTCAAAAGTATTATTATATGTACAAATGTATGTATATTTATTCAGTATATTTACAACAACAAAAGTTTTTAAATTTGTGTTTTGGTATAACAAAATTATATTTCCTTAAATTTGCTGTATATGTTTAATAAATATCAAATGATAGACACATTCTTAAGTTACAATGGTCTTCTGGGTTTCCAATAAATGATAAGAGATTTTATTTTTTTCGTTAAATTCTTTAAAAATAAGCCTAAGAAACTTTAAATTAGAATTACATATTTACACATGCATGTAGATTTAAAATAAATCATTTCATGTTTAGATTGTTAATGGGCTTAATTATGTCTTACTGTGTAAGTTATTTGATTATAGTTAGTCACCAAGGGGTGTCTCATGAAACAGATACTGTATATGCTGTAGGTCATTTCAAAATCGGATGCCATTAGTTACTGGTTTTCTTCTCTTTTTTTGGTCTGGCAGCCATTTTTAATACAGTTATTCTGTTTAGCTATCTCTGTTAATTAACAGATTTTACAAAGTAACAAAGTGTTGAATTCATAATATAGCTACACACCAACCAAATGCCGAAAATCTATCGGGCTAGTATAAGGCTAATTATTAAATGAATTACATAAGCCAAATTGGTTACGTAATTCATTTAATAATTAGCCTTATACTAGCCCGATAGTGTTGAATTCATTATTGCTACAGTTATAATTACCGTGCACTCGTTTTATTAGTAAAATTAAACATTATGTGTATGTGAAACATTAATAAATAACCCAATACAAACTGAACTGAATAAATATTGAGAAATTTTAAGTGATTGAATAAAATTTTATTTTTTCTACTAGGCCCTGTCAAGGAGGCCTTCTTGTAGTGACAAGATAGATTAAGTTTTCACATGTCGGAGCATGTTTTCTAGAAAGGGACGGTTGGCAAGTCATCCTGGACAAGTCAAGACAGGTATGCCGACTGAGATGGATCCAATAGAAAGCTCAGATCAGCTCAGTTCCAGATTGGTTGGCCAATGGATTCAAAACTTAGATATAAGGCAACGTTGGATGGAGGAAAGCAGAGTCTAGCCTGAGTGAGAAATGAGCCTCCTCTAAGACTATGTAAGGAAAAACAAGTCTGGACTAAGACCTTGTCCAGACTTGTTTGGACAAGGTCACCACACACAAAACCAACACCAGCAGTATGAAAAGAAAAATTGTAGTTAGAAGTAATCAAGATGTGTTGTTGTGTATCTCTCTAAATAGTATTAAATAAATAGACTTAATTTGTGTACAAGAAGTTGTAAGGTGTTCTTTTTGATGGACTGGAAATCGGAAGGCATGATTGAACTTTACTGGCCCTTTATTTCTCTTATGTCTGAAAGGAAGAAAAGAAAATTTGAAGATGAAAACAGACAGTTTCAAAGTGGATGGGAAGATTTGTATTTTTTCCTTTAGATAAAAGACAAAGCTATATGTTTAATTTGTCATGACTCTACTTCAATATTAAATTCATACAGTTTAAAAAGACATTATGAACAAAAACATGATAATTTTGAAAAATATACTAACAAACAAAAAGTGAAATTAGAAATACTTAAAGCAAGTCTGGCTGCAGAACAAAATGTATTTCATAAACAAACAGTTCAATCAAATATCATCATTAATTCCAGTATAAGATGATCACAAATTGGGAAAGAAATGAAAGCATTTTTGGATGGTGAATAAGTCAAAGAATGCATTATCACTGCAGCCGAAGAAATCAAGATTTTCAGTCAAATCAGCTTGTCATATCAAACTGTAGAATGAAGAATTGATAACATTTCAAATGAAATTTGTTCAATGCTGAACATGTTTGCACAGTTTCTAAGAAGTTTGTGTATTTCTCACTGGCTTTGGATGAAACAACATATTAATTAAGGATATGGCTCAACTTGCCATTTTTATTTGAGGTGTGGATAGTGAAATGAATGTGACCAAAGAATTTCTCGATGTTATGAGTTTAAGACACAATTACTGAAAAAAATATTTAAAAAAGCTGTCATAAAATGCTTGCATGACCATGGACTGAAATTAACAAACCTAATTGGGATCACCATAGATGATGAAGTTTCAATGGTCGACAAGAATATTGGAGTTGTTAAATTAATTTTTGAGCATAAAGAAGCCATGAAAAAAGTTCAAAATCTTCAGAACTTTTCATTTGTCATTGGTTTTTGCACCTTGAAAATTTGTATGCACAAGTATTTAATACAAACCATGTGATGCCAATTGTTAAAACAGTTAATGCAATAAAATATAGTTCTTTGAGGCATTGTTAGTTTCAAGATTATCTTCAAGAACTGGAATCTGAGTAGAGCAATTTGCTTTTTTATGCAAAAATTCAAAGATTAAGTCATGGAACATGCTTAGAAAGAATTTGAAGGAAAAAATTTGAATTTTTATAAATAAAAATGACCAGAATGATCCTGAATTATATAATGGAAAGGCTTTTGGATTTATGTTACCTTAATTTAGTAATTTACTACGAGAATTTCAAAAGAGATTTTCACATTGAAGGAATTATGAGAATATATTTAATATTTTCTTATGTTCATTTGACATTGTTGTGGAATCAGCTCCAACAAGTTTGCAGATGGAGTTAATAGATCTCCAGTCACCTTCTGAATTGAAATATGTTTGAGGCCAATGACAAAGTTCAGTTTTATAAAAAAAAAAATACATCTGTAATGATAAATTCCCTAACCTAAAAAAACTGGCAATAAGCATTACAGCTGCAATGGGAATCACTTATCTTTGTGAATCTTTTTTTCTCAAAATTGAAGATTGTTAAATGTAAGTCATAATAGATTGACTGATGAAAATTTAAAAAATCAACTACATTGTACAACATTGATATTAAAAAATTAAATGAAAAAATTGAAAAACAAATTTCACAAAATACTGTATAATTGTAAATGTTTTGTTATAAATAAATATACACACAGTGTATTTTTATTTTTGTTTTGGCTCAGTAAACAATTTTGGTTGGACACCACTGATTTAGATAAAACCATAGTGGTTACTCACTTCAAGAAAACCCTAAATTAAAAATTAATTTATTATAAATTATGAAAATTAACGAGAGATGGTGGCATAACCACTACCACTAGACAAATTAATTAGTTTCTAATCATTAACTTAGCCACAAAAAAGCTTTATAATTTGGCACTTTATTTAGTTTTACAGATAAGTAAGTCAATTTGCTGAAAAATACCTGTGAGAAATGAATAGGTACAGAAANCATGTTGCTTTCGAGAAAATGTAACGGGAGACTTTCTCAGGTAGCTAAGAACAACAATTGTTGCGTAATTCGCGAAATGTTATTATTAAAGACTATTTCAAATATAAGAATTTCTGCTATCTCACACATTTCTGATGTGTTAAGGCCTGTGACTCTGCCCTATCTTTGAGGTCTCCATAACACTACATTTCAGCAGGACAATGCACAACCACATGTTGCCCGTATTGTCATGACCTTCCTTGATACAGAATATGTTTGATTGTTACCTGGCCAGCATGTTCTCCTGATCTCTCACCAATTGAAAATGTCTGGTCAATGGTTGCCAAGCAACTGGCACACCACCACTTGCTAGTTACTATGGTCGATAACCTGTGGCAGTGTGTTGAAGCTGCATGGACTGCTGTACCCATACATGCTATCCAATCTCTGTTCGACTCCATGTCCAGGCAGATAAATGCTGTTATTGCTGCCAAAGGTGCTGAGAAATCAATACCCAGAGTAGTCACTCTGGGTATTGATTTCTCAAGATCTATACCTCCAAATTTCCCAAAAATTTAATTATTTGTTCTTCACACTATAATGTATGTGTCTAATAAATATCATTATGTTTTTCGCATTCCTTCCTGGTGTAGCAATTTTAATGGTCAGTAGTGTATTTTTTTACTTATTATATTTTACTATAATACTATAATTATAAATTAATTTACCAAGTCGAACTTTCTATTAATTCTTCTAATGAATATAATAATTCGTACATTTGATGACTGCTGAAAGTTACTTCGGTAGATTCTAACAGAGGTAAGGCATCCAGTAGTAATGTTATACAGAAGCTGAAATTAAAAAGAAAATTTAGTACTGAAGAAACTATTCTGCATAATGTTAAATCTATTTCAACATAAAATACAGTATTTTTTTCTATATTTTTCAATAAATACTTTTTTTGAATGAAAAACACAGTTATATATGAAATAATTGAAGGATGTAGCTTGTGACCAAAGAGAATCAAAGTTATATTCCATCACTTTTTTGACTAGCTCTGTTAGTCATCTTCCATGTATAATATCTTCATGATGCTCAAAACAGAGCATTATGACAGTGGCACCTATATAATAAATTTGAGCAAGTTGATGGATTTTGTAAAGGTACAGTTCTAAACTCCAGACTTTTCAAAAAGTGTAACCCCATCTCTATCATTGCAAAGTATCTTACACAATGTGGGCCAAGGAGCCAGTGGCAGTATATATCCAAATTTCTTAAAGGCTTGGCATAATATGTAAAGGAAGACCTAGGTAAGGGATGGCTGGCAACACAAAGACTGCTTTCTTCTTACGAAATAAAGTGGATCATGGAAATAATGCATTTTTTACTCGACTGACTAAATAGTTAAACTTAACGATAGAATATCCAGCCCCGGACACTAATTTAATCTGGGCAATCTTTTCATACACAAGCAGTCAGGAGGAAGGTTATAAAAAGCCCTACGTATTATAAGTGCCTTAATGGCCAAATTTATTGTCCTGGCAAAGACAAATATGTTAAAAATGTACAAATTATTTATTAAAAGTATTTATTTTAGTGAATTTATCATCATCAAACTGAGTTTCCAAACTGATTAAAAATTATCAATGATGTGAATTAAATTAGAATACCTACAACATATCTTTTAACAATTTTTATAATAAAAAAGATTAGAATATTTCTTGGACATTATTTAAATCAANTAATAGATCTCCAGTCACCTTCTGAATTGAAATATGTTTGAGGCCAATGACAAAGTTCAGTTTTATAAAAAAAAAAATACATCTGTAATGATAAATTCCCTAACCTAAAAAAACTGGCAATAAGCATTACAGCTGCAATGGGAATCACTTATCTTTGTGAATCTTTTTTTCTCAAAATTGAAGATTGTTAAATGTAAGTCATAATAGATTGACTGATGAAAATTTAAAAAATCAACTACATTGTACAACATTGATATTAAAAAATTAAATGAAAAAATTGAAAAACAAATTTCACAAAATACTGTATAATTGTAAATGTTTTGTTATAAATAAATATACACACAGTGTATTTTTATTTTTGTTTTGGCTCAGTAAACAATTTTGGTTGGACACCACTGATTTAGATAAAACCATAGTGGTTACTCACTTCAAGAAAACTCTAAATTAAAAATTAATTTATTATAAATTATGAAAATTAACGAGAGATGGTGGCATAACCACTACCACTAGACAAATTAATTAGTTTCTAATCATTAACTTAGCCACAAAAAAGCTTTATAATTTGGCACTTTATTTAGTTTTACAGATAAGTAAGTCAATTTGCTGAAAAATACCTGTGAGAAATGAATAGGTACAGAAAACTACCACTTTTGTACGTGTATTAAGAGTAAGAAGAGAAAATGTAATATTCATTTAAAATAGATAAAAAATATGATAATTAGAATTCATATCAAGCAAATTTATTCTATAAAATGAATTTCTGAATTCCATTTGGATGATTGACTAGAGATAAATATGTCAAAAATAAATTTCATGTATTTTAATCCTAAAGATATAATCAAAATTTACTTCCTGATGACTAGGAATTTACATTCATATTCTATAAAAATTGTATTCTATCTGTAAATTTGAAAATTTCAGACAACTAAAAATTCTTTAGAAAGAGAATAACACGATGCTGAAAATGATTCAGCATCATGTTATTCATCTAAAGCTTAATTTTATAAACTAGTATTAAATTTATTAGCACTACATTGGCTTTTCTTTGTTGCTAGGCTTATTACACCATCCTTATAAAATGTGAATTTCTAAAGCTGGTCTTGTACTGAATGATGGTGTAATAAGTCTAGTAACAAAGAAAAGCCAATATAGTGCTAATAAATTTAATCCAATACTAAGCAAGTAATATATCATTGAATTAAACTAGTAATATCAATGTAGTTAGCTTTTTCAATTATGTTCCCTCTGTTTTTTTTAAGTTGGGAAGAAAGCTACAATACAAACACAAGATCACAAGATATGCATTCACAAGCTATCTTACTTCTTAATATTTTTATATTAAATATAATATAAAAAACTAAATTTTTATACATATATTATTTAATTTCTTAGCTACTTTAATAATCATTAATAAAATTTTACCAACCTAACTGTTGCATATTTCTATTCTTAGCAATTGTTAATATTTTCATTACTTTTGCATGATTTGAAAGTGGGATCCTTTCCAAATACATTTCTAGATATTGTCTAAAAAATTAATAAATTATAATTTAATTTTCTAGCTTAATGAATGAATGAATAAATAAATAAATTAGTTTTATATATAAAATTACATTTTATCAAAATGTAATTTTTAAAACTTATATGACAAATAAGATTAACAAAAAATTACTATTATTATAATTAATTTTTAAAATCAAAACAAAAATAAAATCTTTATTAATTCAGTTTTTAAATATGGCAGAAATATTCACAATAAGAAGCTTTTTTTCTTTTAGAAGAGATGAGTTGTACAAAAACTGTGAAAAATTGAGAACATGAATACAGGTTGGAATGATTTCGGTAAAAGAATATCATCTGGTGATAAGGAAGATTGTATTAACATGCCACAAAGCACTTTGAATTTAGCTTTTCTTCATTAGAATTAAATATAGCAGTGAGATTGATGAATGAACAGTATTCTGATAGTCATTGGAAAATTACTAATAATCATTTTAACTTAGATATTGTTGTAAAAGTTTTAAGATATTTAGATATAAAATCTGGAGTTTGTTACTTAAAAGTATGAAGAAAAAATAAACCTTAAATTTTCTAAGTGTGTCAACAAAAACTTGCAATTTTTATTTAATCTATATTGGGCAGTTAATTACTTAACATGTTTGTCTTTTAGAAAATTACTTTGTGCCATTTTTACAAATTACAAATATAATTAGTTTCTCTTTGATAACATTGTTTCTATGACAAATTTATGTTAAGCCACTGTTATTTATTAAATTTGTACTAACAAAAACAAAGTCAATAAAAGCTATATTTTTATGACTTAAGAAAACCATAAAAGCCAATATAGCAAAAAAGCTTTATATCATAAATATCCTTAATAATTTCACTAAAAATAAAATCAAAAGATTTAGAAATGTTACCTGTTTTATATATTTTATACTATTTTAATAATCATAACACTTATGTTTACTATTTGCATAAATCAACCTTTTTATTTAATTTCTATTCCTCCTATTACTTAATTTTAAACTAAAATTATGTATTTATATAACAAATAAGTTGAATTCTTACCTGCCCATTTCAGGACAATGATCGAAATAATCAACACCAATTTGCCATAAACTAAAATGAGAAATTATTGAAATTTATTTATTTATAAAAACTAATCATAATTCTGTAGAATTATTCTTCAACAGTAAATAATAATTATAAATAAATAAATATACAGTCAAGTCCACATAAGTCATCATAGGTATAACTAGACACTGTCAGTTAAGTAGTCAGCTTTCTGTAATCCTGGCTGACTTACATAGGCATTAATGTTAAAAAAAACTCTGGTTTACTCAACACCGTTTAACTCATCACCCCTGGATAAATCAACATACTTTTTCTGTCCCACACTCATTTTCTGTTTGTCTGATAATTTGACTCCCCTCCTGAAAAAAATGAGTTCACACCACAGCAGAATCTGATTTTGCATTTTCTTATCTTTCACTCATGCATTATTTGCAGCAAGTGTTTCACATTTCTGTTAGAAATGAGTATCCAAAACCTAACAATGCTTATGCTGAAGGAAAAATACGAATTTGTATCTGAATTTGAATGTAATAGAATTTCACAAGCCGAATTTGCAAAACATGAAAACCTTCCAACAACAACATTAGTGGGAATTCTGAAGAAAAAAGAGGAAATTAAGAAACTTTTCCTTGAGTCTTCATTGCTGTTATCTCGAAAATGCAAGAGAAAGTCGTCATACAAAGATGTCGAAGATGCTCTGGTACATTGGCTGAAGCAAATTCGTTCATTGAATCCTCCTGTTTCGGGACCGAAACTGAAACACAAAGCAATGGAAATCGCTGAAGTACTTGGAGTAGAAACCAATTTTAGTGCCAGTGATGGATGGTCAGAGAGATACATTGCCTGTACTGGTACTGTATAAAGCACTACTGTATTTTCCCGATTGTAGTTTTGTATTTTTCCAACTTTGTTTTAGTAATCATATCACATAACTCAACACATTTCCACTTCCCCTGGGGTGTCAACTTATGAAGACTCAACTATATATATAATACAGTGGTGTCTTGACTTACAAGTTTAATTTGTTCCATAACAGAACTCATAACTCAAATTACTTGTATATCAAATCAATTTTCCCCATTGAAATGCCATTAATCCAGTCTGGACCCCCAAAACACCACAAATTTTTTGTTACATGTTTTTAAATAAGAAAAATGTACTTATAAATAACGAATATTGTAAAAAACACAATAGAATGTACTGCAATAAACTGGTTTTGCAAATGTTGCAGTATTTGCTGCATAAATAAAGAAAGAACAAAATGGAAAATTCTAGAAATGAGAGATGGTGGTTCTGCACACAGCATGGAAGTGAATTAATGAACTATATCACTCAATCACGTTTTTCTATAATCTAGTCTGTCAGACATTAGAAGAGTAACAAAAATAACAAAATTATGGCAGTTTTTCCATCTTATTTTTCTTAATGTATGGTTTGCTGCACAAATTAGCAGTGGGGTATCTGAAGCTGGCTCATAACCCAAAATTTATCTCTCAACTCAAAGCAAAAAAAATCAGCCAAGAAATGACTCGTATCTAAAAATCTTGTAAGTCAAAGTACTGCTACTGTAGTTATATATATATATAGTAAAGTACAGTTATATATAGTACAGCTGTATATAGCTGTACTTTACTTTTGCATAATTCAAAATGGAAGAAACTAAATAGAACACATTAAAACAGTTGATATCTGCCTTCACATTTGAATTGTTGTCTTCTGAGTTATAACTTGGACTCTTTTATCATTTTCAAAATAAAAATGTTTAATATTAAGCTAATATCAGCAATACTTTCTGGATACAATCTCTTATTTTTGTAACTGCTAAAAAAGAGGTTTGTAGGCAAATAAATAAATTTGTTATGTCCTTCCAATCCAGCAGAGGTCAAGAACCACTCGAAAGACAATTTTAATTCACAGATCTTTATTTATATGCATTTCGGATTGGAGTTTGTACCTATTCCTCCTCAGATTACAGATAATGAAAAACTGTTTTTATTTTACAGTTATTAAAACATGTAAAATTTAAATAAACAAATAAACTTACACAGGTGTACTCTATAATAGTTTTCATTTTTCTTAGTAACCTTACATCAATTACAGTTACAATCATCCTGCATCACGTAACATTGTACAGTACTTTTATTCCTATATATGATGTCACTCCATATGTCATCTACCAACATTCCATTATTTTAATAAATGCTTTGTTTAGTTGTTAAACCTGTCTCCTGTCTCTGAAAAGATGCCTGTTGACTTGCTCACCTCCCTTGCCACTCAATAAAAAGCCATTCGAAACAACAACGTGAGCAGTATTATAATTAATTTTTAAAATCAAAACAAAAATAAAATCTTTATTAATTCAGTTTTTAAATATGGCAGAAATATTCACAATAAGAAGCTTTTTTTCTTTTAGAAGAGATGAGTTGTACAAAAACTGTGAAAAATTGAGAACATGAATACAGGTTGGAATGATTTCGGTAAAAGAATATCATCTGGTGATAAGGAAGATTGTATTAACATGCCACAAAGCACTTTGAATTTAGCTTTTCTTCATTAGAATTAAATATAGCAGTGAGATTGATGAATGAACAGTATTCTGATAGTCATTGGAAAATTACTAATAATCATTTTAACTTAGATATTGTTGTAAAAGTTTTAAGATATTTAGATATAAAATCTGGAGTTTGTTACTTAAAAGTATGAAGAAAAAATAAACCTTAAATTTTCTAAGTGTGTCAACAAAAACTTGCAATTTTTATTTAATCTATATTGGGCAGTTAATTACTTAACATGTTTGTCTTTTAGAAAATTACTTTGTGCCATTTTTACAAATTACAAATATAATTAGTTTCTCTTTGATAACATTGTTTCTATGACAAATTTATGTTAAGCCACTGTTATTTATTAAATTTGTACTAACAAAAACAAAGTCAATAAAAGCTATATTTTTATGACTTAAGAAAACCATAAAAGCCAATATAGCAAAAAAGCTTTATAATTTGGCACTTTATTTAGTTTTACAGATAAGTAAGTCAATTTGCTGAAAAATACCTGTGAGAAATGAATAGGTACAGAAAACTACCACTTTTGTACGTGTATTAAGAGTAAGAAGAGAAAATGTAATATTCATTTAAAATAGATAAAAAATATGATAATTAGAATTCATATCAAGCAAATTTATTCTATAAAATGAATTTCTGAATTCCATTTGGATGATTGACTAGAGATAAATATGTCAAAAATAAATTTCATGTATTTTAATCCTAAAGATATAATCAAAATTTACTTCCTGATGACTAGGAATTTACATTCATATTCTATAAAAATTGTATTCTATCTGTAAATTTGAAAATTTCAGACAACTAAAAATTCTTTAGAAAGAGAATAACACGATGCTGAAAATGATTCAGCATCATGTTATTCATCTAAAGCTTAATTTTATAAACTAGTATTAAATTTATTAGCACTACATTGGCTTTTCTTTGTTGCTAGGCTTATTACACCATCCTTATAAAATGTGAATTTCTAAAGCTGGTCTTGTACTGAATGATGGTGTAATAAGTCTAGTAACAAAGAAAAGCCAATATAGTGCTAATAAATTTAATCCAATACTAAGCAAGTAATATATTATTGAATTAAACTAGTAATATCAATGTAGTTAGCTTTTTCAATTATGTTCCCTCTGTTTTTTTTAAGTTGGGAAGAAAGCTACAATACAAACACAAGATCACAAGATATGCATTCACAAGCTATCTTACTTCTTAATATTTTTATATTAAATATAATATAAAAAACTAAATTTTTATACATATATTATTTAATTTCTTAGCTACTTTAATAATCATTAATAAAATTTTACCAACCTAACTGTTGCATATTTCTATTCTTAGCAATTGTTAATATTTTCATTACTTTTGCATGATTTGAAAGTGGGATCCTTTCCAAATACATTTCTAGATATTGTCTAAAAAATTAATAAATTATAATTTAATTTTCTAGCTTAATGAATGAATGAATAAATAAATAAATTAGTTTTATATATAAAATTACATTTTATCAAAATGTAATTTTTAAAACTTATATGACAAATAAGATTAACAAAAAATTACTATTATTATAATTAATTTTTAAAATCAAAACAAAAATAAAATCTTTATTAATTCAGTTTTTAAATATGGCAGAAATATTCACAATAAGAAGCTTTTTTTCTTTTAGAAGAGATGAGTTGTACAAAAACTGTGAAAAATTGAGAACATGAATACAGGTTGGAATGATTTCGGTAAAAGAATATCATCTGGTGATAAGGAAGATTGTATTAACATGCCACAAAGCACTTTGAATTTAGCTTTTCTTCATTAGAATTAAATATAGCAGTGAGATTGATGAATGAACAGTATTCTGATAGTCATTGGAAAATTACTAATAATCATTTTAACTTAGATATTGTTGTAAAAGTTTTAAGATATTTAGATATAAAATCTGGAGTTTGTTACTTAAAAGTATGAAGAAAAAATAAACCTTAAATTTTCTAAGTGTGTCAACAAAAACTTGCAATTTTTATTTAATCTATATTGGGCAGTTAATTACTTAACATGTTTGTCTTTTAGAAAATTACTTTGTGCCATTTTTACAAATTACAAATATAATTAGTTTCTCTTTGATANTATTCCAATGAAGCGCTACCCGTTATTTTTTTGGAGGGGATTCCCCCTCTAAGCATTAAGGTTCGTATATCTCCACTTTTCTGCCACCAACTACAACAAACAAAGGTATGTACAGTGCTATTTTATTAAACAAAGTTTACACGTTTGTTGCTGTAATGATAGATACTACGTTTTTCTACATTTTCATCAAAGAAAATTACTGTATATTACAAATAAAATGACAAAAATTTCAGAGACTAGAACGGATTAATTGCATTTACATTAATTTCTATGGGAAAAATTGCTTCGGTTAATGAACAATTCAGTTAACGAACGGAGTCATGGAACGGATTAAGTTCGTTAACCAGGGTTCCACTNTCATAACTAAAACTTCATGGCTTTGGAAAATTTTTTAATAATAATTAATGGCATTTTTCTTTTTTCAAACTTAATAAAATATTAATAAACTGGGAAAAAAGTTTCAGAAATCAAAAATTGTTTTGTTATGTGATCAAAAGTATTAAAATGAAAAATGATAAATAACTTAATATTAATTCAAATAGTATTATTTATCATGTTTGGTTCTTTGTTATCATTTTTTTTCATCAGTTCATTAACAACTGTCCTCAAATTGATGCCTAAAATATATGCTCTCCACCTTCAAATTAGTAGTGTCTTGCCCCTGTACATCATACTTTTCCTTTAGCAATTGAGTTGTGCCAGTCATCTATCTAACTCCTTTCAGGGAAAATTTTTTAATTGAAAATGTAAATTGTGAGAGATGGAGAGATAAAATATTTCGAAAATATTTTTATTAACATTAGATTATTAAGAGTATTAGATTTTTCTCTCAAACTTAAATACTGCATAATTAATACAGCAGTTTTAAAATCTAAAAGTATTTTAAAATTTGAAAATAAAGATTGATATTTTGTATGCTTGTACATTTTGTGCGCTATAATTTTGGAGATATTTTGTGTATGTTTGAGTGAAATTTTGGATCCTGAAAATATTCTGCACCTCCTTTTCACAAGTTGCATTGTACCACAATACTTCTTGCAGCCTTGAAACAGCTACACTTGGTCAGCCATACTCTCAGTAAACAAAATCAACAAGGCAACAAGGAAACAAATTCCCTGACTTTTTGACAATTTTTAACAAATTTCCTGACTTTCCATGACCTTTTCTAAACACTAACAAAAATATATGACATTCCTTGACTTTCCATATGCACAGGAACCCTGTAGCTAGTGTATTGTCTATTGAACTCATACAGATTTCAGAAAGTTTAGTTCCTATGATGGAGTTCACGCTACTTCTGTCTTTTTGGCAGAAATAATCTTTATCTATTTTAAAATAATTGCTGTAATAGATTAATTTACCTAGTTTTTAATCCAGCTTTGTATATCTAGTGCTTGTAAACTTTCTTCAACATTTTCTATTCTATATTGGGATGCATTGAAATTACATCTAGACTTAATAATTTATAGGTAGGTTTAAACTTTACTTTTAATATTCTGCTAATTAACTCATCTGCTGACGTAATTATATATTGTGAATATGGGATATCCTGTAATTTCTTTTTGAGAAATTTTTCTAAATTATACAAAATGGAGTTCGAAAATCTACAAGTGGTTGATATTTTTCACCAAGTTTATGGGTTTTAAATCTAATTTTTAAATTAGGTGTTATGCTGTTTGATGGATCCAATATAAATTGTTTTTCTTTAGTATTAATCCATTTTTCTTTATAAATTTTGTTAATTTCTTTACTTATATTCTAATAATTTCAGTTCTAAGAGCCTCTTTAGTTCTGTAAACTCTACAAGAAGACAATAATTCAGATGCAAAACAGATATAAACTATTTTAGGTGTTTTCTGTGGGAGGAATATACAGTGGAACCCCGGTTAACGAACGTCCTGGTTAACGACCAAATCGGTTAACGAACTTTTATTTTGCAAAAATTTTGTCTCGGATAACGAACAAAATTCGGATAACGAACGTAACGGTATTTTGTGTCAAATTTTAGTTGGTGTTAGGCATGCGCGAGTTAAGCATTGCTTTTCCGAGTGTTTGTGCTATACTTCTTTTTTCAGTTTTGTGATTTATATATTTAATCAATATGGCATCCAAGAAAGAAAAAAGTCATAGTGGCAATAGAAAACGACAACGCAATATAAACGACAATGCGCTATCGCATTTGAGAAAAATTTTGATTAAAAGAGTAAGACAATCAACTTTAGATCAATTTCTTGTTCCTTACGGAAAGAGTTTGTTTCTTTGTTAAGTTGTCAACGCAACACTTGGGCGATCTGACTAGAGGGAATGCCTTCTGGGAGGTATTTTTAAGGGAAACTGGCCCCTATTTAGGTGTTACAGACGTGGAGAAATCCCGGAAAACTCCACGTGGCCAGCCCGTCTGAGCGCATGGTGCGAACCCACGAACGAACTCCCCGTGTTCAAGGAATACCACTTAGCCACTGGTGGGTTTTTTTACCGAAAGATACTTCGACTCGAAGAATATTCCAATGAAGCGCTACCCGTTATTTTTTTGGAGGGGATTCCCCCTCTAAGCATTAAGGTTCGTATATCTCCACTTTTCTGCCACCAACTACAACAAACAAAGGTATGTACAGTGCTATTTTATTAAACAAAGTTTACACGTTTGTTGCTGTAATGATAGATACTACGTTTTTCTACATTTTCATCAAAGAAAATTACTGTATATTACAAATAAAATGACAAAAATTTCAGAGACTAGAACGGATTAATTGCATTTACATTAATTTCTATGGGAAAAATTGCTTCGGTTAATGAACAATTCAGTTAACGAACGGAGTCATGGAACGGATTAAGTTCGTTAACCAGGGTTCCACTGTACTCCAGGATCACATTAAATTTAACTATTGTATCTTCAGGTGTAAAATATTTTTTAATCACTTTTTTTGTTGCTGTATAAGTAATCAAACATATAATTTACCTTTTATGAGACATTAATGATCCAGCATAGTCAATTATATAGAATTCTCTTAATCTTGTTCCATAACTAAAAATAGAAAAAAATCAGATTTAAAAAAAAAAAATTAATTTAAAACAGGATAAGTATGTCATAACATAAATTATAACTCTTAAAAAATAAAATATTTTAAGATAAACACAATTTTGCTAAAACAATCTGTTTTTGTTTATTGTCCTTTCTTTATTGCTTTTATAATACTCTATGTAAAAAACAAATTTATAATAAATGTCGAAATCCATTCTGCAAAATTTTTAAAATAATTGTTTTCAGTAGAGTAATCAGTAAAGTTTAAAATTAAATATGTAAAGTATATACACAAACTTATTTGTTAATGGAACATAAAATTAATCAAATCACATTTAAATTAATTTAGATTAAAATTTTGATGTATGTATGAATATATGTGACATGTACTTATATAGTAAAACTTTTTTAACTTGAAACTCCAATAAGCAGGAAAAAACAAGAGTGAAAAATTCTGAATAAATAGAAAATAGATTCTGAATTCATTTGTATTTTTACCTCTGTTGCATTATATAAAGAATCTTTGAGTTTTTTTTTTCTGTTTTAAATAGCCCTTGTAATGCCTTTTAGCAAAATGTTCAATGTAACTAATGGAACTGAACAGTTTAGCAGATACATCTTGTCGATACAAAGCAAGAAGTCCCCTTTGGACTGGACTATTGTCTATAAATGGATGTTAGACAATAAATACAACTAACTGTCTGAAAATTTCATGGAAATCCAATAAATAGGATCACTTTGGATAGAATAAATATTAAAATTCAAGTTGGAAACATTAAGTCCTGCTATTCCATTGAGACTTACTGAGTGCTTCATTTTCTTTGAAATAAAGAAACATTTGAGTTACAAACAATTGAGTTAGAGAAGTTTTACTGTATTGGATGTAACTAAACTTAATGAGAACAATATGTAAGTCCCTGCCCAGCAGAAAAAAAAAGACAATAAAGTCAGTCAACTATTGGTTTCAAAAGAGAAAACTGTTTCTGTGTCTTTATTAAAATATAAACTGCTAACAAAAATTGAATGTGTGAAAACAAAACTATGTATGTTGACACACCATATACAATAAATTGTTTGTTATACATATAGTGCATATTGGTATTTTTAGATGGTTTAAATTGCAACAGGTTAAAGGTTTCTGTACTTCTTATAATTATTAGATTAGATTGTATCACTGAGTTTAGTAAAAAAATAATTTTTTAATCCAAAATTTAGATTTATAAATTTGTTCATATAACAGTGGTTTATATTTGACCACTGTTATATGAAGAAAATTCATCATCACTAGTCTCACAATACGAAATTTTTTTTAACAAATTTCTGGAAACAATAATGTTTTATTTTAAATATAAAATTTATTAAGAATGATAAAAACCTAAATGTCAAAAAATGAATGATTTTTATATAGATATAATTATGATTTTCCACGAGTTAAGTAAAAACAATTTTAAGCTTTTTCTTATCCACTTTAAAAATTTTAAATATAAATAAATTTTTTAAAATATTACTCGAAAATACATAAATATAATTGAATCTAAAGCTAAACAAATATTGATTAATTTAAATATATTTTTATATTGTTAAGATATAAACTAAGTGGTTTCAATCAACTATTACATAATATATGTATAAAATATATTTATATTATGTAATAGTGTATAAATGTAATTATGTTATATATTTATATTGTAAACTATTATGATATAAATGTATAATTTTATATAAAAACTACAATATATAGATAAAAACAACCTATTCTGGACATAGCATATAGCATACTGAAGCTATTTTCTAGTCCTAAATTAGTAAATTAAAAAACAGATTTTCTCCATTAGAAAATAAAATCTATTATTAAAAATTAATCTGATTTTTTGAAAACAACATAAATCTATTTTTTAAGTCAAAATATTGAAAATTTCAATTTAGCCATATTGTTAAAAATATGTAAAAACAACATTTTTATAATATTTACAAAATTTTTAAAATGAAATTTATACTTCTACAGAATATTTTTTAATTTTTTAAATGATTAGAAAAAAATTCATGACCTTCAGCATGCAAAATGAAAAAAATAAGAATTAAATTTTCATAATTTATAGATAAAATCATGTTTTTTAACTTCAACAACAAAATTTCTTACTTAATTTGCTCTAAATATCCACAATGATATAGCAGATCAGTCAAATGAGTAACAAACCACCAGTTATCATTTAAATTGCTAAAAAAAATGAAAAATAAAATAAATTTTTATTTAATAAAAAAAAAATATATGCAAATATAAGAAATAATTACCAGCATTCTCTCATTACTTGTCCTAGATCAAATTCTAAAACTGCTAAAAGTATTTTATCTACTTGTGATAAGCCATTAATGCCAACACATATGTCAATACATTCCTGAAAAACAAAACTTTTAAATTTTATATATCAAACTGCAATTTAAGAAAGTAAGATAATTACTGCTCTTCTGTTACTGATATTATAATGCTATTTTATATTAAATCATTGATATAAAAGGATACACATAAGTTAAACTAGAAGAAAGTTCTGTACATGTATACAACAAACATAGAGGATATAGTAGCCATACATACACTGTTCAGAGAGATCCTACCTATCTATCTCCTGTCCCTCCTTCTACCCCCCTTTCTCTTACCCTCTTTTCTGCTGGCTAAACACCTTGTGTACGGCCGATGTCTTTCATGTAAATGAGCATGTATATTATTTTACAATAATGTATATAGAAGATAGTATATACAACAACTCCAATGGGAGTGCACAATCACTACAGCAACATACATACAGCAATATGCACAGCAGTATGCACATCAAAACTTCACAAACACCACTACAGCAATATCAATAGTATGTTGCTATAGTAGTGAAATCACTATTATTGCAACAAGTCTGCTGAAATCACTATGATAACATGTGTCAACATTACAGGCACATGTGATGATAAAATCACATGTACTTGTTGATTTGACCAATTGTTGTCATTAATATGTTGATTTGACCAATTGAGGTCATTAATATGAAATGGTAAAAAGAAAACCTTATTGTTAAGATTTTGAAAATACTGAAGATGGATTTGATTTTAAACTAGATAGAGACAATTTGAGTGGTATTATAGTAGTAGAGAATAATATAAATTATAATACTAAGAGCAATAGTAATGATAATAGCATAATGGTACAAAAAAGGAGTAAAGAAGAAAATAGTTATTGATAGTGACACCAAAAATAATGGAAGTGTTTCTGTAGAATGGGAATGATACAACATCACAGAAAATGAGGATATGCCAAAGAACAGTTGTTGATCATATGTAAAAAATGTAAAAAAATTCTCAGAGTGCAAATGTAAATCTATTATCAAGTCCAAATATTAAGTAAAAGACTTTCTGAATTCAAATCAAAAATTTCTTATAGTTGTAAGTCACTCATATTAAAAAATTCTTGGAATGCAAATGGTTAATATCTACATAACTGTGGAACTAAAATTTTGAGTTCAAATGAATACAAATTAAAAAAGAAAACAAAAATTTATTTCTAAGTAAAGCAATTTTGAAAAGAAAGAAATGTAATTGTGCACAAATAATTTTCATAACCAATTGAATAGATAAAAAGTAACAAAAATATTCCATATTCATGTACAAGTTAGAAGAGCAGAATTATGAAAGACTGTTGGTGAATTGGTGAAGACACAATTACAAAGAGCTTTAAGAAATGTGTTACTAACAGCTGGACAGAACAGATGACAATGTACAGTTCAAGGAAGCTGAAGATGGCAATGAAATAGGAAACAGGAATAATGACAATGAAAGTTCTAATGAAAATGAAAGTGAAAAAGTATTGTTTCAATGACTTTACAAATTTTTTAACGCAAATTTCTGATTTTTTGTATGCAAAAAAAATTAATAAAAGGTCAACTTATATTTGGGAAAGTAGTGTATTAACTGTAGAGCATTTAAGGATATACACAAGATCTTTATACACAGCTATCTAAATAACAAATATGAAAAGAACTTCCACACTTTGATATAACTTTCTTAAAACTAGATATTTAAATTTTACATATAAAATTACTATTTAGATTCATATTATGTAAGTTTATTGTGATAACAGAATTTTTTAAATTTAAACTGATCTGTTCTGTTTGATTTCATTAAAGTTAAATGTTAATTTTCTACTTGTTTTGTATTTTGAAGATGGGTTCCTGAAATCTAAAAGCATTTGGGATAATTATATTATATTAAGATTAAAATATTTGTATAAGCTCTACATAATATTCTGCATGTTAAAGTTTATGCAGTTGCATTGTAATAAATAAATAAATACTGTAACTTTATATGTTTTACTCTATGAATATCATTAATTATTTAAAACACATTTAAAATATTTTAGCAAAATGCCTTACTTTAGCAACATCAGAAAGTGAATTGACAGTTAAACACGGATCAGAATACAACAATCTTGATACCATCATCTGATACCAGTTTCCACACAACTCTCTAAAATTGAATTAAATATTAATTAACCTTAAATTATTGAATATCATAAATAATATATAATCAATAAAACAAAGTATAGTGTTATGAATTAAAAGATGTTAGTAGAAATTTAATGAAGGCTTAATTTAAAATATATTACTCATATCAAAAGTAAATTATATATCTATGTCTTATCCCTAATCTGCGTGAGAAAGGACTAATTGTATAAAAGATACATCTTGTATGTATTGTCTACTGAAAAAAGTTATTTCTTTATAACAAAATATATATATAAGTCTTTTATAATGATAAAGTTTTAAGTGTTTAGGAAAAAATATCACTATCTTCTAATAAAAACCATTCACATAATAGGTATCATAAACAAAATACTGTTTTTAAATAAATAAAAAATACAATCAACTTGCTGTTTTTATTTGTATTTGTATTTATTTGTATTTATCTACCTATTTCAGGGTTTTCAACTTATGGTACACAAAGCACTTCCAGGAGATGCAAAAACAAAAAAAAAATTGTAATGGCTACCAAATTTAATTCTAAATCAGCAATTTTTCAGTTTAAAAAGAGTTCATAAATAGATGGTTCAAAATTTTCTAGACCCAAGTCTATAAATTTTAAGCTGCTAATTTTATTTATTTATTTATTTTTACAAACTTTACATTATTTTATAATTTTTGAAGGTCTGAGTTCAGTTACTTTAATTTAATTTTTCTTTTTTACATGTCTGTATTACTAAAATAAATGGTACAGAACTTAAACTGCAAATTAGTAAAAATCAATGATTATGTACTATGAACTATTGAAAACCATTTTACAACATACTTTATCTTCAATTTATGAAAGTTTAGGAATGTGCAAATTGGAAAAGAGTTGAATAATTGTTCTATTGCATAAAAATGCATGGCAAGACAATCATTTGCACAGAAATAAATTATTTATTAAATTATATTATTGAATAACTTAACCATCATTAAAGTTACAAAAAAATATCATGTAGATTGTTTCCAATTATATCTCTAATTTATTATTTTATTAAAAACTAATTAAATAATTAATTAATAATTATTTAATAGTAAATTTTAAAAATTTAACATATGAAAAGACAAATAAATTATTAAATAAAAATTTCAAATCTTTTTACTTAAGCTCTTCAAATATCTTCTTATTTCCACAGAGAATCTAAATAATTAAAAATACAAAAATTTAGATTCAAAAATATCTGTTCAAATCAAAATCAATTTTAATTCTTGTAGCATTAAACAATAATTTGAAATAATTAAACAGATCAATGAAACACAACATTTATGAAATAAAACTGATGATCACTTAATTACACAGTCCAGTCACATTAATGTGACCACTTGTCAAAAGCCAGAATGGTCCGCAAGGACAGATGTGTACTTCTGTTGATCCATCGTGCCTTCCACAATGATGAGTGCACCTGGAGAATGCCACAAAAACATTCCCCAGACCATAATGCTCCCTCCTCCAGCTTGGACCCTTGTGGCAATTGTTGCAGGGTGTTTGCTTTCAGGTGCCTTACACTGTATACACCAACATCCATCTGTCCGATGGAGCATAAAACATGATTCATCGGAAAAAGCCACCTGTCACCACTCAATGGACTCCAGTTGCCATACTGGCGTGCAAATTCTAGCCTTTGTCGCCAATGAACAGAAGTCAGCATAGGTGCTTTAACCATGCATCTGCTGCGGAGGCTGATACGCAGCAACGTTCACTGAACTGTCGTTGAGGAGACACTTTTTGTAGCTCCTTGGTTCATCTGGACGGTCAGTTGATCAACGGGTGCATGTCTATTTGCCCAAACACATCTCTGCAGCCGTCATTCACCTCTGTCGTCTATGGCCCACAGTGCACCACATTTGCCACGTCACTGATTTTGGATAGTGCCATTTTGCCATACATGGTATACTTTTACCACGGTGGCATGCAAACAGTTTACAAAATTAACCATTTCGGAAATGCTTCCACCCTTGGCCCAATGAAGCCAATGATCATGCCCTTTTGGACATAGAATAAATTGCATCATACATCCATTATGCCAACCAACGATTGCAATGATACCCTTATCTTAGATACCCTTCATATACCCTCCACTGCAATGTGTTGCTACCTGCCACCTGTGTTATTACTGTGCCACCATTAGTTATTTCACATTGATGTCGACAGTAAGGGGTGGTCACATTAATGTGACTGGATTGTGTATAATACAATATATTTTCATATCAGTATTCATAAATCTATCATCATTAACTACTGTACATCACTGTCAGTGAATTACAATAGTTAATCTGTTCAGATTTATATTCATTTTTATCAACAAGCTTCTTCCATTGCACATGAAAGACCTTAGGAGCATTAGGATGAAATGAAGTGGACTCTCTTGTCTCCCTTGTAATTTACATTCTTTGGTAAATACTATTTTTGGAAGTTCTGGTACCAACCTTTGCTGGCAACAAAAGTAGTGTCTGCAATGCTGCTGACTGAGAAAGTTGCTTAAATCCTATATAAGTACCTATACTAAAATTCACAGGCAGACTTTTCTTGTGTTGATCTTTAGTCCAAATGAACAATGTATTTTCCTTAATTTATTCTTCTAAAATAGAAGATAGAACCAATGAGCAATGACCTTAATAGTCATTGCATCAAGTAATGTATTGGTTCTGTTTTCTATTTTAAAAGAATAAATAAAGAAAGGAATCATTGACAGCATGGTTCTCTTCAATTGGAAATTACAAAATGCATTCTCCATTTCCAATGTCATTTTATCACGCACATAACACATGTATTGTAATGTATTGTTACAAACTCCACCAGCTTACACTACATCTCTGACCTCAGTTTCTTGTTTTTTTTTTAATGTATCATACAATGCTTTTGTTGACAAAAAACATGTGATCTACGGTTGCATTGTAAAACTTTCTTAAAATACTACATGCACTTCTTTTAGAACTCATGGCATTAACTTCAGCAGTTATTTTATACACAAGCAGCTTAACTAAGAACCACAGATGCCATCCTCTTATTCTGACAATTTTCAGTTTCACTTTTACATAACTTGCTTTTGTACATATACAACTTTTGTTGTATATGTACAAAAAACATCCATATAAAAACCTCCAATTTTTGTTTCATCTTGATAATTTTTCCCAAAGGTAGGCTGTAGAAAGTTGCTTCTAAATTTTACACCATTACTTTTGGTTCCACAATAAACTTCATAATAAAAATGCAAGTGTGACTAAATACTAAAAATTATCCTTGTGCATCCAAGAATTAACCTAACCACAATTACTAGAATATAAGGTTAGAGAACTCCCATAAGAAGTGTGTTCAAAAAGCATCTAGAGAGAAACTCTGTCACCAGGGCAGCACTGCCAACAAGTTAGGCCACATTGGTTACTGTTATGGCATGTTTGTTATGTAAAGGATTGCATGAGTGTAGTAGTACCGAACACAGATTCACACTGACATGAATTGACAGTAATATTCACATTTAATAAAACACTAAAGCTATTATTACAATAGATATATACAGTAGAGCCTCGATTATCCGACCGTCCTAGTCGGCAAATTTCAAATGTCCGCTAGTGATGTGGCACTACAATATTTGGCTATGTCTTGGCTACTTTAATATTATTTTTACGTGTTTTAGCTGGCAACACTCATTCGACCATGAAAGGGAGCCAGTATTTAAATGAGGCTTAATTTTCTAATTTTTAACAATATAATAGCGACGATTATTATTTAAAAAATTTTTTGTTAGGCTTGACATCGATGAAAATTCAATGCGAAGTAGGTTAATAGCGATATACTAATATACTAATTACATAGGATGTAATAATATACTACACTAATAATGGATTTTTTCATACTTTTCGGTTATCCGACTTTTCAATTATCCGACCAACCCCAGTCCCCAATTGGGTCGGATAATCGAGACTCTACTGTAATGGATTTTTTCATACTTTTCGGTTATCCGACTTTTCAATTATCCGACCAACCCCAGTCCCCAATTGAGTCGGATAATCGAGGCTCTACTGTATATATATAATCTAGATAATGACATTGCTGTCCATAATTGTGATAGGGTTACACTCTTTCTTGAATAATTGTCCCATAAATTACAGAAAATGTGCTTTTCTTTCCTTTTGGAGAGGATGGCAGCTGTGTCCATACAGTCCTGGCTGCATCCCCTTTGACGAAGCATTTGTCTTTTTGTTTTAGACCCTGTGTTGAGTGACCGCTAAAACTTTGGTAGATTGGATCGTAGATTGCGAGGGAGAGAGGAGTGACACTCCTCTCTCCCTCGCAATCTATGATCAGGAATGTGACAATTAAATTCTCCAGCATCCCATTTCTCCACCAAGAGACTTCAAAATCACCAAGAACTCCTTTGTGAGTTGCAATTTATGGATAGCCCTAAGGACATATGATATAATTATTAAGGGAAAAAACATATGTTAAAAGTATTTACAACCAATACAGGATGCAATTCCTATTATTTTTTACAATGTGCCTAAATATCTAAGACTCCTGCATTCTTCCAAATAGCTGCCACATTTACTACTGTTATGTGAAAAACATTTCTTAACATGTAGAAGATAAAAAATTTGTTGTTAGAATATTTTATTATATTGCAACAAATAGCAACTTGACCTTAATCATTTTAAGATGTAAAGTTCATTAAATACAATTAGTTTTATGTAACCACTAGAATTCATTTTTTTGTAAGAGAATTTAATAAGTCCATAAGTAGCACAATAGCCAATAAGAATGCTAGGAAACTATCTAAATTGTAACTAATAGAATAAAATTTTATCTACTGAGGAACTTTTAATTTTCATTAATGATTTCAACTTATTTCACAAATCATTATCAGATAGATCAACATTTGAACATCAAAGAAAATTAAAAATATGAAGGTTTACAATATAGAATATTGTACAACATAACTATATTACTATATAAATAAAATAAAAAAATTAAAAAAAAACAAATAAATATAGTGTGTGATTAAATAAAACTACAAAATAAAAAATAAAAGAATGTGATATTTTGTGTTAATAAGAAATAATATAATTGTATTTAAACTGTGTAAAATCAGTTTTATTATCCAATAAAAACGCATTTAATTTGTGTATATCACTTTAAATTATATATGCACGATACAGTATATACTATGTTCACAGTTTAACACTATCAGTGCATTGTGCCACATACTATGGATGAAAATAGGCCTAAATTGTTTATAGCGCCACCCTGATGAAAGAGCTTATTTCTAGACAGATTTTGAAAGAGTTCAACCAACCTTATATTCTAGTAATCGTGACCTAACTATTCACCATCTACAAAAAAATCCACATATATAAATCCTATATAAAACAATACTCTATTGTATACAATACTCATTTTAATATAATGGCTGAAATTTTCCAATATATTTTAAACAATTTAATAATTTCTAGAAAAGAATTTATAGCTTGTTTGAAAAGAAATTTGAATATATTTTATCAGTTCTATCAAAAATTACAATTTAATACCAGTAAACTTTACCTTACAAATAGTTTCCAGATTTGACTCATGTGAAAACTCTCCAGTAGCAAGTAGCTTTTCGCACTGTTCTTGCCAATGGCGCCAACGAAATCCCACTTCTACAACAGACTGGTTTAATGATGACTAAAAGATTTTAATAATATCAAATAAATACAAATAATAGTTAATCACTTTTTAAAATTAATTTGTTTTAATAATATTTTTACTTTTAATATGAACATTTTAATGATTTGCAATTATCCATATTATATTAATTATTGATAAAAATATTCGTTATTATGATATTAAAATGTTGCATTGCCAAGGTGTCATTAAAAATGTCATACATAATTATAATTTTTCATAAAAATTATTTACAGAATAATAATAAAGCAAATTATTTTTTGTTTTCTATTTACCCATTCTACTTTGTACTTTATTACTTATCTTTAATAATTGTATTATATTTCTCCTATAAAACTCTATCTTATCATAATGAAGTCATAAAGGATTCCAAAGCTAACATTTCAGCAACATGTTCTTCCCTGAGAAAATCATATTCAAGATTTGACTAAGAGACCAACTCATTAATGTCAAGATGAAAAAATTATGTTGAAAATTGAAATTATCTGAATAGTACAGTATATTAGGCATTAGACAGTAAATTTAATTTTGTAATCTACATTAGCTATCCTATAGATATTAATCATTGATTTTCATAGTTTGTTCTTACTCAAATCCAAAGTTCTTGATCTTGTTTTTTCACTTTCTTTTTACAGAGATCTTTAAAAAAAAAAGCAACAGAAAATACTAAAGAAGTGTTCTTCACTACATTAATTTCTAGGATCATCTGTTTTTATTCTATGCCTCTTTTCAACATCATGAGGAGGAGGAAAAGAGAAAAAAGAAATGAAAGGCAGTTACCACTCCTATGTTTTCTGTTTTCATAAATTGTGTATCAATGGCTGCAGTTGGTCTATTAAGCACTTTTCTACAATCTTTAATACATGCCTTCAGTCAAAATTCTCGATGTTAACTACATTTCTTCAAACTTGTCTAGTTAAATTTAGGATTTTTTCCCTATAAATCAATAAATCTTTTTATCTGAATGATCCTCCAAGCTTTATCATTTATAACAGTGTTTCTCAACCTCTAATGAATCGTCACCCCCTTCAATAAAACCATTATGTAGTATCACCCCCTTCACTTCAAAATTCTGATGCCAAGGGTCAAGGCTAATGCCAAATTCGTACTGCACTGAATAGACAAGTGACTAGTATAATGTTATTTATTTAACTATTGTATGATATAACAAATAAAATATCTAATTATTCTTAATACAATGTTTTACTATATCGCCCAGAAAATTGTTTTTAGCCCCCAAAATATAAATTGTTACTAATCGCCCCCTCAACATGGAAAAACGCCCACATGGGGGCGATATTGCCCCCGTTGAGAAACACTGATTTATAACATCCTATAGAAAATCAAATTGCTATGTTTCTCTTCAGGAACAGTTTTTGACTTAAAAATCATAATGAAATTTTTTCCAACAAGTGGTCTCTCTGACTGTTGGTATATATTTATAATTCAATTAAAACATATAGGGCATGTCACAATTATTATTAAAAATTGATAAAAAATTAACATTAAAAATGTGTATAGATATGACTAACAAATTCCAAAATGACAAAAATGAACACACTCCAAATAGACACTTATCTGTAGACATTTGAAGTTTGCACATTATGTAATTTGTTAGTGACATTGATACCATAGATTAGATTAATTAATATAGATAGCCGACTACTAGATGTTTTAAATGCACCATCACTGCCAATCAGTTGAAATGTTCATTTTGACTTGAGTTTTCAAGCAGTTAAGATCTTTTGTGTTTATTAATCAGTTGTTATTTTTTACATATCATCAATTATTGCATAAACTGACAATATATAAAAAAAGGAAATAATTTAAGATAACAGTTATGTTTCATACATTTTAAAAAAATGTATGTAATTTATTAAATTAAGAACACAACAATTAAAAAAACAAAAAGTTTCAAGAAAAATTTATGTAATAATAATCCAATTTCTTTGGTATACAAAAAAAGTTGCCATATTGAATTTTGCAAGACTAATTCTGAAAATTCCATTGTGTCAATTTCTGATGTTCCTAATTATTACAAATTATGTTAAGACTTTTAATGTGAATTGATAAAATAAAAATGTTTTTAAGTGTGTTATGATTTTTTCATTGTATTATAAATACTTTTTTTGAAAAATAAAACTTCTCTATGATTTCAATGATTTCCACGATTAATGAATGTACTAACAAGTTAAAATATGTATTTATCTATATACAGGTAGCCCTCAGTTTACGCTGGCTCAATTTATGTCAATTCACAATAATGCCGCTGCACAATTTGCATTTTGCAGTGTAATTCCCCGATTTTCCCTATGCTAGACTGATTTTCATTTCAGTATTGACATATTTACAGAGCCATGACATTGTACATTCATTAAAACAAAGATTTTTATTGAATATATTTATTTTTTCTGTTTAATATTATTGGGTATGTATACATTTGCATTAAATTAATATTAAAATACTAAACGTTTAGGTACCCACGAGTCAAGATATTAAACTTAATAGTCCAATAAATGGCGTCCGAATCCATAGCGCCAATGAATGTATCCCGTATCAGTTCGTTCAGGAAAACACCTTACGACGCAGTAGCACTTCCGGCGATCACAAACTATCGTTAGTGAGACAAATCTACTTCTCGTTGGCCAGACGATACTTTTTTATTAGCCAGACGATATCTATCTCTCCTTAGCCACCTTGAATTTTCCCGCTCAAACTGACCTTATATATGCGCTACGGCGACCGGTGGTCGACCAATCAGTGTCTCCGCTCGTCTGTAGCTCTACGTCGGGTTAACGTATCCTTTCAACTATGGAAAGTTTGACGGATGAACTTTGTGAGTTAGACAATGATTGGGAGCGAAGTGCAAATGTAAAAAGAAGCATCATCGCATCCATTCGACCATATTCCGAAATTCTCAATGAAAGAAAACAAAAATGTAAACAATTAAAGATGGATACTTTTTTCCGAAAAATGTAAGAGATCCGAAACTAAAATTTTTTAATAAAAACATTTCACTTTATTTTATGATAAAATACATTTTAAAAATTAAAAATTTATATGTATTTTGTATTATATTGTATTAATAAACAAAATTATTTGCTTATTTTTCACTTATGTAGAACCTAACCCTATACCTCACTGTAAATGTGGGTTCATTTTACGCCAATTCGATTTACACCAGCTTTTGTAGGAATGGAACTACGGTGTAAACCGAGGGCTACCTGTATATAAATGAGGATGTTTGTTTGTTTGTATGTTTGCTATACACTTATAGGCTGTTCGACCAATTACTATGAAATTCGATGGTTACAGTTGCATACTTCTAACTTAGATATCATCATACATCAAACCTCCAAAATATCTATTGGATTTTTATAAATCAATTAATTTCTATCTACATTCAATTTCTGATTTACACATAACATCATCTATTGGCAAAAAATTTAACAAAATCATAAACTAAATATAATTCTTATAAAAAAGAATATAATCTTAAAAAATATATATTATATTCACTTAATTACTGCGACAATGATATAGCACAAAATAAATGTGCTATATCATTACTGCAACAGGTAGCATGTAGTTTAGTTAGTCATGAGTTCAGGTATGGCCAAAGGCCACATGGCATTTTATGGGTTTCATATTAGTAACATGTAAATAGGGTCCAGCTTTACATAAAAGTCTTCCTGGAATGCATCCCCTTGGCACATTGCTCATGTGTTGTGTTGCCATAACCAAATAAATCAAACTAATTCTAACAAGCCATTATTCATTGTGACAATGTCACAATGCCAGGCTGCAACTTTTCATCACAATGTTCTCAATTCTTTTAGCATTGTCTTGCTCTGTATATCATACTTTTCCTGTTAGCAATAGAGTTGTGTTAATCATCTATCTAACTCCATTCAGGGGAAAATTTTGAATCAAAGTAATGTGACTTCTATTCCAAACCAAAATTTCATATATAGTTAATCTGAACCTCCTGAATCTAAGCTTTCCACATCTGGTCTTGAGACTTTCATCTGTCTAACTCCTTTCTTGAGATTAAGGAAGGATGGCAGTAGGAATTTATAATTTCCAATAATTTTACAATAAATGCAATATTTACAAGGACATACTTTCCATGTAATTTATACAATCTGTTGAAAAATATAAACACTTTATTATCACATAAAAGCAATTATTTATGCATTTTTCAAGATTATTTTTATTTAAACAAGTCGTATGAAGTCTTTCAGACATTAAAGTTAGCAACTTCGATCACATGTAGGGCCATCACAACTTACCCAACATGAATCACTTTTCAAATATTAATAGTAGACTGGTATTAATTAGTAATCATTGACCATGCTCTCTTCTGGGAGAAGGTCAATGACTACTTTTGCTCAAATTACTTCAACCCCCTTCTTCCTATCGTATCCAACAATATGGTGGCATTCGAATAGGAAAACTACATAATATGCAAGCACAAAATAAGTTTTAAGTGGTTTTCGAGGATAAAGAGTTTAAATATTTGGTTCTTTTTTTTTTTTGAATAGTTGGCAGATTACTGTTTGATATTCAGCTGTGAATGGTACAGTTTCTTAGAGTTAAAATTAGGAAAAAAATATATATCTTAAATTTTTTGAGATATCGTATTTTCAATTCTTGTCTACTTGACCAATAAAATTGTGCCATTTTGTAGCATCTCAGTATCACAATAAACGTGACAATGGTAGACTGAAATAACCAAACTCTTTATATTAGTTTCATTTTAATGTTTGTTATATTATAGGATTTGATTTATATAACTATAAAGGTTTATCACACCGAGTGACCAGTCTAACACATTTAAAAAATTCTTTATTCCTCTACTGTACAATTTAAAGAATTTTTCAAATATGTTAGACTGGTCACTCAGTGTGATAAACCCTTACATAAGACAACTTTTGTAATTATAAATCAAATACAAGATATACATAATACAAGAGTTAGAAATACAAAATAATCTAATAAACTTAATGTTTATTATTATTTTTTGCCCAAGCAATGCTGGGCTCATTCGTTAGTTTTTAATAAATCTTAGCTATTTAAAATTTTAAGCAATGAAGCATGCCTAAAATTATTTGAATCATGTCAGATGATTTAAGTAAGTTCACTGCTTGTCTGAGAAAATATCACTGTCTCATGACTACATGTAAAAAGACGTCTACGGTCTTTGGCTAGCCATCTGTAGTAACCTAATCTGTGCATCTATACTTATTTTTATTGTAAATTTTTGAAAACTTATTATTTGTTTAAGGTGATACAATAGACCCCTTATAGAAGAAAATACTCAAAGTTTGTCCTATTATATTGAACTATAATCTACATTAACCAAGATAAACAATTGATCTTTTGTCCATTAATATTGTTAAAATATTTCAAAAGTCAACATTTAAAAAAGCAATCAATGTAAACAACAATAACAAATATATAAATTAATACTTACTTTAAATAGAGGCATTTTCCTCAATAATTCATCCATAAGGCAAAAACTATCTTGTGATGACTGAGTATGAATTTTCAACATTCTTCTAGCTTCATCTAATTTTCCATTTAATATATNCCATTAATAATGAAGGAAATATATATATATATATATATATATGGTGTAAATTATTGATAAAATTAGGAATAGCATTGTATTGTCTAAATAGATTTGCAACTTAAGATATTGATCCGCTTTCTATACTTCGCTAATTAAATATTATTGCCAAAGGATACTCTAATTATTAATTTGAGTTGATTTGATCATATTTAAATTAAGTAGTTAGTAGCGCTTGGCATTATTAATACAGAATAAATTTTATTTTTATCTCGTAATTTAACATTTATAAAAATAATATATTTAAAAACTAAAATTGAGAAAATAAACATATTTTTATAACAAAATCAACATTACAAATTAATTAACAGATTAATGCCTATTCTGAATTATTATTAAATGAATCAGAGCATAAGATAATGTTATATCATATTTCAAAGTTATATTAATGCGTTGTTCCAATTTCATACTATAAATAATATCACCAAATTTTTACAAGTGAAGCATTTACTTACTATTTTCCAAAATGATGGGTGATTTTCTGGTGTATCATAGTCCATGATTTCCGAAGAACTGTCATCATCATGGAAATGAAATCGAATCCATTGTAATAACTGCTGAAGAATAAGACCTGCAATGCTTAATTGTTAATATTTAAAGAAATAATTCCCTAAAATATTAAACAATGTATGAATTATTTAAAAAGAATAATAGATAAATTTGTTAATATAAAATTCTTATTTAAATTTACGAAAAATACAACAATATCATTTCCTGTTTACCATCAATCACAAAAACTTGTAATAACAGATGAAAATTAATTGTGTTCACAAAAAACTTTACATATTTCAGCCATCTGTGTGCCCTCTTCAGATATATATTGCTGATATAATTTTTATATTCATAATTTAAATTAATTAATTAAACACAAAATTTTTAATTTTAAAATTTTAGTATGATATGTTATTGTAGAAATTATGAACGACTTTCAGATGTTCAGTTATCTTTAAAACTGTTAATTTACAAAAATTATGTGCTTACCTGGTTGCATGATGTCAATGAACAAAATCTCACATAAATTCCAGATAAGTTCTATGTTATAAAACATTTCAAACTAAAATAAAAATAAAATAATATTTAGATGCCTTCAAAAGAAATTTTTTACATAATAATTATTTTACACTTATTGATATTGTCTTTCCACATGTCAAAACGTAAAATTCAAAATTTTAGGTTTTGATGTGTGGAAGATAATTTCATTTAAATCTAAACCAGTGGTTCCTTACAAAGTTTCTAAGGTTACAGACTTTTTTTAATAAAATATATAGTTTGGCAGACCCTTATTATCAGCTGTTACCTTTCAGTCATTAATTAATAATCACAATCTCCATGAAACTACTAATATAAAGCATAAAAATGTGTAATTACTGCCAACTAGCATGAATTAGATTTAATTAAACAAAAAACAGGTGTTTTCCTCCATTTTTAACAATCATCAGGTTTAGAACTAGTAGTATACAGTGTATATGCAAATGTATCATATTTCAAGTTTAATATAGCTTTAAATAATAATTTTAAATATTTGCTCAGTAGTAAAATAATAGCATTTTCATAAAATGGGTTTTCAGACCCCCAACAAATATCTCAGGGACACTCAGGAATCCACAGACCACAGTTTTGAAACAGCTGATCAAAACCAATAAAAATTTAATAAAACAGTCTTAAATTTTAACANTTAAACACAAAATTTTTAATTTTAAAATTTTAGTATGATATGTTATTGTAGAAATTATGAACGACTTTCAGATGTTCAGTTATCTTTAAAACTGTTAATTTACAAAAATTATGTGCTTACCTGGTTGCATGATGTCAATGAACAAAATCTCACATAAATTCCAGATAAGTTCTATGTTATAAAACATTTCAAACTAAAATAAAAATAAAATAATATTTAGATGCCTTCAAAAGAAATTTTTTACATAATAATTATTTTACACTTATTGATATTGTCTTTCCACATGTCAAAACGTAAAATTCAAAATTTTAGGTTTTGATGTGTGGAAGATAATTTCATTTAAATCTAAACCAGTGGTTCCTTACAAAGTTTCTAAGGTTACAGACTTTTTTTAATAAAATATATAGTTTGGCAGACCCTTATTATCAGCTGTTACCTTTCAGTCATTAATTAATAATCACAATCTCCATGAAACTACTAATATAAAGCATAAAAATGTGTAATTACTGCCAACTAGCATGAATTAGATTTAATTAAACAAAAAACAGGTGTTTTCCTCCATTTTTAACAATCATCAGGTTTAGAACTAGTAGTATACAGTGTATATGCAAATGTATCATATTTCAAGTTTAATATAGCTTTAAATAATAATTTTAAATATTTGCTCAGTAGTAAAATAATAGCATTTTCATAAAATGGGTTTTCAGACCCCCAACAAATATCTCAGGGACACTCAGGAATCCACAGACCACAGTTTTGAAACAGCTGATCAAAACCAATAAAAATTTAATAAAACAGTCTTAAATTTTAACAACTTAATACATTAATAATATATTAATTTTTAACTTTTTCATATTTTGCAGAATAACTTTAACTCCATCTTCAGAAATACAATAATTACTCAATAACTAGAATTATAATACAGTACAAGACCAAATATCCTAGAAGCTTGGGATCAGAAGAGGTCTGGATTTCTGGATTTTTCCAATTTTGTAGATACGCAATAAATATATATTTAAAATATAAAATAAATAATGGAAAGTAAAGAACAAAACCGTTTTAACACATCATATAGCAGCATTCACACTGGAAATGGCATCTTGTCAAGTGAACATCATGAAAAACAAAATGGATGCACAGTGAACTACAGCCCACCGATTCGATTCAAAACTAGCAGTTTTCTGGAAGCTGGATATTTGGTTTGGTATAGTTAAAAAAAAAAAAAACTATTTTAGCATTTTAGCATTTTTTTTTTAATTTTAAACATTTTAAAGCAGAATATGAATATATATCTTCCTTTCATTTCAAACTGATATTTTTCTGTTTTATATATATTGATGTTCATATATATGATATATATATGAGGCACACTGTCTATAACAGAACCCAAGGGACCAAACAACTTTTCTGTAGTAGACAGAATTTCACTATATACAGGTTATCTACTATAGGTATCCCTCAATTAATGCAATTAATAAATTTCTCGATGTTACCATGTATATCAAAATCATTCTTTAATTCTATTAATTTAATCTGAAAATTAAAGAATAAATGGATTCAAGGAATTAAATAAAATTAGAAAATAAAAAAATAAACATTATTTATTATATTAAAATTGTTTAAGTATAGTTAAATTTAAACATTGTTTCAGACATTCTTTTTAATTCAATACTTGGATGTTTCTGAAAATTAATCATTGTAAACAAAATGAATCCAATAGAAAAAGCCATGGTAAACACAATTTCCAATGTCTCTCTATGTAGTATATTTTCATTAAAAATATTTTGTTATTTTCACTTTGAATAGATTTTAACAGATAACATTTTTCAGATATAACTTATTTATTGAATATTTGATTTCAAATCTGACTGTACTGTTGGATTCAGCATTGAAAATTCCTTAAAATAGCATGCACAAGCTATAGGTTGCCATTTGTTATTTTAAATTTACAACTTTTTTGACCTTTAAAGTTCAAATGTTGAATTACTAAGACATCATAAAAAAGGAAGTTTCTAGATCTATTAGTATACCTAGTTTTCAACTTTTATATCTATTAGGGCCAATGATATAAGCATGACACAGCGTTTATGAAATACACTACACATATGAAATGATATCAGTATTTTATAATAATGATATCAAGAAAATAACAACNAACAATTATGTTCACTTTTATAACCAGAATTTAGCTGCAACATGAGTGCTTATGCAAAGAAAACTGCTTTTTCATTTTTCACACAGATTTACAAATCCCATTTTTTTAAGTTGAGAAAATTACAACTAAAAAACTTCATTAAACATCTTCTTTTAGAAGTCAGTTTCTCAATGATAATTTTTGTTCTATTAAAAATCTATAAACCATATAAATTTATGATTTTAGATTAACTCAATGCATGCAAAATGTTGGCTACATGTTTAGATTGAAACATAACAACAACATAACACTTGTTCTAATTTGAGAAATAAATATATTAAGATATACTAAATTATTATTAATTTATAAAAAATATCTACAGAAAATTAAACATTTGAAAACATGAAATGAATTTCAATCAATTTACCTGTGACTTTTGATAGATTACAAATACATTCTGTTAAGATAGATCTGTATTTATGGCTAATTTTGATCAATCTGAAAATAAAGTAGTATAATAAATAAAATATCATAACTGTATCAAGTATAGTCAACTCCCTTAAACTGCCCCTCCATGTACTGCCACCTCAGGTTTTCTGCCAAAAACAATTTGTTCCATAGTAAATCAGTATTATGAACTACTCACCTTATTTTCTACCATAATCTGAAAACCAATGGCAGCAGTTTAAAGGGGTTGACCATAATTTTTAAATTATTATTGTTACAAGACAATAAGGGATCACTCATGTTCATTCCTTACTAAATAATTTGTAACATATAAAATAATTACAATACATGAAGTGTAACAACAGATATTTATTATAATTATAAATTCTGTAGCAAAGATGTTGTAAATGGAATATATAAAATAAGTTACATTCTTCTTTATATATGTATTAAATTTTCAATGTGTTTTTTCCAACAGTCTATTAATATTTTACTAAGTGATTTTGTAGTTTAGCTCATTAATATCAGGCTTTCCCACACAAAATATCATTTTAAACTCTATGCATGTCAAATGTATCATTGTGGTTTTCAAACCACTTGGCAACCAAATGCACATTTCTATAATGCTGGAAACCCATAACATATGCATTCTAATGCTCTACAAGTTCAAACTCAGATTCAAAGGGGTCAAAGGTAGCCAAGGCCATGGAGTTGGAAGTAAATTCGTTGCTAGAGGAGTCAGAATTGATAAAAATGGACTGACTTCAATTTTTTATTATGTTCAGTTCTTTATATTAAGTTCTTAATAAAAGCACTAATTTAATCTCTATCTTGTATTACAGGATGCTCCTGTAATACAAGACCTTAATTTATGATGATCCCTAATTTCATGATCTTTGATCACTAATTACTGCTGATTTTTTTTACAGAAATTTATATTTGAAAACATTCTGTGTTAGTTAGTTGTAAATTTTTATCATCAAAAGATCCATGTAAAATGGTTAATAAGACTTGGTTTAAATCTAGTGTTTTTTGAATACTTTACTACAGCCACAAATAGAAAACATTTTGTCTCTCAACATGTGGTTGAAAATGATGATAATGACAATAATGAAAAACTGTGAAAAAAAATAAGTACTGTACTTTGAATAGGAATGCCTAATGATTCACTTGGTAGTAGAAAAATTCCTTTATGGATTAATATAAACAAAGTATATTTTAAATTATTACTTAGAAAAAGAAGTCTGAGTCAAAGTTGGGACTTGGTCTACTGACTCCATACTACAGTCCTGGAGGCAGCCACAAACTTTTGCAAGGACTTTAGTGAGGCAACCATAACAGCTTAAATATATATATACTTAAAGCAAATGGATGATTATTAAAAACCACGTGAAATTTCTTAATTTAATATCTTTAATACTAAGATTTAGAAAATCAGGTGGTCGTTTAATAGGAAATGTACAACTAATCACTTTGTTATTGGTGAAATGTTGCAGAAACTGCTGTATACAGCATCCAATATGTGAAGGCATCAATCTTACATGAAAGTGGTTAACTCAAGACATTGTCACTGTTAAAGTTGGAATGTGACAAAAGTCTTGAGCATCTCTCAATATCTCCGAGCTCAATGAGCATGTCATAGACTCATTGAGACTAGCTTCTTTGAAGAAGAATAGTCCAAGGATATAGGTGGCTATAAATCCATACCAGACTAACTTTAGGTGAATGCAGTGGAATCTGCTGGAAACATGAGTGTTTTCTGGGGTCCAAATGTGACAGTGTATTTATTGTTCCACTGAGGTAAAAATGTATCTCATCCCTCCATAAGATCTTCCATAGTGTACCTAGGAAAGATCTTGTGGAGTAGATGTGGGTACAACACATCTACTTTCATTTTGGCAAGGATTGCCAATGCAAAAACCATTTAGTCTTTCCTGTCAGCAGCAAGCTGAGGGTTGCAGCTGATCTTATAAAGATAGCAATGCACCAACTTTCTCAGTATTATTCAAATTGTGCCACATGATACACTCAACTACCATAACACTGCATAAGCAATGTTTGTCTCAACTCAACAGCAGTTGCACTAACTTCCTGAACATATGATGTGATAAGATTATTCTGTCAACCAGGATGAACTCCCAGATGTCAAGTTTCCTCAAATTGAATATGAACATTCTCCTGAGAGCTTGTGCAGTCAATGGCTCTCAGCATAAATTTTTACAATAGTGAAATTCATAGAATTGCAGTTGTTTTCATAAAACAGATAGACAGGAAATGTTCATTCTAACATGATGATAGCCATTGCAGCTGATATGAATAACATTCAACAATTATGTTCACTTTTATAACCAGAATTTAGCTGCAACATGAGTGCTTATGCAAAGAAAACTGCTTTTTCATTTTTCACACAGATTTACAAATCCCATTTTTTTAAGTTGAGAAAATTACAACTAAAAAACTTCATTAAACATCTTCTTTTAGAAGTCAGTTTCTCAATGATAATTTTTGTTCTATTAAAAATCTATAAACCATATAAATTTATGATTTTAGATTAACTCAATGCATGCAAAATGTTGGCTACATGTTTAGATTGAAACATAACAACAACATAACACTTGTTCTAATTTGAGAAATAAATATATTAAGATATACTAAATTATTATTAATTTATAAAAAATATCTACAGAAAATTAAACATTTGAAAACATGAAATGAATTTCAATCAATTTACCTGTGACTTTTGATAGATTACAAATACATTCTGTTAAGATAGATCTGTATTTATGGCTAATTTTGATCAATCTGAAAATAAAGTAGTATAATAAATAAAATATCATAACTGTATCAAGTATAGTCAACTCCCTTAAACTGCCCCTCCATGTACTGCCACCTCAGGTTTTCTGCCAAAAACAATTTGTTCCATAGTAAATCAGTATTATGAACTACTCACCTTATTTTCTACCATAATCTGAAAACCAATGGCAGCAGTTTAAAGGGGTTGACCATAATTTTTAAATTATTATTGTTACAAGACAATAAGGGATCACTCATGTTCATTCCTTACTAAATAATTTGTAACATATAAAATAATTACAATACATGAAGTGTAACAACAGATATTTATTATAATTATAAATTCTGTAGCAAAGATGTTGTAAATGGAATATATAAAATAAGTTACATTCTTCTTTATATATGTATTAAATTTTCAATGTGTTTTTTCCAACAGTCTATTAATATTTTACTAAGTGATTTTGTAGTTTAGCTCATTAATATCAGGCTTTCCCACACAAAATATCATTTTAAACTCTATGCATGTCAAATGTATCATTGTGGTTTTCAAACCACTTGGCAACCAAATGCACATTTCTATAATGCTGGAAACCCATAACATATGCATTCTAATGCTCTACAAGTTCAAACTCAGATTCAAAGGGGTCAAAGGTAGCCAAGGCCATGGAGTTGGAAGTAAATTCGTTGCTAGAGGAGTCAGAATTGATAAAAATGGACTGACTTCAATTTTTTATTATGTACAGTTCTTTATATTAAGTTCTTAATAAAAGCACTAATTTAATCTCTATCTTGTATTACAGGATGCTCCTGTAATGCAAGACCTTAATTTATGATGATCCCTAATTTCATGATCTTTGATCACTAATTACTGCTGATTTTTTTTACAGAAATTTATATTTGAAAACATTCTGTGTTAGTTAGTTGTAAATTTTTATCATCAAAAGATCCATGTAAAATGGTTAATAAGACTTGGTTTAAATCTAGTGTTTTTTGAATACTTTACTACAGCCACAAATAGAAAACATTTTGTCTCTCAACATGTGGTTGAAAATGATGATAATGACAATAATGAAAAACTGTGAAAAAAAATAAGTACTGTACTTTGAATAGGAATGCCTAATGATTCACTTGGTAGTAGAAAAATTCCTTTATGGATTAATATAAACAAAGTATATTTTAAATTATTACTTAGAAAAAGAAGTCTGAGTCAAAGTTGGGACTTGGTCTACTGACTCCATACTACAGTCCTGGAGGCAGCCACAAACTTTTGCAAGGACTTTAGTGAGGCAACCATAACAGCTTGTACCACACAACAATAGTTTGAGAAATCCTACAGCAGAGATCAACCTGGAAAATGAACCCATGGAAAGCTACCATTTGCTGTTTTGAACATTGCTTTAAAAGATGTGGAAGTGGACTCCAAGTAAACCATGGAAATGATGGACCAGGCTACCAATGAATTTTATGACCATTTCCAGAGATCTGGCAAGCCCATAGACAAAAAAGAGAAACCAACGTTTCACAGGAGTTGATACCACACCAGTAGAACTGGCATAAAATGACATTTTATGTGGAACAATCTAATAATATACAGTAGAGCATCGTTTATCCAAATAAATTGGGAATTGGGGTTGTTCAGATAACTTATTTTTCGGATAATCAATTATGTACGAAAAAATATGTTAACCCATCCCATGTTAAAATTTTTCTCCATTGCGTGTTGCTTCACGTTGAATTTTTGTCTATGTTAAGCCTAACGTAAACTTTTTAAAATAATAATCGTGGCTATTGTATCGTTAAAAATTATTTCTTTATTTTTTACAAACAAAATAAATATATTGAAAAATATAAAAACAAAAAAAATTATACTTTAGAAGTTAATCCAATATCAAAAACATTCGATTCACAACACACAGTCCTCAGAAAAACACCACACAAAAGTGCCAGTGCTGCCAGCTAAAACACACACACACACACATACACACACACACCAACAAAAAAAAATATTGGAGTAGCCCAAGATATAGCCAAAGATTGCAGCGCCACAGCACTAGCAACAATTTAAATTTGCTGACTGGAATGCTTTCGGTTAACTGACGTTTCGGATAACCAGCTTTCGGATAAACGACGCTCTACTGTACTCAGTTCATTAATTAAAATTATTTAATGCTTTAATACAATTTCATTTAATTTATACTTATTTATTTTCAAAGTCAACAAATGAAAAAGTTTTGATAAATATATGTCAATTGTATAAAATCCATTACAGAATTCCTAAGTATATTTTTTATATTAAAAAACACAAAAAAACTACTTTTTGTTTCTATATCAATATAATAATTTATCAAAATTATTAGTTTATTTTACGTATTTAACTAATTTATTAGACAATATAGTCATTATTGATCAAATGCCATTCTGGATTAATGATAGAGAACGTGTTCATCTGTTTAAAATATTAAAGATTAAATCATTTAAATTAATGAGTCATTCATTTTAATCAATAAAAACAAATGGCACACTGGAGGCAGAAAGTCTTTGACTAAACATAGTAGAAATCTAAGTTTAAAAAAAATGTTCCAACAGTTGAAAAATTTTAATATTTAACTGATGTATTGATACATAATTAGTAAATTATATTATTAAATGAACATAACAAATCTGTAGTTATATTAGTTATTTTATAAAATAATTTTAAATACAAAGCAAGCAATTATTTATTGTGACATCATCACAATGCCAGACTGCAATTTTTAATTTATTTAAAATATATTCTCTCCACCTCAAATTAGTATTGGCTTGCCCCTGTACATCATACTTTTCCTTTAACAATAGAGTCATGCTGGTCATTTATCTAACACCTTTAAGAAGAAAATTTTTGAACTGAAATAACATGACTTCTGGCTTCCACCAGAAGTTCATATATAGTTAATCAGGCCTCCTATCCCTAAGTTTTCCATATCTGTCTCATCTTTCATCTAACTCTGTTCTCAAAATTAAGGAAAAACAGACAGGCAGACGACAGTGAGCATTTATAGGTCTACAATTTTTTTCAAATTGCAGTCCAATCATATTATTTTGAATTTCAATTAAGTTATTTCTTAAATAAATTACTAAGCAGAATTAATTGTAAGCAAAGTTTAATATCCAGCAAAGATTTATTTTCAATTATTATTAAACTAAAAACAATTTGTATACAAAGATCAGTTCTGCAACAAGCTTCCAAAAAATATAAATATTGAAAATTAATTAGTCATTAAATTAAATATTATATCAATAGTTTCAATTTGCTGTTACAGACATCATCAGATTCAAATATGCATTCTAGAACATTGTTACAAGTGTTAAAGTCTCATGAAATCAAAAAAATTAAAATTTAAAAGTAACAAAAATTAACTTCAAATACAAAATTATTTAATTTGATTTCAGAAGATTTCAATGCTTGTAACAATATTCAAGAATTTATATTTAAACCAGATGACTACTGAAAGCAGTTGAAAACATTTGTTTTATTATAACCTTCCATGGATTTTAAAGGTTTAGCTTACAATTATTTCTAACATTCAGTTGTGTATATATTTTATCATTATCAAAATTTTTATAATAATAATTATAAAAGGAAATTACTGTTCTTTCTTTTCATTGTTACTTTCTTGCTGAGAGAGAACTTGTAAATTTAAAAAGAGACCTAAAAAGATAAATATTGATAATGAATAAAAATACACAAATATTATTAAATTACCATTAATTCATGAAATTACAACTGAAAGATATTCATAATAAATAAGTTTTCTATATAAGATTAGTTGCAAAATGACACAAACACTATGCTTTTGAGTTTACTTTTACAAAAAATACATAACTAAGTTAAGGTACAAGCTTAATTTTTATAGAAAAAGGAATAACTAGCTTTTATATTCTATGCAACAGATAGTAGTTATTTCTTTTTTGTGTATATGGGAAAAAAAAACAAGAAGTTGAACTCCAGTTTGTACTGGTCTCCATTCTCATTGTACTGAGTTAATACTTTTTAGATATTTTCATGAAATTGTCCAAAACAAAATTAGTTTAAAGAGTTCTTGAGGTGTAGAGAGCTTCATTAACATGGGTTGAAAAGCAGCACTTGGAGAAAGGAAAAATTACAGATGAAGAATAAAGATTTTTAAAGATGAAGGATTATCATTTAGTGATACTTCTCTAGAGGATAATGTCATAAAGGATTGGTCATATACCATGTGCTGTGAATAACTTTTTGAAACTTGGAAAGCTATATGGAATGAAGAAGTCTTCTCTCTANCAGTCATTTGGCATAATATATGTAGTATACATAGGCTATTTTTTTTCAAGCTCAGATGGTCCACAAAACAAAGACAAGTGTAAATAACAAAATGAATTTATTACCAAAAGTTAGGTCAAATATAATTACTTTTCAACATAATCACCATGAAGATTGAAGCATTTGTCATATCTGTGAATAAGCTTTTCCATCCCCTTGTCATAGAATGTTGCCGCCAATAACTTGAGATGGGCCCTAACATTGTTTTGAAGATCGTCATTAGTCTCAAACCTCTGCCCTCCTAGCCACTTTTCCTGTTTAGGAAAGAGGTGAAAGTCACTCAGCGTTAAATCGGGGCTATACGCTGGGTGTTTAAAGGTGATGAAGACTTCCACTCAGCTTAAAACTTTTTAATGTGTGAAGACTTCCACCTCTTTCCTGAACTGAAAACATGGCTAACAGGGCAGAGGTTTGACACTAATGATGATCTTCAAAACAATATTGTTAAAGCCATCTCAATTCACTGGCAGCAACATTCTATGATAAGGGGATGGAAAAGCTCATCCACAGATATGACAAATGCCTCAATCTTCATGGTGATTATGTCGAAAAGTTTGTACCTAACCATATTTGTACCTAACTTTTGGTAATAAATTCATTTTGTTATTTACACTTGTCTTTTTTTTTATGGACCATCAGAGCTTGAAAAAAAAGCCACCCTGGAATAAATTATTTCTTAATGTTTCAAAAATTATATTTGCAGTTGTATTAATAAAACTATACTCAAAAACATAGTGATCATATCATTTTGCAACTAATCTTATAAATCTTATAAACAGTGAATATGAGAGATCAACAACAAAAAAAAATCATTCACAAATTAACCTATTTAACTATTCTATTAATGAAACTCAGACTTAAAGAAAATACAAAAATACTTTTGATCCATTGAAAAAGATACACAAAAAATATTTATTTAAAATTTTAATCTTTTAATGTGAATCAAATCAATTACCAACTTAAAGTTTAAATCACTGGATTACTTTCAGATTATGTATTTATTGTGTTATAAAAATAAGAAAGGAAGAGAATTGAAATATGTCCTGTATTCTCAACTAATAAAGTTCTGTTTAACTGAAATACTGCATTGTCTGATATAAATTTTAAATAGTACTTTGTCGACAAAGATTGGAAAATATAGTATAGTATACCTTACCTCAGATTATTAAGACACATTTATTTCAGTTTTCTTCCATTTTGTATTATTAATGTAAATTCTATTGAAGGTTAGAAAATGCATAACTTTAATCTTTAAGCCCAATTTTAAAAATTATTAACTAAATTAGTCTTTATATAGTCCAAAAATAACATAGCAATTTAGGCTTATATTTTCTATGAAAATTATTTTTAAAATAACAGAAATTTTTAAAAAATTTCATGATGTAATCAAAACTCTTAAAAGTTGACAATGTATTAACATAAAGTATAAAAAATAAAACCATTATGTGCAATACTAACAATCAATCATTATAAATAAGAGGAAAAATTTAAATAAAATATGTTTTTTTACCATCATAAAATTAATTTATTGTATAATAACGGAAGGAAACAAATTTAAAAATAATAAATTTGAGTATTAAAAAAATTATTTCTAACCATGTGATTCATTCACTAATTTTCTTGTAATGGAATTATATGTTGATGTATTCTGCAAAACAGGACTATCATCTGAAAAAAAATTAAGTTTTAACTTCAATCCTAGAACCATATTTTTTAAATATTATAATTATTTGAAAAATAAATAGAAATTTTTTTATAATACATTAATTAATAATTTTTCAAATTTATGTAAATAAATAAACAAGTTAATCTCAAATTAAATAAATAAATCTCTCATAAATCAGATAAATTTTGCACTGATGATATGCGATTTGATTATGTAAGATTAATAATAACAGAAAGAATAGCTAATGCATTATATTCTCATATTTTATAAAATAATCAAGAAATAAGTTAATTAATGTATAAGAGAAAAATTTATTTTCTGTAGGGGCTCGAGTACTGCAACAAAGTTCTATTTATAAATAGTATGGCTAAGGATGAAGCTTTAGTTTATTTAAAGGGAAAATTTAATATATTTCTATATTATAGAAATTTTTGGTATTCCTGATTGAAGAAAATAACTCATAAAAGTGATAGAACTTTCACTTGTATGGATAATTTTAGGAAACAATTTTGAATTTAGAATTTCATTTAGATTCACTTGGAATATCTGTTTCTCTCATTCAGAGTAGTTTAAAATCTTCCAAGTTTACTGACTGATTTTAACATTTCTAAAATGTGTTATGAACAATTAAACACTTTTGTAGGAAAAATAATTTAATTATAACTGCTTTTTTACATGACAATACATGATGATGATGATGAAAATGAAAATTTTTCATGAAAAATTAAGATTTTTTTCTGATCAGTTAGATGTAAATAATGTTGAGATTAATAAGAGTTACAAAGTAGACCATCTCTTCATGCATAATTTATGATTAAGTTTTTTGTACTTTATTTAATTATAGAAATAAAGTTTTGTTAAAAAGCTAATTAAAGGAGTTGAAAGGAACAAAGATTTATCTCATCATTATTTTCTTTGTTTAATTAAATTAGATCTATTTTATATCAGTGCTAATGACAAAAAACAAAAAAAAGAAAAAAATAAATAAAACTTATTTTTAGTTGATGATAATTTATGATGAGAGGAATAATGACTAATAAATCCTGATGAATTTTTTCTAGAATTCATTTACCGACATAAAATTGTGCATGCTTATTAAATAAATCTAATTGTTTTTAGAGAATTGTTAACAAGGTAATATTTTATATCTAAGTTAAATTATTATTCTCCACAGTTCTAAATTAAAGAATTTACATGGTTTGAACATGGTTTGAATGATTTCTTCATAACTTCATCCTTTCCATCATATAAATTTTTTCTGCATTATTTACATACATGTCTACATTCTTTCTGTTACAATTTTTGGATTTATTGATACTTGCTTTCAGGGCTGAAGGAACAATTTCTGGCTCTTTCCAAAATGAAAAACATCCCGCTCCTGGATAAACCTTACTTGTATTCTGAACAAACAGGTCAAAACATTCTCCTGGTTTTTTCCTTTTGCTCACAACAGTCTTGCCGATTTCAACAATCTTTCCAGGTCCACCAAATTTCATTTGGATCAAATTAGATTATGAAACCATCATAATGTGTCATATGAAATTCATCCAGTCAAAAGCTGTTTGACTACTCATGCCCACAGCCAAACAAATCATGCTCAATATACATCCTATGCAAATTAGATGTCAAATAAACAAAACAATAGTTCTGCAGGAAATTTTCCCAAATTTACGTTTAAAAATTCCTTCAAATAACAAACTGTTCATTTTGCATTTATGACATCTAAAAGAAACAGAATCACGATCTTTTCAATAAATTAATTTATGACGACCATCACATTTTGAACAGTCTGCATCTACAGGTTGCAAACCAAACTTTATTTCAAACTTAATATCTGATGAAATTCTCTTATCAACATCAATTTCAGAAAATTCTGATTCTAAATTATGAAAAAAAAAAATTCCTTGAAGTACACTTTTGCCAAGAAAACTGTCAATATTTTCCTAAAGCCACCATTACAACAATAAAAGAGGAAATATCAAATATAAACTTTGAAAAAATATGATTCACACAACAATATATAACTGTTTGAAACTAAATAATTAATTTACTCTTAACAAAGTTATAAAATGTTAAGGAATTAATCTAGAAACCAAATAATGTTAGATATCTTGTAAAATACAGAGAGCAACATCTAGATTACCTTTCTAGGCACATATGTTGAGATTCTGAAAGTATTGCCATAAGGGCTACCTAAACGCAACTCTGCCCAAAAGCCTTTATTGTTCTATAACAAAAAGGACTAGAAGACAATATTTCATACTTAATGTGTGACTGACTAGATATAACTAGAACTGATATTTATAATATATGTATTTCTATGAAGACATTTCTTCATATTAGATAAATGTATTTATTAATAGGTTACTAAATTACAAATTTTGGATTTAATTCAAAAGTAATAACATTATTATAGAAATTATAAAAAAAATTCAAGTACTAAAAACTGGGTATACATAAATAAGCAATACACATAGAGCAAATATCCAGAAAGAAAACATAAAGCTACATTAAGGTAAACATGTTCATCCATTTAAATGGTCATCATCAGGCTAACTTTTACCTTCTACAGTATTGGGATTAAATCCAGACAGAGAACCCAAAAATTTTTCACGGGCAGTCTGTCCTGGATACAGCAGGCCTTCTACTTTACCACTCAGTCATCTATTGTGGGCCTGGCCAAACCCACAATGGGTATGATTAAAAAGATTGTTAGTTTCTGAAACACAGAAAGAGGAAAAAAATGATCTGTTTCCTTCTGTTCATGATGTAGGAAAAACTGAAAATCTTGACAGTTTATCATTAGTCCCCAGAAGAGCTAAAATATTGCCCAATTTTAATTGTTATTGAACTGATCAGTGTATATTGTACATAAATCAACTGCTAGAATATAATCTTGCTACATTTTCTTCAGAGGAAAAAATGGATGCCATTCATTTACAGTATCAATTATTTATATCATCAAATGCAGGAACAGATATTTCATAAATGAAAATACCATATATAATCAGTATCAGTGACTATTTTTAAGAGTAAAATTTAAGTTACTAGTTAATATTAATGAAAAAATTAATAAGTGGAATGCAAAGGTTTAGCAATAACAATGAAAAGTTATTCATAAATGTTTTGAATCAGTTGAATTAGTTGAATGTTTTGAATCAGTTGAATTAGTTGAATGTTTTGAAAAAGTTAAATCAGATTCAATTTTTCAGAAATAAAATTCAAAAATACAAAATTTAAAATAGAACATGTTTGGTAGAAGTTATTTTCATGTACTTTACATGTGTATAAACATATTAGTGAATGACAAAAAGTAAACTCAGGGCCAGACTGGTTGGCCAGATCCCTCATCAACTTTGCGTCGTGTCAGCACTGGAACCTGGACTGTTGGCATTACCCAGACTCCAGAACGAGGACTTGGCCAACATCAGAGACCAAAAAAGTAAGAAGTAGCTTCGTCAACACCGAGCCACCCGCCACCACATATCCGAGACTCCCAACTAATAGGCAAACATTTTCAACCATTTGAATGCTAGAATGGAAAATAAACACTGCTGATTGATCAAACATTATCTGATTAACCTTACAGTATATTCTAGTATTTATGTGGCCTTTTGCGGTAGGTAATCCTTCTGGGCCCTGACTGCCCGAAGGCAGTTAATTACACCCAGCAACAATCTGTCATAGATAACACTTGGCATCGGAAGGGAAATGTAGTGCTATGTCAATGCAAAGTCAAAGTGGGATCCAGCCAGTCAGTCCAGCCCTGTAACCATTACTGTTAAGTATTAATGAATTTTAAACTTTGTCAAATTCTTAAATGTGATATATCATCAGTGAATAATTTACATTTATTTTACCATAACTAAAATATAAAGTTAGTATACTAATAACTTTTACTAATTCAAATGATAAATTCCTATTTGATAAATAAAAGCCAAATTAGAAATATTTTAAATTGTATTTCAGTGTGCAAACATCTCAGATATTACTTTTTAAAATATTATACGAAATAAACATTCTTCAAAGATACCAAAATTCAAAACAAATAAATACTTACCCACATGGTTCTACCCTCCCGCCGAATCGACATGTTTACCACTTGAAAGCAACGTTGCCAGATGTTTTTAGTGTTTGTAGCCAAAAATTTTCTTAAAAAGTAGCCCAAAAGTAGCCAACTCAAAAATAATTCCTTTTTAATAATCCGCTATTTTACGATAAAATAAAAAAAAGCACACCATTCGTGCTTTTCCAGCAATAACTTTAATCACAATAAATGTTTTCGGCCAATTTACAGGATTTTAAACTGATCGGAAATAAGGAACGCAAGACTCAAAATACTGTACATCATTTACTATGCCGAGAACACTCATTTCATCTGCAAAATATCTACTTTGCACATATAAAAAAGACAGACTACAATAAATTAATTTTTCTATGTAATATTCTTAATAGTTATTAATTTGCTTATTACAAAGGATTTATCAAACTACAACTATTTAATTAATTTGAAAGTTGACTAATAGGTTTCTTTATTAAGCCAATACAGTGGCGTAGCGTGGGTGTCAGCCGCCTGGGGCGGCGGAAAATTTCGTCGCCCTCTTATTTAGGTATCTCAATTTAAAACACTAAAATTCAGTTTCGTCACAGAATAAGTAAAGAAAAATTCCGTGCTCATTTCAATCGGTCCGAATCGTAGGTGCGACAAAAATATGANTTTGTATACAAAGATCAGTTCTGCAACAAGCTTCCAAAAAATATAAATATTGAAAATTAATTAGTCATTAAATTAAATATTATATCAATAGTTTCAATTTGCTGTTACAGACATCATCAGATTCAAATATGCATTCTAGAACATTGTTACAAGTGTTAAAGTCTCATGAAATCAAAAAAATTAAAATTTAAAAGTAACAAAAATTAACTTCAAATACAAAATTATTTAATTTGATTTCAGAAGATTTCAATGCTTGTAACAATATTCAAGAATTTATATTTAAACCAGATGACTACTGAAAGCAGTTGAAAACATTTGTTTTATTATAACCTTCCATGGATTTTAAAGGTTTAGCTTACAATTATTTCTAACATTCAGTTGTGTATATATTTTATCATTATCAAAATTTTTATAATAATAATTATAAAAGGAAATTACTGTTCTTTCTTTTCATTGTTACTTTCTTGCTGAGAGAGAACTTGTAAATTTAAAAAGAGACCTAAAAAGATAAATATTGATAATGAATAAAAATACACAAATATTATTAAATTACCATTAATTCATGAAATTACAACTGAAAGATATTCATAATAAATAAGTTTTCTATATAAGATTAGTTGCAAAATGACACAAACACTATGCTTTTGAGTTTACTTTTACAAAAAATACATAACTAAGTTAAGGTACAAGCTTAATTTTTATAGAAAAAGGAATAACTAGCTTTTATATTCTATGCAACAGATAGTAGTTATTTCTTTTTTGTGTATATGGGAAAAAAAAACAAGAAGTTGAACTCCAGTTTGTACTGGTCTCCATTCTCATTGTACTGAGTTAATACTTTTTAGATATTTTCATGAAATTGTCCAAAACAAAATTAGTTTAAAGAGTTCTTGAGGTGTAGAGAGCTTCATTAACATGGGTTGAAAAGCAGCACTTGGAGAAAGGAAAAATTACAGATGAAGAATAAAGATTTTTAAAGATGAAGGATTATCATTTAGTGATACTTCTCTAGAGGATAATGTCATAAAGGATTGGTCATATACCATGTGCTGTGAATAACTTTTTGAAACTTGGAAAGCTATATGGAATGAAGAAGTCTTCTCTCTAGTAGACCAAGAAAGCTTACACTTAGACAAGAGAACAAAGTTAAGAAAACTTAATTCGGGGGAAGAACCATAACAACCTAGACTTACAGAACAACACAAATACAGAAGAGTGACCAGGGCAAAAGATTACATATTTTAGAAGAGTTATCTTTAGTGATGAGAAAAAATTCCTGATTTGGCATTTTATTGGCATGATCTTAGAAAAGAGGAACAGATCTCCAAGCAATATCAGGGAGGAAGATCAGTGGTGGTCTGGGATGGCTTTGGTTACCCTGGTAAAACATATCCCACATTCCTAGTCAATATTGGAATGGTTATTGGAAAATGGAGTTTATGTTATGGAATGGTCAACCAATTCACTGAACTTAAATCTTATGGTGAATTTCTGGAGAATTTTGGGCAGAATTATGTATGCCAGTGATAAACAGTACAATAATATTGAATAACTGAAAAAGTTAATTAATTATCTCTGCATTGGAGGAAATTGACTTCTCTGTGTTGCAGAAGCTTGTGGAAAGCATTTATAATCAAGTATTTAAGGTTGTTTTGAAAAATGATTTATTTACTGGATATTAAAAGGGAGTATCCATAATATTTTGCAAAATAATAGATGTTTTTGTTTTTCTTTTACACTTTACAGAAAAAATAACTGCTACTTATTACATGTAGTATATATGTTACTGTGAAAGACCGAAATTAAAGAATGTCGATATTCTCCGGTGAATGTTGACACACAAAATACGCCGGTGAAAGACCAAATATTCGGTTATATTATTATACATTCAAACAATCACAGGTGTATGTCGACAAGCACAGATAAGCTTTGGTGGAGGTCGAAATGACACCTGAGAAGCCGATGTCAACAGAGAGGCGACAGTCTGTCGCCAAATCCTTTGTGGGTAGCCAAAGGTAGGACAAGATCGTACCTCTTTTCCCGGCAACAGTTTGGTGGAAACCGCCCACTTTGTCACTGGATGACGTTTTTGTTCTTTTGAGCGGCTTGTCAGGTCGAGTGGTGGAGGATGAGAGGGGTTGTCGGTAAGGCGTTGGCAATATCCAAATAAAAGACACCATTAACAGATCAATTCGTAACACGTAATAACATAATCAGTTCATAATTTGTAAAGAAAAGTTACTTTCCATAGATAAGATTTCTTCTCAAGAAATATCACTGAGAGAAGCAGCTGTAGCTAATTCGAAAAGTGGAGGGCAAAGCTATACATGCTGTCATTGCAAAAGGAAGTGTTCACGAATAAATGCAGTTGTAAAAGCAAGGGATTCTTGTGCAATTCAAAGTGCCATAACCATTTAAGCTGTTGCAATAAATAAGACTGTATAAGTTAATCATATAATTTATGTGTGAGTTTATTATTGTATTATTTTCTTTAATGATTTAGAATGTACTGTTCGTTTTAAGTTCAACAGTTTACTTACATGTGCTGTTACTTAGCTTTCTCCTATTTTGACATATTAAACAGTTGCATTTTTGTCTTAACGTAATAAAAATGTTTTTATTCAACATTTACCATCAGTGCACGCTGAATGTCAACATTTGCCAGTGTAAGTGAGAAATAATGATATTTAGCAAGTATTTCGTACATACACGAAACGACTGTGTGAATGCTGACATTCTCCAGATATTGGTCATTCACAGTAACATATATATACAAACATCCCAAAACCCAATATATTAGTAAAATGCCAAATAATGCTTAATTAAATCAGGCTACTTTAGAATATTCTAAATTATTTATTAATATTTATTTAATTATAATTATTTAATTTAATAAGAGATGGCACCTAATGCCTAACTCTAGTTATTTTAAATTATTTAGAAATTAATTAAAATAATAGCAGTAAAGTAGCCTGATTTAATCCAACAGTCATTTGGCATAATATATGTAGTATACATAGGCTATTTTTTTTCAAGCTCAGATGGTCCACAAAACAAAGACAAGTGTAAATAACAAAATGAATTTATTACCAAAAGTTAGGTCAAATATAATTACTTTTCAACATAATCACCATGAAGATTGAAGCATTTGTCATATCTGTGAATAAGCTTTTCCATCCCCTTGTCATAGAATGTTGCCGCCAATAACTTGAGATGGGCCCTAACATTGTTTTGAAGATCGTCATTAGTCTCAAACCTCTGCCCTCCTAGCCACTTTTCCTGTTTAGGAAAGAGGTGAAAGTCACTCAGCGTTAAATCGGGGCTATACGCTGGGTGTTTAAAGGTGATGAAGACTTCCACTCAGCTTAAAACTTTTTAATGTGTGAAGACTTCCACCTCTTTCCTGAACTGAAAACATGGCTAACAGGGCAGAGGTTTGACACTAATGATGATCTTCAAAACAATATTGTTAAAGCCATCTCAATTCACTGGCAGCAACATTCTATGATAAGGGGATGGAAAAGCTCATCCACAGATATGACAAATGCCTCAATCTTCATGGTGATTATGTCGAAAAGTTTGTACCTAACCATATTTGTACCTAACTTTTGGTAATAAATTCATTTTGTTATTTACACTTGTCTTTTTTTTTATGGACCATCAGAGCTTGAAAAAAAAGCCACCCTGGAATAAATTATTTCTTAATGTTTCAAAAATTATATTTGCAGTTGTATTAATAAAACTATACTCAAAAACATAGTGATCATATCATTTTGCAACTAATCTTATAAATCTTATAAACAGTGAATATGAGAGATCAACAACAAAAAAAAATCATTCACAAATTAACCTATTTAACTATTCTATTAATGAAACTCAGACTTAAAGAAAATACAAAAATACTTTTGATCCATTGAAAAAGATACACAAAAAATATTTATTTAAAATTTTAATCTTTTAATGTGAATCAAATCAATTACCAACTTAAAGTTTAAATCACTGGATTACTTTCAGATTATGTATTTATTGTGTTATAAAAATAAGAAAGGAAGAGAATTGAAATATGTCCTGTATTCTCAACTAATAAAGTTCTGTTTAACTGAAATACTGCATTGTCTGATATAAATTTTAAATAGTACTTTGTCGACAAAGATTGGAAAATATAGTATAGTATACCTTACCTCAGATTATTAAGACACATTTATTTCAGTTTTCTTCCATTTTGTATTATTAATGTAAATTCTATTGAAGGTTAGAAAATGCATAACTTTAATCTTTAAGCCCAATTTTAAAAATTATTAACTAAATTAGTCTTTATATAGTCCAAAAATAACATAGCAATTTAGGCTTATATTTTCTATGAAAATTATTTTTAAAATAACAGAAATTTTTAAAAAATTTCATGATGTCATCAAAACTCTTAAAAGTTGACAATGTATTAACATAAAGTATAAAAAATAAAACCATTATGTGCAATACTAACAATCAATCATTATAAATAAGAGGAAAAATTTAAATAAAATATGTTTTTTTACCATCATAAAATTAATTTATTGTATAATAACGGAAGGAAACAAATTTAAAAATAATAAATTTGAGTATTAAAAAAATTATTTCTAACCATGTGATTCATTCACTAATTTTCTTGTAATGGAATTATATGTTGATGTATTCTGCAAAACAGGACTATCATCTGAAAAAAAATTAAGTTTTAACTTCAATCCTAGAACCATATTTTTTAAATATTATAATTATTTGAAAAATAAATAGAAATTTTTTTATAATACATTAATTAATAATTTTTCAAATTTATGTAAATAAATAAACAAGTTAATCTCAAATTAAATAAATAAATCTCTCATAAATCAGATAAATTTTGCACTGATGATATGCGATTTGATTATGTAAGATTAATAATAACAGAAAGAATAGCTAATGCATTATATTCTCATATTTTATAAAATAATCAAGAAATAAGTTAATTAATGTATAAGAGAAAAATTTATTTTCTGTAGGGGCTCGAGTACTGCAACAAAGTTCTATTTATAAATAGTATGGCTAAGGATGAAGCTTTAGTTTATTTAAAGGGAAAATTTAATATATTTCTATATTATAGAAATTTTTGGTATTCCTGATTGAAGAAAATAACTCATAAAAGTGATAGAACTTTCACTTGTATGGATAATTTTAGGAAACAATTTTGAATTTAGAATTTCATTTAGATTCACTTGGAATATCTGTTTCTCTCATTCAGAGTAGTTTAAAATCTTCCAAGTTTACTGACTGATTTTAACATTTCTAAAATGTGTTATGAACAATTAAACACTTTTGTAGGAAAAATAATTTAATTATAACTGCTTTTTTACATGACAATACATGATGATGATGATGAAAATGAAAATTTTTCATGAAAAATTAAGATTTTTTTCTGATCAGTTAGATGTAAATAATGTTGAGATTAATAAGAGTTACAAAGTAGACCATCTCTTCATGCATAATTTATGATTAAGTTTTTTGTACTTTATTTAATTATAGAAATAAAGTTTTGTTAAAAAGCTAATTAAAGGAGTTGAAAGGAACAAAGATTTATCTCATCATTATTTTCTTTGTTTAATTAAATTAGATCTATTTTATATCAGTGCTAATGACAAAAAACAAAAAAAAAGAAAAAAATAAATAAAACTTATTTTTAGTTGATGATAATTTATGATGAGAGGAATAATGACTAATAAATCCTGATGAATTTTTTCTAGAATTCATTTACCGACATAAAATTGTGCATGCTTATTAAATAAATCTAATTGTTTTTAGAGAATTGTTAACAAGGTAATATTTTATATCTAAGTTAAATTATTATTCTCCACAGTTCTAAATTAAAGAATTTACATGGTTTGAACATGGTTTGAATGATTTCTTCATAACTTCATCCTTTCCATCATATAAATTTTTTCTGCATTATTTACATACATGTCTACATTCTTTCTGTTACAATTTTTGGATTTATTGATACTTGCTTTCAGGGCTGAAGGAACAATTTCTGGCTCTTTCCAAAATGAAAAACATCCCGCTCCTGGATAAACCTTACTTGTATTCTGAACAAACAGGTCAAAACATTCTCCTGGTTTTTTCCTTTTGCTCACAACAGTCTTGCCGATTTCAACAATCTTTCCAGGTCCACCAAATTTCATTTGGATCAAATTAGATTATGAAACCATCATAATGTGTCATATGAAATTCATCCAGTCAAAAGCTGTTTGACTACTCATGCCCACAGCCAAACAAATCATGCTCAATATACATCCTATGCAAATTAGATGTCAAATAAACAAAACAATAGTTCTGCAGGAAATTTTCCCAAATTTACGTTTAAAAATTCCTTCAAATAACAAACTGTTCATTTTGCATTTATGACATCTAAAAGAAACAGAATCACGATCTTTTCAATAAATTAATTTATGACGACCATCACATTTTGAACAGTCTGCATCTACAGGTTGCAAACCAAACTTTATTTCAAACTTAATATCTGATGAAATTCTCTTATCAACATCAATTTCAGAAAATTCTGATTCTAAATTATGAAAAAAAAAAATTCCTTGAAGTACACTTTTGCCAAGAAAACTGTCAATATTTTCCTAAAGCCACCATTACAACAATAAAAGAGGAAATATCAAATATAAACTTTGAAAAAATATGATTCACACAACAATATATAACTGTTTGAAACTAAATAATTAATTTACTCTTAACAAAGTTATAAAATGTTAAGGAATTAATCTAGAAACCAAATAATGTTAGATATCTTGTAAAATACAGAGAGCAACATCTAGATTACCTTTCTAGGCACATATGTTGAGATTCTGAAAGTATTGCCATAAGGGCTACCTAAACGCAACTCTGCCCAAAAGCCTTTATTGTTCTATAACAAAAAGGACTAGAAGACAATATTTCATACTTAATGTGTGACTGACTAGATATAACTAGAACTGATATTTATAATATATGTATTTCTACAATATAATTTAAAATATGTTAAAAATTAATAAAAACTTTTAAAATTCTAGAGAATAGATTAAAATAAGTTTTCTTACTTGGATCTAGTTCTGAATGGGTGGGTGCATGATACACTAATAAATTATTTCTACTTCCCCATTCAATTAGAATATTTTCATTTAATTCTTTATCTTGAATTCCCTAAAAAAATGAAAAATTGTAATTATAATAATAACATTTTTTATTCTAGCATTAATGGAATGCTAGAATGGAAAATGAAGACTGTTGATTGATCAAACATTATATGATTAACCTTACAAAATATTCTGCAGCTATACAAAAATCTTATATAAATATACACATATAATAAAATATTAATAATACTTTGAAGTAGGTTATGAAGACATTTCTTCATATTAGATAAATGTATTTATTAATAGGTTACTAAATTACAAATTTTGGATTTAATTCAAAAGTAATAACATTATTATAGAAATTATAAAAAAAATTCAAGTACTAAAAACTGGGTATACATAAATAAGCAATACACATAGAGCAAATATCCAGAAAGAAAACATAAAGCTACATTAAGGTAAACATGTTCATCCATTTAAATGGTCATCATCAGGCTAACTTTTACCTTCTACAGTATTGGGATTAAATCCAGACAGAGAACCCAAAAATTTTTCACGGGCAGTCTGTCCTGGATACAGCAGGCCTTCTACTTTACCACTCAGTCATCTATTGTGGGCCTGGCCAAACCCACAATGGGTATGATTAAAAAGATTGTTAGTTTCTGAAACACAGAAAGAGGAAAAAATGATCTGTTTCCTTCTGTTCATGATGTAGGAAAAACTGAAAATCTTGACAGTTTATCATTAGTCCCCAGAAGAGCTAAAATATTGCCCAATTTTAATTGTTATTGAACTGATCAGTGTATATTGTACATAAATCAACTGCTAGAATATAATCTTGCTACATTTTCTTCAGAGGAAAAAATGGATGCCATTCATTTACAGTATCAATTATTTATATCATCAAATGCAGGAACAGATATTTCATAAATGAAAATACCATATATAATCAGTATCAGTGACTATTTTTAAGAGTAAAATTTAAGTTACTAGTTAATATTAATGAAAAAATTAATAAGTGGAATGCAAAGGTTTAGCAATAACAATGAAAAGTTATTCATAAATGTTTTGAATCAGTTGAATTAGTTGAATGTTTTGAAAAAGTTAAATCAGATTCAATTTTTCAGAAATAAAATTCAAAAATACAAAATTTAAAATAGAACATGTTTGGTAGAAGTTATTTTCATGTACTTTACATGTGTATAAACATATTAGTAAATGACGAAAAGTAAACTCAGGGCCAGACTGGTTGGCCAGATCCCTCATCAACTTTGCGTCGTGTCAGCACTGGAACCTGGACTGTTGGCATTACCCAGACTCCAGAACGAGGACTTGGCCAACATCAGAGACCAAAAAAGTAAGAAGTAGCTTCGTCAACACCGAGCCACCCGCCACCACATATCCGAGACTCCCAACTAATAGGCAAACATTTTCAACCATTTGAATGCTAGAATGGAAAATAAACACTGCTGATTGATCAAACATTATCTGATTAACCTTACAGTATATTCTAGTATTTATGTGGCCTTTTGCGGTAGGTAATCCTTCTGGGCCCTGACTGCCCGAAGGCAGTTAATTACACCCAGCAACAATCTGNTTGATTTTTAGATTCTTGAATATTATTGCGTATCTGGTCCAGATCTTCTTTAATAATGGTCATTTGGTTCAATATTCTAGTGTTAGAATTGTTAATTAGTTCTGAAATTTTGTTCCATAGTGTCATGCTCGCTATATCGGATATATTTTCCAATTTTCCTGGTGAAGAGGATAGCATATCCAATGACTCACCTGATAGTTGCGTCCTTGGAAGTGTCGTTTCAGAGTTCAAATTTATATTTGTCGAGGATGTTTCTGGAGAGATTCTTTCGACATGAGTATTGTAGTCTGTAATTAGCTTGGTATTAGCAGTCGAAGCAGATTCTTTCCTGTTAACTGACTTTGATCTTTGAAGTGGTGGTCGACCTCGTTTCACCGGCGAACGTTGCATATTAATTATATTATTCGACTAACCAACACTGATAATAATATTGCACAACACAAAATCAAAAAAATTAACTAGTTTTAATCTGTAGAATAAGTTCTTTGTCTGTTTTTTCCATACTGTGCATTATAGGTTATAGGCAAAGCATCGGGTTTCTGTATAGATGTTTATATGTAGATAAAGAATGCCTACATCCTACAATACAGAAAGTAGACTTCAGAAACAAATTAAAATATTAAAAACAGATATTAAATTTATTATTGAAAATAGCATTAGGAAAAGTTAAAATCATTTTTAAGCATCTTTTAAAACAGAAAAACAAAAACCAAATTGATGAAGGGTATTGATGAACCCAAAATGCACATATTAGTTTAATAAAAAATCTCAGTCAACTTTTAAAGTAAATAACGGTGGTTTGATAAGTTCTTTGGAATAGGAAAATTAATATTATTTTTTCTACTTTTTAGTATTTAAGGATTAACGCGTCTAGATTATAGTAATAAGTATTAAAACTTTATTACGGAAAAGGATATTTTAAAACATTACTTCTACAGATACTTTCAATTTTTATTTAGAAATAGATAAATTTATTTATTATAAAGGAGACAAACAAAAATTTATTTGAAAAAATATATATTTGTTTTATTTGGGTCTCTACTTAATAAAAAACGATGGAAACATTATTTAAAGTTCATTTTTATTCAAATAATATATTTATAAATAATACTGTATACAGTATAGTAAAAAATGTAGCCAAGTCAAATTTATATAGCCCAAAAAGTAGCCAATGCGCCAAATGATAATTTTTACGCCAAACTAAAAAACAAGTGTAGCCAAATCTGGCAACGTTGCTTGAAAGTTGCCAGATTCGTGTTCTTCCTTGTCACAATTTTCCCACCAAAACTAACCCAAAAATCGAAAATTCCTGAAAAGTCGTCCAATTTGTCGCAAGCCGCAAATACGTTTAAAAAGTCTCAAAAAAAGAAAAAAGTTTGCCATTTTGCAGTAAATTACCAAACCAAGCAATCTCGATCAAGTGTGCCTCACCACATTTGTATTTTTTTTAGCAAGATGGCCGAGCGGTTAATACCGCTCTGAGGAACCCGTTTGACCGAACGGTCAAAAAACCTCGAGAATTTTTCGAGGGATGATCTGTCCTGTGACTGTCGAGCCCCGTCACTCTCTAACCCGGCCGGCTCATTGTGGACTTGGTCGAACCCATAATGAGCTTGCTAAAAAGGTCTTCTTAGCGCTCGGGACGGGAACATATCCGGGACGATTGCCCCTTGAAATAGGGAGGAAAGAGTTAAAAAAAAAAGCACTAATTTCTATTTTACATAAATTTTAAGAAGAATTTAATAATTTTTATTACATTTTGCAGAAATTATGAACATTGCTTTATTCACTTGTAAATCATATGAATTTAATTTAAATTCACGTTTCTAAAATTTGATTTATTCTGGCAGGTGGCGCTGTCGTTTCCCGGAATGTCGGTGGTGCGTGCTCGGTCTGATAGGAAAGTTTACCATGCTGGAATCAAAAAGAACGTAATTCCTGCAGAAATATCGGAAAATCCAGAATTATTGGAAGCTATCAAAGTGCTACCCAGCAATTATAATTTTGAGATACCCAAGACAATCTGGCGTATTATTCAAAGTAAGTCGAAATGTGTGGCTCTTCAGATGCCAGAAGGCTTGCTGATGTTTGCTTTGGCCGTCGCAGATATCGTCGAAAAGTTTTCGAAAGCGGAGGTAGTGATACTTGGTGATGTCACATACGGTGCCTGTTGCGTCGATGATTTCACGGCTCGAGCCTTGGGAGCTGATTTTTTGGTTCATTATGGCCACAGTTGTTTAGTTCCAGTCAATGTTACTACCGATATCAAAGTTTTGTACGTGTTCGTCGACATTAAAATCGATGCCGAACATTTCTTAAAAACTATGAAACACAATTTTTCTCAAGAAACCTCATTGGCTTTATTGAGTACCATCCAGTTTGTTTCGTCTCTTCAAGCCGTGGCTGCAGAATTAAAGGAAAATTATAAAGTAACAATTCCTCAACGAAAACCTCTTTCTCCTGGAGAAGTTCTGGGTTGCACGGCACCTGTTTTGAAGGATGTCGAAGTAGTGGTATTTGTTGGCGATGGAAGATTCCATTTGGAGGCCGTGATGATTGCCAATCCTTCCGTTAAAGCTTATCGGTGAGGTTCTTATACATAGAAATATATATTTGTGTATATTTCTATGTACGTATTAGATTTGGTGGTTTTCAAATTTGGCCAACCCATACCCTTTTGGTTCCGTAAATTTATATTCCTCGCTCCATATTTTAAGGAAATTTTTTTAATATCAGTTTGTAGAACTCGTGTTCAAATATTGTTTATTCTATAAAACTGTTGAAATTAATCTGCTATTACAATTATTTTATCAATTTTTATGCAAGAACATTAAACTCCAGAGTAAATTAATAATTATCAATGATCGTCATTGATAATTATGATCATAAATACATGTAAAATGTACTTGGAGAAACTCATCTCAATGTACTTGCTGCTTAATTTTATCTCTTACTTAGATAACCTATCATTTCCAGCAGACATATGGTCAATTTTGGCAATCTTGTATTAGATTATCTGTTTTAACTAATATTATTATGATTATTTACAGTTGAGCAGTATTTCTCATTAATATACATCTGAGTGAATCTGATTGGAATCTGGATGATATAATCTATAACATGCACAGACAAGATGGTTGGATTTAATAGGTAGCCTAATTGTACCCAAGTAGGGAGAAAACATAATACAAGAAAATGTGCAAAGTTCAATAAACAATGCCAAATCAAACTTTTTTTGAAAAATTATACAGTAATTTGTTAATTATAATTTTAATATTGTAAAGAAATTTAAATGTTTTTGATATCTGAAAGTCTTTGTGATTTTGTACATTATATTAATGTAGTCAGTAAATTACTGAAGACTGCACATTGTATATTGTATTGTCTTGAAATTTTTTTGAGCCCATTTCCTATGATAATGGCAACAGTATAACCTACTAAAACTCAGTAAAACACTTCTATATAGAGTTGATCATAATAAATTATTGTACTATACTGTATATCCACTTCATTCTCCATATTGTCAAAGAAAACACCCCACTAACTTGAACTTTTATAAACTTGGATAATCTTTACCCTCTTAATCCAAATTACCAAGGGTATATTGTACTATACATGGGCTAACATAGGTGTATTGGTGTATTGGTTCTTTAGTGTTGTTTCCACAGAAGTGCAGAATGTTTTTCTGACCAGCCCAATTTGGCTTAATTGTTCAGATGCATGTTTTTATGTAATTAAGGTTCCTGATTACAGGTAAACTTGAGACTTTGAAAAAAGTAAGCCACTAGGCACACTTTTGAGAGCTTCTAATTAACATCTTTTTCATCATATTCCTAGGCACTTTTTTTGATTGAAAACTAATCCAATCCCAAACTTTTACATCTTTTTATTGAAAATTTTCTGAAGCAGAATCTAGTGTTTTTATAATTTAGGCCTAATTATTAAATCTGTTTCATCTTTGCCTATTTTAATAACAATTATTAAAATCAATTTCTTTTTTAGCTTTAATATATTTCAGTAAATCCACTGATTTGATATTGAATTAAATTTTATTAATTTACTTAAATTTTCAAAATTCCTAATTAAAATTGATTTATTTTAAAATATTTTTCAGGTATAATCCATATGACAAAAGTTTCACTCATGAAAAATATGATATTGAAAGGATGACTTCATTTCGAGAGAAATGTATTGAAGCTGCATCGGTTGCTGGAACTTTTGGCGTCGTTTTAGGAACATTAGGTAGACAAGGCAATACCTCTGTATTGAAGATGTTATCCAAAAAAATTCAAACTTGTGATAAGCAGCATATTGTTGTCCTTCTTTCTGAAATCTTTCCACAGAAACTAAGATTATTCTTAGGTGTGGATGCATGGATACAAATTGCTTGTCCTCGTCTTTCTATTGATTGGGGAATGGCCTTTGAGAAGCCACTTCTTACTCCATATGAAGGAAATGTAGCATTGAAGACTATCAGCTGGCAAAAAGATTATCCTATGGATTTTTATGCTTCTGGAAGTCTGGGTCCATGGACTCCCAATCATAAACCACCTAAAAAATCTTGTGATGATTGTACTTCGTGTGCTTGTAAAGATAAAAGTTAATTTAAAATTTGAATAATAGTTTTAAATTATTTAACTGCAATGTATAATATATTTAGCTGTGATAATTGGTATAGTATATTGATTTCAGTTTTTATCTTGTTAGTCTATCATTTTTAGAAGTACATCAAGAAAATTATTTCATATATATGATCATAGCATTTCATAACTTTACATTTAATTAAATCAGTTTTTGTACTGATTCACTTACAATATTAAGTATTTATGTAAAACATTAAAATTGAAAGTTTATTTCATTCATTTGTAATAATATAAATTACAGTAAAACTTCTCTAACTCAAATATCTGTAACTTAAAGAAAAAGCACTTGGTTGGTCTCAGTGAAATAGGATTTAATGTCTCCAACTTGAATTTCTTAACTCAAATTTTCTCCAGTCAAAATTTTTTATGGTCTCCCAACACCAATTTATGTTACTTTCAACTTTCCCAACTCAAATTTTAATATTTATTCTATCCAAAGTGACCCTAATTATCGGATCTCCAAGAAATTTTCACACAGTTAATCATATCTACTCTTCAACATCCATTTGCAGACAACATTCTAGTCCAAAGCGAGAGGACCTCACATTATCTCAACAAGGTGTACCTGCAAAACTGTTCAATTCTATTAGTTACATTGAACATTTTGCTGAAAGGTGTTACACAGGCTTTTAAAACGAAAAACTATCAAATTATTTATATAATGCAAGAGAGGTAAAAATACAAAGCTATCAAGAATTGGCATATTTTACTCTATTGTTCTCTAACTTGAATCATCTGTAACTCGAAGTTTTTCCTACCTCTTGGAGCTTTGAGTTAGAGAAGTTTTACTATATCATTTTAAAGTAACAATGATTTTATGTTTTCATGCCCTTAAGTCTTTGTTTCAGTATTTCTGTAAGTTTAGTTACATATTAATCTCCTCTATTTTTTTAATGTTATTAGTTTCATTCTACAGTTTAATGTAGCAAGATATAAAAATATTACAGAAGATAGCTAAGATCATTAAGAAAGTAAAGGGATAACATTGAACTAAACATATAAAATCTTAGGAATTCAAATAAGGACAGAAGGGTGAATACAAGAGATGAAGACAATGTTACAAATATCTGGAAGGGTTTTTTTTCTTGTTGATGAGATGGTTTAATTACAATACTTTAATTGACAATTCTTATAAAATTATCATTTAAAAAACTTTGATGCAATGTAAAGAAACATGTTTCAAACAACTCAATGCTCTAGGACAGTATTTTCTAAAAGTGGCAGTCACAACTTTAAATTTTTTTCTTGTGGCACTTCTATTTTTCCAATGTAGAGTTATTGCACCTTTTATAGTTTCAGTAATACATGTTAGAAGTTCTGCTCAGCACTATTTCATAGCACCTCCAAAGTATTGCCACGGCATTCCAGTCGAAAACCACTACTGTAGGGAAACATTAACAAAATTTTGAAAAGTACTCAATACTACTATTCAAAAATATAGCAATATGTATAAAGAAATATCTATATTTCTATAAGAAAGCATATTATTATAGACTATACAAAACATTTCAAATTGATCAGATCCTCCTCCTCATTTTTATTGCTGAATAAATACTAGTACAATAAAGATCATTTACAGATCTTATCCAAAATCAAGATTTTTGTTGTTGTTTAAGTATTTATCTAAAATATAATGAGAACACAATATATATATATATATTCTAAATATGTCTTATGACCTATCTAAAACTGATGTAAACAACAAATATATCTGTTTATACATATTGATACTAACAAGAAGTGAATAATTTATCCTTGCAATAAAAGGCATCATTTCTATTTTAGTATTAAGTGAAATTTTCTGTTCTGAAACTGAAATTTATTGTTTCCTACAATATATATGTCTTTATTACAAGAAAAATATCATATATGAAATTTATTTGTATTAAGTACTTTATGGCATATAAGAAGCACCCCTCATTTCAGCATATTAAGCCATCCCTGGCCATTAGCACTCTATCCCAAAACATTTTTTACTGTAATCTGCTTTAAAAAAATAATAAAATTAGAATACTGTACACTTTTTCGTTGAATGAACTATTATCGATCCATGATAGTTCTTTCTTTCTTTCTTTCTTCTCTAATATGGAGATTCTGGCTTGTCACCTTTTCTCCGATGAACTTCCATGATAGTTCACTTTATCTAGCCTTAATATTTACAATAATTCCGTTTTTAAATAATTAAAATTAATAGTAATATACTGTTTTTAATTAAATAATAACATGTTTATTCAAGAATTAGACGTTACATGTAGCCTACCGAAGACCGATTGTGGAATTCATTAGCCTGTGAGAGATCGCAACTCCAAATATAAGACGCAGGGCGATCTTAAATTTTCGGTAGATTTCAAGTTTTATATAATAGATTTTATATAAGCATTCAAATGTTTTATTCTTGTTATTGTGAATACTTACCAAAAAGTGAGTAACCTTTCTAATAATTATGGAAAACGGAAAAAGCGTTGCATTTGCCCGTCAAAAATAGGCAAAGAAAACATGCCAGTAAGTGCAAGAGACTGATATGTAGTAAATACACCATTAGGATGTGTACAAGTTGTACATTATATCCATCATTGTGGATAACACAAGTATATTAAAATGAACCAACCTTTTGTTCGTTATGTTGTAGACAACAACTTTAGACATCGAAGCCGTGAGCCCGAATAGGAATTGGAAAACAATCCGAAATACATTGTTAAATAGGCGAAATAAACGGCACTGTTTTAATCTCAGTTTCTCAATTGTGCATAATTATAAAAGACGCGATAAATATTACTAGTGTTACTGTTGGAAGAAGAAACCTTTACTTATAACTATTTATACGCTCTCCAGCCTGACGAAATAGAGTCTGTCTGTCTCGAAGTTAACTACCGTTGTTTCGGCCGAGGCACTATTTTCTCTCAATGGCGTCTTTTTCTTGTTTGTTTAGTTATGAAAACGCAACACTTGAGCGATCTGCTCTAGCCTTCCGGGAGGTCTTTTAAAGGAAAACTGGCCCTATTTAGACTTTACAGACGTGAAGAAAACCCGGAAAACTCCACGTCCAAGCGAGGCGCGAACCACGACCAAACTCCCAGTGTTCAGAGAACGAAGACCTCTTGGCCACTGGTGGGCGGCGTCTTTTTCATTTCTAAGAAGTGAGGAAATTGTAAGGTTCTTCTAAAACCCTACAATTTTCTCACTGCTTAGAATTCTGTGCTTACTACATAGGGCTATCTCCTTATAGATGTAACAGAGGGCCTTGTCGTAGGTGACTACCACCAAGGTCTGTATAAGAAGGTCAGGACACGCTCCCGTGATTCTATGCGGCAGCGGCCATTTTGGGACTCTTCGATAGAACTCACCATACGTGGTTCTTGCATTAGTCGACTATTATTACTTATATACGTACTCAAAACGTTAAGCAATGGGTTATTGTGTTGCACCTAATTGTAAAAGTAAGTCTACCGACGTTCGATTGTTCAGATTTCCTGCAGATAAGCGGAGGAAAGCAAAATGTAGCGTAGGCATCAACTGATGGTTCATGATGCAGTTCAAAGAGTTTATATGTTTAAAGTTTGTAACAAGTGGTCTAAACGAGTAGATACTCTTCGTGTTTATGAACGAACTATACATGGAAATTTATAAACGATATTGGCAATCCAGATATAAAACAAATGTAATTTTTTCATTTTTCTATCTGGTGATAAAATAATTAAGCATGTAATTGTTTTAATATGACCATATTGTATTTAAAAATAAAATTATGATGATGGTATTGACTTATACTCTCAATATTTATTAATAAAACATTGCAAAAAATTTAGTTTAATAGTAATTTATACTTAATTCAATTTAAATAAAATTTACATTAATTTTATTGTCAGAATTTTTATTTTAAAAGACGTGATGGAAATCTAAATGTATCTAATTCTTATAATCTAGAGATTCCATAATATTTAATTGATTTTATTTATATTTAATTTTTTCGTTCGCGTTTCAATAATTATTTTCCACTGATCATTCAAATCTTTTATCCTGAACATTTAAAAACAGATTTTATTTAATTAAAGTAAAATTGACTATTTAATTGTAAAAAAGAAAATTTTAGCATTATTTTGCTATGGCAACAAATATTCATATTTTGTTTGAATATATTGTATTCTATTCAAGTATTATTTGTCAGTTTATTGTCAAATAATTTAATTTAAAATTTTATTTTTGGAATTTTTTGAAAGCTATTTATAAATTAAAAATATATCTACACATCTATTACTTATTATAAAATGAGTATTACATTGACAACATTTATTAATAATACTATTGAATTTTATCTTAATTTTATAGCCAATCGTGCTTTTAAAAAATAATTATAAATTTGTTATATTATTATATTCTTTATTATACTTTAAATTTTTTTTGATGTTATTGCATCACTTTACGAAGTGTCTATATACGTAATTGCATCAGTTTTAGCACCTATTTAATTAGTTTCAATCGCGACAGAAAATGATATAGATGATTGTTTCTTTTAAACTATTTGATCGAAAAGTTACTTAAAATTGGGGTTGCGTAATCATCCGAAATTATTATTATATTTTCGACTGAAAATCACTGGATTTATGCAATTTTTGTTTAATTAATGTCGTATAAAACAGACTGCTCGTACAAGTTTGCTTAAAACATGCGACTCAAAATACCCCAAAATGGCGGCTCAATAAGTAGGTCACGCGTGTCCTGACCTTCTTATACAGACCTTGACTACCACACCGTGAGCTGGAACACTTGGAAAGGATAGATATGTACAAACTGTTCGGGATAAAGACGGCGTGAATACTGTATAGATAGTCATTCATATGTTACTGTAGGCCTTTAATCATACAATTTAGCATAATCGCTGTAGAGGAAATTGCCGTAAACTTTGATGTTAGAAACAATAATGTAACGAAACGATGACGTAATTTATGTTTATATCAAAATATATTTTAAATTATCATTACGTTACTGAATGCCGTTTAGTAAAATCGTTAGAAAAAGTTCTAATTGGCATAAATTTGAGTTTTTGTAAATCTGAGTAACATTTTGAATAAAATTCATGTTTCCGTGCAATTTTATT